ACATCGATTGGCCGCCTCCTGCATGCTCCCCACTGAGGATCAGGCTCATGACCCGGGCATGTGTCCTTACTGGGAATTGAACCAGTGACCTCTTGGTGCATGGGTTGACACTCAACCACTGAGCCACATTGGCCAGGCTACAAAAAAAAAAAATTTTTTTTTTTTTAATCCTTACCCGAGGGCATTTTTGCATTTATCTTCAGATAGAGCAGATGTGAGAGAGACACATCAAGTGGTTGCCACCCATACAATCCCAACCAGGGCGGGGACAAACTGCAACCGAGGCACGGCATGTGCCCTTAGCAGGAACCAAACACGGGTCTCTCTGATTTGCGGGCTGACTCTCTAACCACTGAGCCAAACCAGCCAGGGCAACAAAATCTTTTTTTTTTTTTTTTTTTTTGGTACATGCCCCTAGCGGGAACCGAACCCAGGATTTTCTGGTCTGCAAGCCAATGCTCCAACTGCTCAGCCAAACCGACCAGGGCCATCAATTCTTAATAATTTCTTAATGTGTTATTATCAAGTACTTATTGAGCACTTAGTCTCAACTGGACACTGTAAAATATGAATGGCACTGTAATAAGTAAGAAATTGCCCTGTCCCAGGAGCTGAATCTAGTTAGTGATTTATTTTTAGGATGGAGGAAGGGGTAGAGGGTTGGGTGGTACACACATAAACGAATAGCATCTCTTAATTGTTGTCTATGGTGTTTATAATATGATTTTATGGCTTTTCCCGAAAGCGGCCAGAGGTGACCTCTGAAATGGTGCGCTATTCACTTGACCCAGAAAACCCCACAAAATCATGCAAGTCAAGAGGTTCAAATCTTCGTGTTCACTTTAAGAATACTCGGGAAACTGCCCAGGCCATCAAAGGTATGCATATTTGAAAAGCCACCAAGTATCTGAAGGATGTCACTTTACAGAAGCAATGTGTGCCTTTCCGTTGTTACAATGGTGGAGTTGGTAGGTGTGCCCAGGCAAAACAGTGGGGCTGGACACAGCGTCGGTGGCCCAAAAAGAGTGCTGAGTTTTTGCTGCACGTGCTTAAAAATGCAGAGAGCAATGCTGAACTTAAGGGTTTAGATGTAGATTCTCTGGTTATTGAGCACATCCAGGTAAACAAAGCTCCCAAGATGCGCTGTAGAACTTACAGAGCCCATGGGCGGATTAACCCATACGTGAGCTCTCCCTGCCACATTGAGATGATCCTCACTGAGAAAGAGCAGATTGTTCCTAAACCAGAAGAGGAGGTTGCACAGAAGAAAAAGATATCCCAGAAGAAACTGAAGAAACAAAAACTTATGGCCCGGGAGTAAATTCAGCATAAAATAAAGACTAATAAAAGTAAAAAAAAAAAAAAGATTTTATGTTATCAAGAGAATCATACTGATTTTGAAATTTCAAATATTAATGAATGACATGGGAATTTTTATTTGATTAAATAAGGAAAAGATTACGTTGGGAAAAGATGAAACACGCAGTTCTAATAGATGAGTTTCACTATACCTTTACTATGTCTCTGTGTTAGCCACTTAGAGGCTTTGAATATTTTAAGTACTAAGAAATTAATTTTCAAAAACAGTAAGATTTACGAATAAACAGTCTAACCTTGCACCTAAAAGAAGTATAAAAAGAACAACAGAGCCCAGAATAAGTAGAAGGAAGAACATAATAAAGAATATAACGGAAATAGCCCTGGCCGGTTTGGCTCAGCGGTTGGAGCATCGACCTGTGGTCCAGAGAGACCCAGGTTCGGTTCCCATTAAGGGCATGTACCTTGGTTGCAGTTTGTCCCCGGCCCTGGTTGGGTCGTGTGGGAGGCCGCTACTTGATATATCCCTTTCACGTTGATGTTTCTCTCTCTCTTTCTCTTCCTCTCTCTCCTTCCCACTCTATCTGAACAAAACAAAACAAAAAAAGAATATAACGGAAATAAATGACATAGAAAATAAAAATATGATACAAAAGATCAATGAAACCAAAAGCTGGTTCTTTGAAAAGATGAGCAAGATTAACAAGCCTTGCCCTGGCCGGTTTGGCTCAGCAGTTGGAGCGTCGGCCTGCGGTACAGAGAGACCCGGGTTCGGTTCCCGCTAAGGGCACGTACCTTGGTTGCAGTTTGTCCCAGCCCTGGTTGGTCGTGCAGGTGGCAGCCACTCGATGTGTCCCTTCACATTGATGTTTCTCTCTCTCTCTCTCTTCCTCTCTCTCTCTCCCGTTCTATCTGAACAAAAATGGAAAAATATCCTCGGGTGAGGATAAAAAAAAAAAAAGATTGACAAGCCTTTGACCTGACTAATAATGAAAAAAAGAGAGAGGACCCACATAAATAAAATCAGAAATAACAATTGATACCATAGAGATATAAAGGATTGTAAGAAAATATTAGGAACAACTATATACCAGCAAATTGGGTGATTTGGGTGAAATGGATAAACCCCTAGAAACTTACAATCTTTCAAAACTGAATCAGAAAGAATCAGAAAATCGGAATAGACCAGTTACAACTAATGAAATCAAAGCAGTAATAAAAAAAAAAATACTCCCAGCAAACAAAAGTCCTAGAACAGATGGCTTCACAGATGAATTTTACCAAATATTCAAAGAACTAACACCTATCCTCAAACTACTTCAAAAAATTTAAGCAGAGGGAAGACTCCCAAGCTCACTTAACGAGGCCAGCATTATCCTAACTCTAAAACAAGACAGAGACACTACAAAGAAGGAAAGTTATAGGCCAATATCACCGATGAACATAGATACAAAAATTATCAAGAAAATATTACCAAAGGAGATCTAATAATACATTTAAAAGATCATACACCTTGCCCTGGCCGATTTGGCTCAGTGATTAGAGTGTCATCCTGCGGTCCGGAGAGACCCGGGTTTGGTTCCCACTAAGGGCACATACCTCAATTTCAGTTTGTCCCCAGCGCTGGTTGGGTCATGTGGGTGAAAAACACTCAATGTGCCCCTTTCACGTCGATGTTTCTCTCCCTCCTTCCCACTCTATCTGAACAAAATATCGAAAAAAATGTCCTCGGGTGAGGATAAAAAAAAATATACACCTTGATGAAATCCAACACCCATTTATGATAAAATCTCTCAGCAAAGTGGAAATAGAGGGAACATACCTCAACATAATAAGGGCCATATATGACAAACCCACAACCAACATCATATTCAGAAACTAAGACTTTCCCTTAAGATCAGGAATTACACAGGGATGTCTTCTTTCACCACTCTATTCAACATAGTACTGGAAGTTCTAGCCACAGCAGTCAAGAAGAAGAAATAAAAGGCATCCAATTTAGAAAGGAAGAAGTAAAACTCATTAGTTGCAAATGACATGATACTGTATATAGAAAACCCTAAAGACTCCATCATAAAAACTAAAACTACCCAGCTGGTGTGGCTCAGTGGTTAAGCGTCAACCCATGCACCAAGAGGTTACTGGTTCAATTCCTGGTCAGGGCTCATGCCCAGGTTGTGGGCCCAATCCCCAGTAGGGGGCATGCGGAAGGCAGCCAATTGATGTTTCTGTCTCTTTCTCCCTCTCCCTTCCTCTCTGTCTAAAAATCAATAAAGAGCCCTGGCCGGTTTGGCTTAGCGGTTAGAGCGTAGGCCTGCGGTCCGGAGAGACCCGGGTTCAGTTCGCTAAAGGCACGTACCTTGGTTGCATTTTGTCCCCGACCCTGGTTGGGTCGTGCGGGTGGCAGCCACTTGATGTGTCCCTTTCACATCAATGTTTCTCTCTCTTCTTCTCTGTCCCTCCTACTCTATCTGAACAAAAAAACGGAAAAAAGTGTCCTCGGGTATAAAAAATAAATAAATAAATAAAATCAATAAAGAAAAAAACTACTAAAACTGATAAATGCATTCAGTACAGTAGCAGGATACAAAATTAATATTTAGAAATAGGTGGAATTTTAATACATTAGTAATGAACTATGAGAGAAACTAAGAAAACAATCTCATTTATAATTATAACTAAGGTACCTAGGAATAAATTTAACCAAGGAGGTAAAAGACCTGTACTTGGAAGATTATAAATACGGAAGAAAGAAATTGAGGAAGCATATACCATGTCGTGGACAGGAATAATTAACATCATTCAAATGTTCATTGTACCCAAAGCAATCTGTGGATTCAGTGCAATTCCTGTCAAAATACCAATGGCATATTTCACAGAACTAGAACAAGTATTCCAAAAATGTATATGGAACCACAAAAGACCACAAATAGCCTCAGCAGTCTTGAGAAAAGAACAAAGATGGAGGTATCACGCTACCTGATATCAAACTATGCTACAAGGCTATATAGTAATTGTACTTGCATGGTTATGATACTTGAATAAAAACAGACATATAGAACAATGGAACAGAATAGAGAGACGAGAAATAAACTCATACCGTTATGGTCAATTAGTATTTGACAAAGAAGGAAAAACATGCAATGGGGTAAAGTCTGTATGATAAATGGTGTTGGGAAAATTGAACAGATACATGGAAAAAAATGAAACAAGACCAACTCCATACACAAGAATAAAGTCAAAATGAATTAAAGACTTAAATATAAGACTCAAGCCCTGGCCAGTTTGGCTCAGAGGTTAGAGCATCGGCCTGCGTTCCCGAGAGACCCAGGTATCCTTCCCGCTAAGGGCACGTACTTCAGTTGCAGCTTGTCCCCGGCCCTGGTTGGGTTGTGTGGGTGGCAGCCACTTGATGTGTCCCTTTCACGTTGATGTTTCTCTCTCTCTCTCTCCCTCCCTCCCTCCCACTCTATCTGAACAAAAAAATGGGAAAATGTCCTCAGGTGAGGATAAATTTAAAAAAAGACTAGAAGTAAACATAGGCAGTAAAATCTCAGACATTTCTTGTAGCACTATTTTTTCTGATATCTCCTTGGGAAAGGGAAGCAAAAGAAAAACAAATGGGACTACATCAAACTAAAGTTTTTGCCCAGCAAAAGAAACCAACAAAATGAAAGGGTGACAAAAAGGGCTTCTGCTATGAGTAGCACAGTAAGACAGCTGATTGCTCTCTCTGTGTGGAATTGACATCAGAGATTTTGGAAGCATAATTTGTTTGGTATCTGGGCAGCTAATGATCGTTTGTCCTGGTACCCACGAAAAAACAAACAGAAAAACAAAATGAAAAGAATTCATTGAATAGGAGAACATATTTACCAGCAGTACATTTGATCAGGTGTTAATATCCAAAATAAAGAGCTCAACACCAAGAAAAAACAAATAATACTATTAAAAATGTATTATTTTATTTATTTATTTATTTATTTTTTATCCTCATCTGAGGACATTTTTGCATTTATCTGTAGATGGAGCAGGAGGGAGAGAGGGAGGAACAGAGAGAGAGAGAAACGTAGATGTGAGAGAGACACATCAAGTGGTTGCCACCCACATGATCCCAACCAGGGCCAGGGACAAACTGCAACAGAGGTACATGCCCTTAGCAGGAACCAAACCTGGGACTCTCTGGTCCACGGGCTGATGCTCTCACTGCTGAGCTAAACCAGCCAGGGCAAAAAATGTATTGTTTTTTTTTTTTCTTTTTATCCTCAACCGAGGACATTTTTTCATTTTTTGTACAGATAGAGTGGGAGGGAGAGAGAGGAAGAGAGAGAGAGGGAAACATGGATGTGAAAGGGACATATCGAGTGGCTGCCACCCGCACGACCAATCAGGGCCGGGGACAAACTGGAACCGAGGTACATGCCCTTAGCGGGAACCGAACCTGGGTCTCTCTGGACCGCAGGCGACGCTCTAACCGCTGAGCCAAACCGGCCAGGGCAAAAATGTATTGTTTTTAATACATTTCTCCAAAGAGGACATACAGATGGCCAATAGACATGAAAAGATGCTCAATGTTCCTAAACATCAGAGAAATGAAAATTAAAACCACAGTGAGCCTTGGTTGGTTTGGCTCAGTGGAGCATCAGCCCATAGACCAAAGAGTTGCAGGTTTGATTCCAGTCAAGGGCATGTACTTCAGTTGCAGTTTGATCCCTGGGCCTGTTTGGCGTTAGACAACCAATGAATGTATCTTTCTCACATTAATATCTCTCTCTCTCTCTCTCTCTCTCTCTCTTCCTCCTTCCCTCCCTCCCACTCTATCTGAAAAGCAATGGGAGCCCTGGCCGGTTTGACTCAGCGGTTAGAGCATCGGCCTGCGGTCCCGAGAAACCCGGGTTCGGTTCCACTAAGGGCATGTACCTCGGTTGCAGTTTGTCCCCAGCGCTGGTTGGTCATGAGGGTGGCAGCCACTCTATGTGTACTTTTCATGTCGATTTCTCTCTCTCTCTTCCTCTCTCTCCCTTCTGCTCTACTGAAGAAAAAAATGTCCTTGGGTGAGGATTAAAAACAAGAAAAAGAAAAGCAATGGGAAAATATCCTCGGGTGACGATTAAAAAAGCAAACAAAACAACCACAATGAGATATCACTTCACACCTGTTAGAATGGCTATCTGCAATAAATCAACAAACAAGTGTTGGCAAGGATGTGAAAATAAGGAAATCCTTGTTCGTTGTTGGTGGAAATGCAGAATGGTGCAGCCACTGTGGAAAACAGCATGGAGTTTTCTCAAAAAATTGAAAATGGAACTACCTTGCTTGGCCGATGTGGCTTAGTGCATTGAGCATTGTCCCATGGACTGAGAGGTCCCAGTTCGATTCCCAGTCAGGGCGCATGCCGAGGTCACTGGCTTGGTACCCAATGGAGGGGTGTGCAGGAGGCAGCTGATTGGTGTTTGTCTCTCTCATCAATGTTTCTGTCTCTCCCTAAAAAATAAAAAATAAATCCATATTTTAAAAACCCATTAAATAGACAGCCTCTTTAATAAATGGTGTTGGGAAAATTGGACAGCTACATGCAAAAAAATGAAACTAGACCATCAACTTACACCATACACAAAAATAAACTCAAAATGGATAAAAGACTTAAATGTGACCCGTGAATCCATAAAAATTCTAGAAGAAAATGTAGGCAACAAAATTTCGGACATCATACGCAGCAGAATTTTCACTGATACATCACCTAAGGCAACAGAAATAAAGGAGAAAATGAACACATGGGACTACATCAAACTCAAAAGCTTCTGCACAGCAAAAGAAACAATCATCAAAATGGAAAGGCAACCCACTGTATGGGAGAACATCATTGCCAATGATGTATCAGATAAGGGGTTAATTTCCAATATATATAGAGTGCTCATACAACTCCACAAAAGGAAGACAAAGAACCCAATTAAAAAATGGGCAGAGGAGCTGAATAGACACCTCTCCAAACAGGACATACAAATGGCCAAGAGACATATGAAGAAATGCTCAACATCACTAATCATCAGAGAGATGCAAATTAAAACAACAATGAGGTATCACCTCACACCTGTCAGAATGGCCGCCATCAACAAATCATCAAACAACAAGTGTTGGCGAGGGTGTGGAGAAAAGGGGACTCTAATACACTGCTGGTGGGAATGCAGACTGGTGCAGCCGCTATGGAAAACAATATGGTGCTACCTCAAAAAATTAAAAATTGAACTTCCATTTGACCCAGTGATCCCACTGCTGGGAGTATACCCTAAGAAGCCTGAAACACCAATCAGGAAGAATATATGTACCCCCATGTTCATAGCAGCACTATTTACAATAGCTAAGATCTGGAAACAGCCCGTGTCCACCAGTAGACGAATGGATAAAAAAGCTGTGGTACATATACACCATGGAGTACTATGCAGTGGTAAGAAAGAAAGATCTCATCCTTTGAGACGACATGGAGGGACCTGGAAAGTATTATCCTAAGTGAAAGAAGCCAAGCAGAAAAAGACAAATACCACATGATCTCACTTATACACGGAATATAATGAACATAACAGTCTGAGGAATACAGTAGACCCAGACACATGGAAGTAGGGCACAGACTGACATCCCTCAGAAGAGGGGATAGGGGATGGGGGTTAGGAAGAGATAAACCACAGAACTTATATGCATGTATGCATGACCAATGGACATGGACAACTAAGCCGGGGAAAGGGTGGAGGGGGTGGGGGTGGGGGTGCCATTGGGGTAAAAAGGTAAAATATCTGTAACAAAAAAATAAATAAAAAATAAATAAATAAATAAATAAAAACATTAAATTAAGACAATAATGAGGTATCATCTCACACCTGTCAGAATGACCGCCATCAACAAATCATCAAACAACAAGTGTTGGCGAGGGTGTGGAGAAAAGGGGACTCTAGTACACTGCTGGTGGGAATGCAGACTGATGCAGCCACTATGGAAAACAATATGGTGTTACCTCAAAAAATTAAAAATTGAACTTCCATTTGTCCCAGTGATCCCATTTCTAGGAATATACCCTAAGAAGCCTGAAACACCAATCAGAAAGAATATATGTACCCCCATGTTTGTAGCAGCACTATTTATAATAGCTAAGATCTGGAAACAGCCCAAATGTCCATCTGTAGACGAATGGATAAAAAAGCAGTGGTACATATACACAATGGAGTACTATGCAGCCGTAAGAAAGAAAGATCTCCTATCCTTTAAGACGACATGGAGGGACCTGGAAAGTATTATCCTAAGTGAAACAAGCCAAACAGAGAAAGACAAGTATCATATGATCTCACTTATTTGTGGAATATAATGAACATAACAGTCTGAGGAATGGGTTAGTCCAGGAGACGTGAAAATGGGGTACAGACTGACAATCCCCAGAAGAGGGGGTGAGGGGGGAGAGATAAACCACAGAACTTATATGCATGTATGCATGAACAGTGGACATGGACAGCAAAGCTGAGGACAGGGCAGGGAGGGTGGGGGCAGGGGAATGAGTGGGGGGGAGAAACATCTGTAACAAAAATAAATTAATTTAAAAAAACATTAAAACTGGAACTGCCTTATGACTCAGTGATTCCACTTCTGGGAATATATCTCAAGAAACCTGATACACTGATTTGAAAAAAATATATGTACCCCTATGTTCATTGCAGCACTATTTGCAATAGCCAAGATTTGGAAGGAGCCCAACTGTCCGTCAGTGTGAGTGGATAAAAAAATGTGTGATACAGTTACACAGTGGAATACTACTCAGCTTTTAAAAAGAAGGAAATCTTGCCCTGGCCAGTTTGGCTCAGCGGTTAGAGCGTCAGCCTGCGGTCCACAGAGACCCCGGGTTCAGTTCCCGCTAAGGGCATGTACCTTGGCTGCAGTTTGTCCCCGGCCCTGGTTGGGTCATGTGTGTGTGTGTGTGTGTGGCAGCCACTCGATGTGTCCCTTTCACATCGATGTTTCTCTCTCTTCCTCTTACTCCTTCCCGCTCTATCTGAATAAAAAATGGAAAAATGTCCTCGGGTGAGGATAAAAAAGAAAAAGAAGAAGGAAATCTTACCTTTTGTAATAGCATGGATGGACGTTGTAGATGATATTATGCCACGTGAAATAAGCCAGTCAGAGAAAGACAGATACCATAGGATTTCACTTACATGTGGACTCTCGTAATTAAAATAAACAAATTAGAAAGAGATTCATAGATACAGAGAACAGACTGACAGCTGTCAGGGGTGGCAATTGGGAATTGAGTGAAATAGATGAATGGATTAAGCAAACAAGAAAAACTCAGACATTAATATGGTGATTACCAGATGAAAGGGAAGTCGGGGGTGGAGGGGGGAAGAGGGTAAAGGGAGAATTCATGGTGATGGAAGGAGACAAGACTATGGGTGATGAACACACAGTACAATATACAGATGAAGTATTATAGAATTGTACACTTGAAACTTATTTAAATAACTAATGTAATCCCAATAAATTCAATATAAAAGAAATGCAAAAAAGCAGTGAGATTTACTATAGTTGTTACCACTTTACAGAAATATTCTACATAGGCTTTGAATTTTTAGATCCTTTTTAAGTTTAACTTGGATTATGAATTAATGTTGTAAAGTAGTCATTTGTTTCAAAGAAAATAGAATGTGTTGCCAGATGCCACATTTGTAATCGCATATACCAGTTCTCTTGATGTAATCATTTGCTAAATAAAAACTAACTCTAGAAAGGAGGCACCAAACAATGAATATATTACACCAATTAGATTAAACAGTGCTTTTATTTTTGGCCCTCAATATTATTGAAATTATGTTTATATTTTTAAATGTTTTATTTAAAATAAGTCCTCCCTAAATACAATTTCTTTCTCTAGTGGATCATTTCAGTGGTTGTAACCATCAGTATCATGAGATGATAAGTAAAGACCTCACCGCCCTAAAATTTTGAGAAACATTGAAGACTGTGTCCCTCTCTTGGATTCACATATATGTTAAGATGCTAAAGATATTAAGAAATAGTAATAGTTCTCAAATTTATTTTATCACAACCCTCTTTTTTTTTAAATGTGTTTTTATTGATTTTTTTTTAGAGAGAAAGGGAGAGATAGAAGCATCCATTTGAGAGAGAAACATCGATTGGCTGCCTCCTGCTTGCCCCCCACTGGGGATCCAGTCCGCAGCCCGGGCATGTGCCCTGATTGAGAATCAAACCTGGACCTCTCAGTCCATGGGATGATGCTCAATCCACTGAGCCACACCAGCTGGGCACAACCCTCTTTTTCCCATATCACCTAATAACAGCATGCTTTGGTAGATGTTTAGTGTATTCTTTATACTTGTGATATGTACAAATAATTATTTCTCTTTTAAAGCTGGACAAAAGGAACAAGCTGTGGAGTGGTATAAGAAAGGTATTGAAGAACTAGAAAAAGGAATAGCTGTTATAGTTACAGGACAAGGTAAGGAGCCATCTCAAATTATATTTACACAATTGCCCTGATTTTAAATCCATTTGTCTCAATAAAAGTATTTATAAGTTTTTAAAATGTAATTGTTAATGTTTGTAGACTTACAATTAATGCATTATTACCTATGCTAAAAATGAAGTTATAACTAGTAATGCTCAAACTTGATTGATTATCTGTAGCATCAGGCAGAAATCAGTATATTACCTGTGTCTTTCTTGCACCCACTGTTTGAGCCCTGTGTTTAGCCATATTTTTGAAACCTGTCCTTTCCTCATTGTTGTGGCAGGGAAGAGTGGTTAATGCACAGACTCCCCTTTGCACTTCTATTGCTTGACTGCATGTTAGAATGTAAGCAGTAAATGTCTTATTTTGATTCACAGTTGGCTTTTTAAAACCAAAGCAGTTATTTCTTACCTTTACTTTCCTATCACCTTAAATAAAAAACTGGAGTCTGATATTATCTTTAAATATATATATATAAAAAACATTTATTGTACATTTAATATGTGCCTAAGCATTATTATGCATATTTCATATGTAGTATCTTTTAATTATCACCAAAGCCCTACACTTTGAGGCTGCTGCTATTACCATTATTTTTCAGATGAATAATTTTAAGTACAAAGATGTTAAGTAACTTGCTTAAGGCCTCACAGCTAGCAAGTGGTGGGGTCAGGATTTGAACCCGGGCAATCTTACTTAATAGCCTGAATTGTTTTGTTTTTTTTTATCCTCACCGGAGGACATTTTTCCATTTTTTGTTCAGGTAGAGTGGGAGGGAGAGGGAGGAACAGAGAGAGAGAGAGAAACATCGACGTGAAAGGAACACATCGAGTGGCTGCCACCCGCACAACCGACCAGGGCCGGGGACAAACTGCAACCGAGGTATGCGCCCTTAGCGGGAACCGAACCCGGGTCTCTCAGAACCGCAGGCCGACGCTCCAACCGCTGAGCCAAACCGGCCAGAGCATAGCCTGAATTCTTAAATACTACACTGTGACTATTGTGTAGTACATGGGTACCACTATTAAGTAAGTAAAGTACTTCAGTTTATTATAGCTAAAATAAAATCAGAAGCAAAATAACAATATGTAGGCAAAGAATCTTAGCCTTATGGATCAGTCCACCCAGTGAATTTTTGTTGTCTGGCTGGCTGATAATTGTATCAGCTAATTTCCAATAATTACAATGTATCTAATATTTGCCTTTTTTTTTTCTGTCCCCTTTTATTTGATTACTTCTCTAGCTACTTGTTTTCTGCATACAAGAGAGCAGAATACAACAAGTAAATATAAGTGGTTGGGCATTTGAGATTTATGAGCATGACTTAATGAATTACATACAAAATATATTTGCTGTTCTTTATCAATTGCATAAAGAAGAGTTTGAAGAAAATGAGTTTGTTATAAGAATAGTATTTTGCTGAATCAAAAATGCCTTCAATTCTAACACTAAGAGAAAAGCAATGGCAATTAAACTGACACATTCTCTTCTTATCACTTAGAATTTGAGTTTTAAACCTTACTGAATTTGCTGTCCTATCTGGTTGAGCATCGACCCATGCATCAAGAGGTCACCAGTTCAATTCCCGGTCAGGGTACATGCCCAGGATGTGGGCCAAATCCCCACTGGGGTCATGCATTTGGCGGCCAATTGATGTTCTCTCTCATCGATGTTTCTGTCTCTCTCTCTAAAATCAATAAAGAAAAACAAAAAAGATATGTGAAAGTACTTTCTTAACTTTTTAATAAAGACTATGACTCCCCATGAGATTAGTTGGGGTAACAGTATTTTATCTTGAAGCAATATTAGTAGGAAACATAGATATTTTAATATTTTTTCCATTCTTTTCTTGCAGGTGAACGGTGTGAAAGAGCTAGACGCCTTCAAGCTAAAATGATGACTAATTTGGTTATGGCCAAGGACCGATTACAACTTCTAGGTATCAGTGAATTACATAATTGGAATGAGATTTATCTGAAATATATGTTCAATGAAACTTTTAATGTAGATGGAAATAGAACAGTGATCTTGAAAATGTCATCTAGGCTTTTTTTATTAACTTACAGAAAATTTCTAACATACAAAATAGAAGAGTATAATGATAATTATCCATCACTCTAAAAATTATCAACCCATAGACAGTCTTGATTTATTTACACCAAGGGCTTAAAAACTACACTACAGCCCCTGGGCTAACTGTAGTTCACCGCCCATTTTTATTTTTTATTTATTTATCTTCACCTGAACACATTTTTTTTTTTTTGCATTTATCATTAGATAGAACAGGAGGGGGAGAGGGAGGAAGAGAGAGAGAGAGAGAGAGAGAGAGAGAGAGAAACATCGATGTGAAAGAGACACATCAGGTGGTTGCCACCCACATGACCCCAATCGGGGCCGGGGACAAATTGTAGCCGAGGTACGTGCCCTTAGCTGTAACCGAACCTGGGACTCTCTGGTCTGTGGGCCGACATTCCAACTGCTGAGCCAAACCGGCCAGGGCCACCGCCCGTTTTTATAAATTGGCACACAGCTACTCTCATTATTTTATGTATTGTCTGAGTGCTTTCATGCTACAGTGACAGAATTGAATAGTTGATACAGAGATCATATGACTCTCAAAGACTTTAAAGATGAAGCTTTTTAAAATATTTAAATATTTACTACCTGGCTCTTTAACGAAAATGTTTGCCAACCCCTGTTTATATTCATACCCATTATCTCCCATTTCACATTATTTTGAAACAAATTCTGACATCTTGTTTTATCATTTATAAGTATTTCATATTATATCTCTAAAAGGTAAAGATGCTTTAAAATTAAATCACCAGCCCTGGCTGGTTTGGCTCAGCGGTAGAGCGTCTGCCTGCAGACCAATGAGTCCCGGGTTTGATTCCAGCCAAGGGCACGTACCTAGGTTGCAGTTCGTTCCCAGCCCTGGTTGGAGTCATGTGGGAGGCAACCAGTCGATGTGTACCTCTCACATCGATGTTTCTCTCTGTCTCTGTCTTTCTCTTTCTCTACCCTTGAGTGAGGATAAAAAATAAATCACCGCCCTGGCTGGTGTCGATGTTTCTCTCTCTCTCTCTCTCTCTCTCTCTAAAAATCAATAATGGAAAAAATAATTTTGTTAAAAGGAATGGACTAAAATGGTCACTGTTCAAATATAATATATAACGTAATATCCAGTTGGTATCTCATAATTGGATAATTCTTACTACTTTTTTATAATTGTTTAAATTAGGATCTCAAGAAGATCCATTTATGGCATCTGTGGGTGGTGTGGGAGAGGAACTCAGCATAGAGACGTTGGTGGCTGTCCCTCCAGTCCCCTCATCGAGGGCAGAGGGCACAGTTTAAAAAAAAAAAGTCCTGGCCCTGGCCAGTTTGGCTCAGCAGTTAAAGCATCGGCCTGTAGACCAGAGTTTCAGGTTCGGTTGCCTCTAACTAAGGGCACGTACCTCGGTTGCAGTTTGTCCCTGGCCCTGGTTGGGGTCGTATGGGTGGCAACCACTCAATGTGTCCCTTTCACATCGATGTTTCTCTCTCTCTTCCTCCCTCTCTCCCTCCCACTCTAAAAAAAAAATAATAATAAAAATAGTAAAAATTAAATTAATTAATTAATTAATTAATTTTTTAAAAAAGCCCTGGCCAGTGTGGCTGAGTTGGGCGTCTTGCCGTGCACTGAAAGGGTGCCTGGCTTGATTACTGGTCAGGGCATGTACCTGACTTTCAGGCTTGATCCTTGTTAGGGGGTATGCAGGAGGCAGCCGATTGATGTTCTCCTCTCATAGAACACATGCCTAAATTGTGGGCTCGTTTCCCAGTGAGGGACATGCAAGAGTCAGCCAGTAGATGTTCTCTCTCACTGATGTTTCTGTCTCTCTCTCCGTTTCCCTTCCTCTCTCTCAAATCAATAAAGAGAGAAAAATTAAGGGGGGAAAAAAAAAGACCCATACGGTATATCTATTTTAATATAAAAGTCCATTTTTTGGGGAGTTTATTTGTTAATGAACCAAATCTTTGCCACATACTGTTTCCTACAGTCTGACTTGCTTTGTATATCTCCATGGCAACTTTTAAGCTGTTCTTTTGTCCTTCCTGTAAATGGTATTTGGATACAGAGCCTTGATTGATATAAAAGCTAGGCATTAAAATAATTAATTGTTTAAGAATTTTTTTTGTTTACTAAATTTTAGAGACAGGAAGGGGAGAGGGACAGACAGACAGATATTGATTTGATGTTCCTCTTATTTATGCATTCATTGCTTGCTTCTTGTATGTGCCCTGACTGGAGATTGAACCTGTAACCCTGGCATATCAGGGTAACACTCTAACCAACTGAGCTACCCAGCCAGGGCTGAAAGACATTACTTTTAAAAATAGAGGATGGGAGCCCTGGCCGGTTTGGCTCAGCGGTTAGAGCGTCGGCCTGCGGTCCCGAGAGACCCGGGTTCGGTTCCCACTAAGGGCGTGTACCTCGGTTGCAGTTTGTCCCCGGCTCTGGTCAGTCGTGTGGGTGGCAGCCACTCGATGTGTCCCTTCACGTCGATGTTTCTCTCTCTCTCTGTTCCTCTCTCCCCCTCCTACTCTACCTGAACAAAGGATGGAAAAATGTCCTCGGGTGAGGATGAAAAAAAAAAAAAAATAGGGCATGGGTTAGAATGCATCAACATATTCCTGTCTTCTGAGAACTCAGGTAATTTAGGATTATATCAATAATAGTAAAAATGAGCTATGTACAAGTACACAGTACAGCATATTTGTGTATTATATGCTGGTTAAGAAATGGAGCTTTTTAGAGGTGGAGGGCCAAATAGGTATCTAATTAGGATGGAGAATGATACTGGGAGTTCCCCAGATAGGCTTGATTGAGAAGATGTGGTCTCTCTGATAAAGTTGGAAAGAGTTCATATATATTATATATAGTCCTCCCCAACCCCCCGTTATCCACAGAGGATATGTTCCAAGATCCCTAATGGATACCTGAAACTGCAAATAGTACCGAACCCTTTACATACTATTTTTTTCCTATAAATACATACTTACAATAAAGTTTAATTTATAAATTAGGCAGAATAAGAGATTAACAACAATAACTAATAAAATAGAACAAGTATAACAATATACGGTAATAAAAGTTATGTGAATGTGGTTTCTCAGTATCTCATTATACAGTAATCATCTTTTTACTTGAAGAAAGTTTTAAGGCTTCTCTTTGGCATATCCCAGTTGCCAGCGTCATTAATATTGCACTTTGGGACCATTATTAAGTAAAATAAGAGTTACTTGAAGACAAGCGGGACCATTATTAAGTAAAATAAGAGTTACTTGAAGACAAGCACTGCCATACCTCGACAATTGATCTGATAACCAAGAGAGCTACTAAGTGCCAAGGGGTGGGTAGTGTATACAACATGGATATTCTGTATAAAGAGATGATTTATGCCCTGATCAGGATGGATCGGGTTGGTGCAAAATTTTATCATGTTACTCAGAATGGTACACAATCGAAAACTTATGAATTGTTTATTTCTAGAATTTTCCATTTAATATTTTCAGACCTCAGTTGATCATGGGAAACAAACTGTGGAAAGTGAAACTGCAGATAATTATATCTTCAATTTAGTGACAGTAGACTTCAGAGCAAACAAAGCTTAACCATGAAACCTGCTATAGAGCTTAACCGTGAAACTTGCTATAGAGAAAAGGATAATTTTGGCATCAGCATCTTGGTATATACATGGTGGCATGTGGTTACCCTATTTTTTTCCCTAAATTTAGCTTCATTCAGTGTTCATTTATTAAGTCCTTACTCTCTACTAGGTACAGTGCCAAGGGACATAAACTGAATTTACTAACTGAACAGATATTTACTGGGTGATTACCATGTTGTAGACACTTAGGATAATAGACAAGGATCCCTCCTTCATAGAGTTTATATTCCAGCAGGGGAAGACTGAGAGTAGGCAATAAACATAAAAATAAATTATACACTATGTTAGAAGGTCATAATTGGAAAAAGAAAAAGAAAAAATGAAACACAAGGGGATTAGGAATAGAGACTTGGTTTGGATTTTTAGTTTTAAGTAGGATGGTCAGGGTATGCGTCTTTGAGAAGGTGACATGAGTTAGTCATGCAGGTATCTGAAAAAAGAATGGTCCAGAGAGACATAAGAGCTGAAGCAAAGCCTTAAGAAAACACACGCAACATGTTGGAGAAGCGGCAGAGAGGCCAGTGTGCCCCAGCAAGGAGACTGTTGTAGACATGAGGTCAGAGAACTAAATGGGGATGGGGGGCATCACAGCACAAAGGGCCTTATATGCCACCATGATGTTAGAGCTTTTACCACCTATGAAATGGGGACTGGTTGTAAGGATTTTTAGGAAAGGAATGACATAACCTAACTTAAATTTTAAAAGGACCACTCTGGATGCTATGTTGCATAAGGGTAGAATCAGGGAGAGCTAGTAGGACCACTGTTGTAAGCTAGGAGAAAAACCATAGAGGCTTGGATTAAGGTGATATCAGGAGATATAGTAACAAGTGTTTGGAGCCTGACTATATTTGAAAGTTGAACAGATTTACTGATAGATTGGATAAAATGTTCCTCTCTTTAAGGCTCTCATGATATAGAGGAGGAGGCAGATATACAAATAGATAAATCATGCCATTGCCTGATGGGATATACAAATATTTTGTAGGAGTGGGGAAATAGGTGTCGAAGAAATATTCCTGGAAAAGTTAAACCTAAAGTAGAGATTTTAAAAGATAAAGTTTTAAAAGAATATTTGAGAGAAAGATGGTTCAGGAAGAAATAACAGCATGGACTCAGGGGCAAGAAACCGTATAGTGAGTAGGGAAGGGTACTGGTAGAGATAGGAATTTTAGATTGCATGGATGGCCTTGTTTGTCATATACAGAAGCTTGAGTGCTAATCTACAGGTAGTGGGAAGCTGCTAAAGGGTTTTAAGCAGAACAGTCATGTAAGATTTTTTTTTTTAATCCTCACCCGAGGATACTTTTTTCACTTTATCTTCAGATAGAGTGGAAGAGAGAGACACATCGATCAGTTGCCTCCCACCTGACCCCTGACCAGGGCCGAGGACTGAACCGCAACCGAGGTACGTCCTCTTGACCAGAATCAAACCTGCGAATCTTTGGTTTGCAGGTCAATGCTCTACTACTGAGCCAAACTGGCCAGAGCTTTCCTTATTTTTAATCCTCACCAGAGGGTATTTTTCCATTTTTGTTCAGACAAAGTAGGAGAGAGGGGGAGAGAGAGAGAGAGAGAAACATCAATGTGAGAGAGACACATCGACTGGTTGCTTCTCACACAACCCCAACCAAGGCCAGGACAAACCACCACTGAGGTACGTGCCCTTGAACAGAATCCAGCCCGCGACTCTGGTTCGTGGACCAATGCCCTAACTGCTGAGCCAAACTGGCCAGAGCCAAGATTTCCCTTTAAAATAGATGATTATATGGGGGTTGCATGGGAGGGGATCAATAAGCAAGGTGACTGTTTTATTTTAAATTATTGATTACACATGTGTAGTCATTCTAAAAAGAAGCATTAAACTAAGTTTACATTCTTGAACAAAAATGAATAGGAGCAAGTGCCTGGCCAGTTTGGCTCAGTGGTTAGACCGTCAGCCCACGGACCAAAGAGTCCCAGGTTCGATTCCGGTCAAGGGCATGTACCTCTGTTGCGGTTTGTTCCCGGCCCTGGTTGGGGATGTGCAGGTGGCAACCAGTCACTGTGTCTCTCTCACATTGATGTTTCTCTCTCTCTATCTCTATCTCTCCCCCCTCTCTCTCCTCTCTACCTCCCTCTCTCTCACTCTGTCTGAAGATAAATGTAAAAATATCCTTGGGTGAGGGGGAAAAAATGAATAGAAGCAGGTTCACATTAGCAATGTACTGCTACTGTGTATGTGTGTGTTCCCATGCATGTAAAACTAAACTTTACACATTTAAAAAACAAGTTCTATGGCTTTTATTCCTAGTTATTAGTTACCATAACTAAGGATTTAAATTCTGTTTATTTTTACTGTATAATGAATATTTATGTGAACTTTTGTTACATTTCATTGAAGAGAGTATTAAGTGATAAAGGAGACATTTACAAATCAGTGTTTTTTTCTAATTTATGTCTTTTGCCAACACAACTGGTTTCTTTCTTAGTATGGTGATTTGAACAGTATTATCATTGAGAAAAATCAGATGACCTACCTGTTAACTAACTAACAAGAACAACAACAAAAAAACCCTAGCTCCAAGGTATATTGTATCAGCCCGTTCTAGGATACAAAAGCTGTGTAGTACTTTGTGCTTTGTGCAGAAAGGGTAGCTGCTATTTAACCTGTCCCAAAGGCTTGTGTGGTGTGCCGTAAACCAAGCATGGCGCCTGCTTGTCTGACCTTAGAAATGGAAGTTTAGGAGAGTTAGTATATATGTGCTATATTTTTGCATGTATTCTTTGATTTTCTAGTACAGTGGTTCCCAACCGTTCCATTGCCACAACCCTTTAATACAGTTCCTCATGTTGTGGTGACCCCCAACCATAAAATTATTTTCGTTGCTACTTCATAACTGTAATTTTGCTACTGTTATGTCTTAGGCGACCCCTGTGAAAGGGTCGTTCAACCCCCAAAGGAGTCGCGACCCACAGGTTGAGAACCATTGTTCAAGGATTAAAGAAAATCAGTTATGACGTGAAATGTTTCAACAATAGTAAAGTAAAATCGAGCCCCTATTGTGATGAGACATAGAGTAGGTACTTTATGTATATTATTTAATCCTTGACACTGTTGGAAAACTGAAGCTAAAGCAAGTTGATACCAGTGAGTGAGTGGTGGAGCAGAGTGTTTGTCAACTAGCAGTATGGATTGACTTGAATGGGGGAAAAGAGTATAGCAGTGATGTAGAGTAGCAAGGAATTTCAAACTGCTACCTTCTTGGGCTTTAGGTGCTAGGTAGGCATAGAGACTGGATCCTGAGAAAATTTGTTGTTATTTGAAGTAGGGATAGGGTTGAAATAAACCTTTTAAATTTTTGGTTATTGTTAAAAAGTAGATGATATAGGCATATGCCACAAAATTTTAAAAGTTTAAGTATATCCCTGGCTGGTTTGGCTCAGCGGTTAGAGCGTTGGCCTGCGGTCCTGAGAGACCGGGGTTCGGTTCCCGCTAAGGGCGCGTACCTCGGTTGCAGTTTGTCTCCGGCCCTGGTCGGTTGTGCGGATGGCAGCCACTCGATGTGTTCCTTTCACATCGATGTTTCTCTCTCTCTCTCTCTGTTCCTCTCTCTCCCTCCCACTCTACCTGAACAAAAAATGGAAAAATGTCCTCTGGTGAGGATAAAAAATTAAAAATAAATAAATAAATAAAAGTTTAAGTATGAGCCCTTGCCGGTTTTGCTCAGCGGTTAGAGCATCGGCCTGCGGTCCAGGGAGACCCGGGTTCGGTTCCCGCTAAGGGCATGTACCTCAGTTGCAGTTTGTCCCTGGCCCTGGTTGGTTGTGAGGGTGGCAGTCACTTGATGTGTCCCTTTCACGTTGATGTTTCTCTCTTCCTCTCTCTCCCTCCCCCTCTATCTGAACAAAAAATGGAAAAAAAATGTCCTCAGGTGAGGATTAAAAAAACCCCACAAAGTTTAAGTATGGAAAGCAATCATCTCGCCCTGGCCAGTTTTGCCTAGTGGATAGAGCATCAGCCTGCAGACTAGAGAGACTGGGGTTTGGTTTCCACTAAGGGCACATACCTTGGTTGCAGTTTGTCCCTGGCCCCGGTTGGGGTTGTGTAGATGGCAACCAATCGATGTGTCTCTCTCATATCAATGTTTCTCTCTCCTCCTTCCTCTCTCCCTCCGGCTCTATCTGAAGATAAATGCAAAAATGTCCTCAGGTGAGGATAAAATAATAAATAAATAAATAAATAAACAAACAATCATCTCATACTCTGTCCCAGCCACTCCTTTTCTCTCCCCAGAGGCAGCAGCTGTCACCACTTTCTCTGGATTGTTTATGGCTTTTATTTCTGTGGTTTCAGTTACCTGCAGTCCAAAAATATTAAATAAAAAATTCCAGAATAAATAATATATAATTAAATTGCCTGCTGTTCTGAGTAGCATGATGAAATCTAACATCGTCTCACTTTGTCCTACCCAGGATGTGAATCATTCCTTTGTCCAGTGTATCCACACTGTGTATGCTACCCACCTGTTAGTCATTTAATAGCCATCTCAGTTATCAGATCAGTTATTAGAGAGAGAGACCATTCACATAACTTTTATTACAGTATATTACAATTGTTTTACTTTGTTATTGTTACTAATGTGTTACTCTGCCTAATTTACAAGTTAAACTTTATTATAGGTGTGTATATATAGGAAAACTGTAGTATATATATATACAGGATTCAGTGCTATCTGTGGTTTTAAGGATCCACTGGGGGTCTTGGAATGTGTCCTCTGCAGATAGAGGGGGACTACTGTGATACAAGTGTGCACAAATGGTAGGGTATTGGAAACACAGTTTTGAAGCATGCTTCTTCCATTTTGCTTTATTGCCTTAATCTTTTGCTTGACTTATGTTAAGGTAGCTGAATATGGCCCTGGCCAGTTTGGCTCAGCGGTTAGAGCATCGGCCTGTGGTCCAGAGAGACCCGGATTCGGTTCCCGCTAAGGGCACGTACCTCGGTTGCAGTTTGTCCCTGGCCCTGGTTGGGTCGTGTGGGTGGCAGCCACTCAATGTGTCCCTTTCACACTGATGTTTCTCTCTCTCTCTCTCCCTCCCACTCTATCTGAACAAAAAATGAAAAAAAAATGTCCTCGGGTGAGGATAAAAACAAAAGATAGCTGAATATGGCATTATTTATTTATTTTTCTTTATTGAATTTAGAGAGAGAGGAAGGGAGAGGAGGGAGAGAGAGAAACATCGATGAGAAAGAACATGAATTGGCTGCCTCCTGCATACGCCCCCCCCCCCCCCCCACTGGGGATCAGGCCCACAACATGGGCAAGTGTCCTTACCAGGAATTGTACCGGTGATCTCTTGGTGCATGGATCAATGCTCAACCACTGAGCCACACCGGCCAGGCTAAATATGGCATTTTTTAGACACTCCTTATAGTTTCGTTTTGTCATTTAAGTGCTGTTCTTCTTTCCTGAAATGTCCTTTCTTTTTATCTTTTCAAATCCTAGCCAACTCATAGCCCACTTTTTCTATAAAGCCTTTTTAATGTTCTCTTTTTTTGTGTGTGCTATATAATCTTATAAAAATGTTGTGTTGTAAGTCGCCAATTATTTATTAAGTATATGGATGGTACAGACCATTTTCATTTATTTATCTCCATGCTGCTCTTTCTACTCTATGACTTGGACATACGAGATATTCAGAAAATATTTGCTGGTGATACTAGTGATAGGGAACTGCCTTAGGTTACCAAACCTGAATAAGACAAATATTTTTTTGTAATCCTCACCCGAGGTTATTTTTCCATTGACTTTTAGATAAGAGTGGAAGGGAGGTAGGAAGAGAGAGAGCAAGGTAGAGAGAGAAACATCGATTTGTTGCCTCCCACAGGACCCAGATCAGGCTGGGGATCAAACCTGCAGCCCAGGTACGTGCTCTTGGCCAGAATAAAACACTTCAGTCACTCGGCCAAAACTCTAACCGCTGAACCATACTGGCCAGGGCCATATTTTAACATAACCATTCATTTGTTAATTTCTGTTGCTATTTTAATGTCTGAGTTTTTGCTAATTACTTTTTTAGGATAATTTTATATAAATGTAAAACCCTTCATCATGTAACAAACCTTGTAACACCTTAAATTATTTTTCATTTTCACATGTACCTTTTTTTCATTATATATTTTTTCTTTTTGTTTATTTTGTTCTTTCTTACCCCCCTCTGTTGCATAGAGAAGCTGCAACCCGTTTTGCAATTTTCCAAGTCACAAACAGACGTCTATAGTGACAGTACTAACTTGACATGCCGCAACGGACATCTCCAGTCAGGTGGGTTTAGGTTAACTAACATGTAAAATAATAAAGCTTGCATGCAAAGTGAAATCCTACTTCACCTAATAATGTTGATTTGATTTTATAGTGATAGTTTTGATTGGTTTTTGTTTGCACAAGGCTATATTGAAAATACAGTATCCCTGTCATTCAGTATATAAACATGTAACAAATAAAGTATAACCATTCTCAACATGCTTTATTTGCATATTTTGTAATCTCTAATTTTTAAAATTATAAAATACAAAGGTTCATTTTTCTAAGTTTAAAATGTTTTGTTTCTATTGTACAAGGATACTTTTGGCTCTGATGGAAATATTTTATATCTTGATTTGTTAGTGGCTCTTTCACCAATATATACATCTTATAAACTCATTAAATTGTATTTCTTTTCAACTTACATCCAAATTTTTATTTACTTTATAACCTCCAGTACACGCAAAGTTAATTTTTCAGAAAATAAGAAAACATTTGTAATTTGATCTGAAAGTTTAGAACATGTTAATTGGACAGAAATATAAACAAGTCCCAAAGAAACAACCATAGTATTTAATATTGGGAAAGTAACTTCTAATATAATTAATTTGTGTTTATGATTCATGATTCCATATTTTTTTGCTACACTTTTGTGCCATACATGTAACAAGCAGAAAAATTCCTGGCTATTGCTATTAGCACACAGAAGTTTTTACAAATGTTTCTGTAGTTAGAGGTTCATTGGCCTTGCCCAGGATTCACTGGAAGACTGGCAGTGCCTTAATTTATCACAGGACAGATTCTCAGGAAACCTTGATTATCCTTAATTGGATTTACAGGAGCAAAAAAATGGACACAGTGGCTCTGCCGCAGAAATTTTAAGAAATGGAAAAATATGGAATCCACCACCAATATGATAAAAGGAACATGGTCCCCATATTCATATCCAAGAAAATCCCCATTCAATATAAATGGGGGCTAATGATGAGAATAGTCAAAGGCACGGTGCTTGCTGAGAAGGCACCTCTTTTTCTTGAACCCATAGTTCAGAAGCCAAATTTCAGAGAGTAGAATTAACCCTTCTCGATTAACAGGTTCTTGTCAAACTCCCACATTTCATTCTTTGCTGGTCCCCACCTCCACATTCCAGTAATGGTGGCCAAAGGTGAACCAAGGAGAGGCCAGGCCACAAATTACATAGTTGAATCTGTCAGCACTGGCCCTCCACTTCTTTTTGAAACACCCACTATTGACACTCGTCAAGTCCTCAGAAATGATGTAGTTTGTTGCCTTTGTCAATATCTAAAGTCATAGTATCTACTCGGAACTTCTGCATCCATAGTTTCATTGTCAGAATAGTTCTTAGCTAAGGTTCTAACTCCTTGATCTCTGAAACCAACCTGTCCAGCTGGTTTTTAGATGTGATGTCCTGAGAAACCACAGAACAGAAGGGGAATAGTCCACCCTCCCTGCCGGGCTCCTTCTGCAATGAATCAGTGCACTCGAGGCAGCAAACATATCTACATTTCAGGGTCACAAGGTTTTCAAGATGACTCAGACACACAGGACATCTACATGCTTATATTTTATATGATGATGATGATGATGATGATGATGATAGGAAGGGAAGGAGAAATATAGATCAGTTGCCTTCCGTACTTGCTTAACAGAGGATTGAATCTGCCACCTTTTGGTATACAAGACAATGCTCCAACCAACTGAGCCACACTGGCCAGGACTACATGCTTCTTTAAAGCATTCAGCCATGGCCACTGTCTCTCCTCCGCTAGGTCCTCTTCTGGCCTCTGGCTGTTTTCACAGACAGCTCATTTCTCTGTGATTATTGGCTTTTTAATGAAAAAAAAAAACAAACCACGAAACCACCTTTAGTAGTTCTTTTAATGTGGGTTTGTAGATAGTAAACTCTCCAGGTCTTTTTTTATTTTTTATTTTTATTGATTTTTAGAGAGAGAGAGGAAGGGAGAAAGAGACAGGGAGGGAGAGCGAGAAAGAAACATCAATTTGCTGCTTCACTTACTTATGCATTCATTGGTTCAGTTCTTGTATGTGCCCTGACCGGAATCAAACCCACAACCTTGGTTTATGGGGATGATGCTCTAACCAGCTGAGCTACTTACTCCACCAGGGTTCTCTTAGTCTTTCTAATGTCTGAAAATACCCTCAATTCTTATGTGCTAGGTCACCTGGATATAGAATTGGTGTAGGTTACCACCCCCCCCCACCCCCCTAGTATTTTGAACATACTGCCTACTGACCTTTGCTATTTGTTTATGAAAAGTCAGTCTGGGCCCTGACCAGTGTGACTTAGTTGGTGGGAGCATCATCCCATACACCAAAAGTTCATAGGTTCAATTCCTGGGCAGCACACATACCCAGGTTTTGGTTCAGTTCCTGGTCAGGGTACTTAAGGGAGGCAAAACTGATCGATGCTTCTCCTCACGTTGATGCTTCTCTTTATTGCTCTCTCTCTCCTTCTCCCTTTCTCTCTCTAAAATAAATTATTGTTTTTTAAGTTTTTTAAAAATTTGGCTGTCATTCTCATAGTTCCATGTGGAAATTTCTATCCATCTGTAGTCTCAGGACTGTATATTTCTCTCTGAAGAAATTCTGTCTAGTTTTTGTGCCTTTGAAATGAATATTTATATTCACCCTAGACAGATCTTGTTTTTTTTGTTTTTGTTTTTTTTTTTTATCCTCACCCGAGGATATTTTTCTATTTTTTGTACAGATAGAGTGGGAGGGAGAGAGAGAGGAAGGGAGAGAGAGAGAGAGAAACATCGACGTGAAGGGACACATCGAGTGGCTGCCACCCGCACGACCAACCAGGGCCGGGGACAAACTGCAACCGAAGTACGTGCCCTTAGCGGGAACCGAACCTGGGTCTCTCCGGACCGCAGGCCAACGCTCTAACCGCTGAGCCAAACTGGCCAGGGCGACAGATCTTGTTTTTATTCACATCTTTGCTTTTGCTATTGTCATTCCCTTTTCTAAATGGCTTTCCTGCTTCTACTTTTATGGTCACTAACCATTAGTTCCTTGAGTATGTGGTTCAGAACTTTACATTTATTTGTAAATAAATGTAATCAAACTTTTTGATCACCTTAGTCTACTCTGAACTTTCTTCTTTTGACTTTCCTTAAACCATATTAAGGGATTTGATGACAGTAGCAAAAACTAGGCTTTTTTTCTTTCTCTAGGCTACTGAATTTGCTGACTGATTTAACATTTGTCTTCAGGGTAAACATTGTATATAAAAATATTATTTGGAAGCAGTGAGATTTTAACATTTTTTGTTTGTTTTTATGTAAAGAACTCTAGGTAAATCAGGTAATCTTTTAGACTTAATTGAAGGTATTCTATACATATTTATTTACATATATAATACAGCACGTAAAATTCTTGGCTTACTAAAAACTACATCTTTATACCCTTTACATTTAAAAAAAATGATTGTTTAAAAATAAAAAAGCTCTTGGTGGGCACAGACCATGGACTTTTTTTTTTTACCATTTTGTAGTCTTTTTTTTTTTTTAATCTTTATGTTGAATGTATTACAGATGTTCCTCATTTTTCCCCCATTGACTCCTCCTCTCCACTCCCGGCCCCCTTCTGCCTTTTCCCACACTGTTGTCTCTGTCCATTGGTTACATATAAGTTTTTTGGTTTATCCCCCCACCCTCCCACCCCCCACCTGACCCCCTTCCCTTTGAGGTTTGTCAGTCTAGCAACCAATTTGTACTTCTTAATCCCTTCACCTTTTTCACCCATTCCCCCAACTCCCTTCCCATCTGGCACCAACAAAATGTTCTCTGTATCTATGAGAATGTTTCTGTTCTGCCTGTTCATTTTGTTTGTAGATTCCATTGTCGATAGATACGTATTCATTGCCATTTTGTTTGTTCATATATTTTATCTTTTTCTTCAAAAAGACCCTTCAACATTTCATATAATAACGGTTTGGTGGTGATGAACTCCTTTAACTTTTTCTTGTCTGGGAAAGTCTTATATAGCCATTGATTCTAAATGACAGCTTTGCAGGATAGAGTAATCTTGGTTGTAGGTTCTTACTGAATATTTCTTGCCACTCCCTTCTGGCCTGCAAAGTTTCTTTTGAGAAATCAGCTGACAGTCATATGGGAACTCCCTTGTAGGTAACTCACTGCTTTTCTCTTGCTGCTTTTAAGATTCTCTCTTTGGTACTGGCCAGTTTGGCTCAGCAGTTAGAGCGTCAGCCGGCAGTCCAGAGAGACCCGGGTTCGGTTCCCGCTAAGGGCACGTACCTCGGTGGCAGTTTGTCCCTGGCCCTGGTTGGTCATGAGGGTGGCAGCCACTCAATGTGTCCCTTTCACGACGATGTTTCTCCCTCTCTCTCTCTCCCTCTCTCTCCCTTCCACTCTATCTGAACAAAAAATGGAAAAAAAAAGTCCTCGGGTGAGGATAAAAAAAAAAAAAAAAGATTCTCTCTTTGTCTTGAACCTTTTGCATTTTGATGATGATGTGTCTTGGTGTGGGCTTCTTGGGGTTCATCTTATTTGGGACTCTCTGTGCTTCCTGGACTTGTATGTCTGTTTCCTTCACCAAGTTAGGGAAGTTTTCTGTCATTATTGTTTCAAATAGGTTTTCCATTTCTTCTTCTCTTTCTTCTCCTTCTGGCACCCCCAAGATGCGAATGTTGGCACGCTTGAAGTTGTCCCAGAGGCTCCTTACACTCTCCTCATTTTTTTGGATTCTTTTTTCTTTTTTATCCTCATCCGAAGACATTTTTCGATATTTTGTTCAGATTGAGTGGGAGAGAGAGAGAGAAACATCGACATGAAAGAGACACATCGAGTGGTTGCCACCCACCCCAACCAGGGCCGGGGACAAACTGCAACCAAGGTATGTGCCCTTAGTGGAAACCTAATCTGGCTCTCTGGACCACAGGCCGACGCTCTAACCGCTGAGCCAAACCGGCCAGGGTGGATTCTTTTTTCTTTTTACTGTTCTGATTGGGTGTTTTTTGCTTCCTTAGATTCCAAATCGATGTTTTGCTTCTTGGTTTACCTACTCTACTATTGAATCTGTGTAAATTATTCTTTATTTCAGTTAGTGCCTCCTTTATTTCTGACTGTGCATCCTTCATTTCTGACTGGTCCTTTTTTATGCTCTTGAGGCCCTCACTAAGCTCATTTAAGTTTTCACTAAGTTCATTGAGTATCCTTAGAAGCAGTATTTTGAACATCTGTTAGGTTGCTTATCTCCATTTCACTTAGTTCTTTTCCTGGGGTTTTGTTCCTTTCATTCATTTGGGACCTGTTTCTTTGTCTCCTCATTTGGGCCACCTTCCTGTGTTTGTTTCTATGTATTACTTAAACGAGAGGTATGGGGCTATCTGAGACCAGATGCTGCTTGTTTGAAAGAATTTTGGAAAACCTGAAGCAGGATCCAAGAGAGGCCAATACTATGGTTAAGCAACTGGCAACAGCTTGGGTGGGCCTGAAAGTTGGGTGGGGCGGGGCCTCAGGGAATCACCAGGGCAGGGCCAACAGTGTGAGCCAGGTTGCTGGAGTCCCAGATGTGGCAGCTGTCTGCCGCCCCAGGGAAGGGCTCACCAAAGGGACAAATGCTTCTGACAGCACATCTGTCCTGGAGAAAGCCCCCTCTCCAGCCCTTGCTCCAATGCCAAACAGTTCAGTTCTTCCCTGTATGTCTCTGGCGCAATAAGCTACCTCCCCTCCAACCTTAGAGGGAGTGAGTCTGATAAGTCTGTGCTCAGGCCCTTTAAGAGGAGCTTCCTGGGGATCCAACCGCCTCAGCCTCCTTGAGCCTCAGTTCCCGCTGGTTTTACAGCCAGAAGTTATGGGGACTCTCTTCCTGGCACTGGAACCCTGAGCGGGGTGCCTGGTGTGGGACGGGGATCCCTCAGTCCTCAGGGAGGGTGTCCCTCCTGATTTTTATCTGCCACACGTGGGTGTGGGACCAGCCTGTCCACCTCCACCCCTCCTACCAGTATCGATGTGGCTGATGCTTTAATTCCGTAGTTGTAGGACTTCCATTTAGCTCGATTTCAGGTGGTTTTGAATGATGGTTGTTCCGTAGTTTAGTTGTAACTTTGATGTGGTTGTGGGAGAACTCCATACTGCTTTGGCCTACATTGCCATCTTGACCGGAAGTGTACAACCTATTCCTAATGCCTGTACTATATTTTCTTTCTTAACTATTTGTCAACTTTATTTGCTTGGTAACCCTTTTATATCCTCCTCCTGCCCTACAAATAAAGTTCATTTTGTTACAAATACATCTTTATAAGAAAATTAAAATATACATCAAGAAAAGGAAAAAACTAAATAACCATAATCTCATCTACCCAGTGACAACTTCTGTGAACCCTCTAGTATATATTCTAATTGAATTCTTATTTTGAACTATTCTTGAAATTAAAAATATTTTTTTTTACAAATTAGTTTTACAAATTTGTACTGTTCTGTAGTCTTTTACAATGTTTAACAGCAATTTTTCTAACCACAATGATTTTGCTATTTCCTTATTAGAAAGTGGAGCGGTTCCAAAACGAAAAGATCCCTTAACACACACTAGTAATTCACTGCCTCGTTCAAAAACAGTTATGAAAGCTGGATCCACAGGTCTTTCAAGCCACCACAGAGCACCTAGCTGCAGTGGTTTATCCATGGTTTCTGGAGTGAGACAGGGACCTGGTCCTGCAGCTGCCACTCACAAGGTATTTGGAGACAGAATTTAATTGCTATGCTTTTGGAAATAGAAAAATTTGAACATTATATGTTTGTTTCAGTTTATTACAAGTATTTTATAATACCTTAAATAATGTTTCCACAAAATTTAATGTAATTTGTTTTTAATCTATAAGGGAAGCTTGCTGTTAAAAAGCCTATCTAATCCCCCCCCCCACTTTTTTTTTTTATCCTCACCCGAGGACATTTTTCCATTTTTTGTTCAGATAGAGTGGGAGGGAGGGGGGGGAGAGAGAGAGAGAGAGAGAGAGAGAGAGAGAGAGAGAGAGAGAGAAACATCGACGTGAAAGGAACACACAGAGCAGCTGCCACCCTCACGACCAACCAGGGCCAGGGTCAAACTGCAACCGAGATACATGCCCTTAGCGGGAACCGAACCCGAGTCTCTCTGGACCACAAGCCAACGCTCTAATTGCTGAGCCAAATCGGCCAGGGCTAATTTCCCCCCTTTTTGGACCTAATTAGGCTTTATTTACAGTAAATTTGCTTATCCAGTTTTATATAATGCTATATAGTTTATTTTAGATTTATTCTTTTAATTAAACCTATGTAAATGTTTTGTAACATTAAACGTGCTTAGAGTTTTGTTACAATTCTAACATGGATCAGAATTATATGACTGTATTGTCATAGACCCTTTTCATCTTTTTTATAAAATATGTTTTTATTGATTTTTTTAGAGGAAGAGAGAGAGAGAAATATCAATGTGAGAGAGATACATTACCTCCTGCAGGCCCTTTATTGGGGATTGAGCCCACAACCCAGGCATGTGCCCTTACCAGGAATCGAACCGGGACCTTTCAGTTCCTGGGATGACGCCCAATCCACTGAAGCCAGGCCAGAGGGGCCAGCCTTTTTATCTTACAGTGACTAAATTTCTGGATAAAATCCTTTATGAACCCACTTCATGCCAAATGCAATTCTATAGTAAATACTATTTTACCTTGGAGTAAATACACTTTTTTTGGATTTTTACATTCTTTTTTCTATTTAAAATTTTTTTTTTTTATTATTGATGTTTAGAGAGATAGGAAGGGAGAGGGAGAGAAAGATGGAAACATTGAATAGAATGAACATCGATTGGCCTCCTCCTGCATGCGCCCCACTGGGGATTGAGCCACAACCTGGGCATGTACCCTGACCAGGAATCGAACCGGTGACCTCTTTGTGCATGGGTCGATGTTCAACCACTGAGCCACACCAGCCCAGCTCTTTTTCCTATTTTTAAACCTTCAATTCTATGAACTTTAAAATTAATTCACTTATAAAAACTGTAAATGTTAGGTTGTATTTTCACATTAAAATTTTGTGTCCTTTAAGAGTACACCAAAAACAAATCGAACAAATAAACCTTCTACCCCAACAACTGCTGCTCGTAAAAAGAAAGACTTGAAGAATTTTAGAAATGTGGACAACAACCTTGCTAACCTTATAATGAATGAAATTGTGGACAAGTAAGTTTTGCCATCTAAAGTGTTCTATTTTACAATTTTTATTTTTGAATTTTATTTATAAAATTTATCACGAGTGAAATAGATAATAAATACCTTGTGTAATTTACATTTAATTTTTATGATGATTTTTAATTACTATATGTAGACAATCATTGTTTTACTGATTTAACTGTTGTTTCACAATTAACATAAAAATGACCATGTTTCATAGAGCTTAGACTTCATTTTATAATAGCTGAAGTATATTTCTATTGAGATAACTGAAGTTCTGTTTCTTAGTGGAACGGCTGTTAAATTTGATGATATAGCTGGTCAAGAGTTGGCAAAACAAGCATTGCAAGAAATTGTCATTCTTCCTTCTCTGAGGCCTGAGGTAAGGACTGTATATTGTCATTTTTCTATAATATTATCTATTATTGAATCTACGGTAGCAGTAAAGAAGTATATGAGCTATGCTAGAATGATTAATTTAGGTAACAGTACATTTAATGTTTGTTTTTTAAGAAAATAACACTAGCAATTGATGTTGACTAGTTGTTATAGGCGAGGAGAAGGACTATAAGGATTCCTAATTCCCAACCCATTTTAACATGTATGGGAGATAAAGGTAAGAGGGATTTAAAATTAAAAGACAGAAATCAGCCCTAGCTGGTTTGGTTCAGCGGTAGAGCGTCGACCCGCGGACCAAAGAGTCACAGGTTTGATTCCGGTCAAGGGCATGTACCTGGGTTGTGTTTCAAGCCCCAGCCCTGGTCAGGGTCATGCGAGAGACAACCAGTCGATGTGTCTCTCTCTCTCCTTCCCTCCCACTTTATCTAAAATCAATGGAAAATTATCCTCGGGTGAGGATTAAAAAAAAGGCAAGAAATCATATTGGAGGAAAAAGAAATTACAATAAAATTATTCTTTAAGTCTAAGATTGAAGAACAGGTTTTAAAAGAATTCTTTTCAGGGATATTAAGTCATGAAAGTAAGTAGAAAGCTAGTGAATGATGGGTAGGGATCTAACTTTTCATCCCATGTTTAAATTTTTATTTTACGTATTTATTTTTAAATGTATATATTGATTTTTTTATAGAGAGTAAGGTAGAGAGAGACAGAAACATCTATGTGAGAGAGAAACATTGATCAGCCACTTCCTGCATGTCCCCCACTGGGGATGGAGCCCGCAACCCGGGCATGTGACCTGACTGGGAATCGAACTGGGACCTCTCAGTCCATGGGATGATGCTCAGTCCACTGAGCCACACCACCTGGGCCCATCCCATATTTTTACACTCACTAAGGAAGTTAGGCATACTTGCAATTAATAATAAATATTTGATTGTCCATACTTAGCACTATTTTGGATTTTCACAATTCACAGATTGCATACTTGGTGCTGTTCTGATAATGTTGCAAAAATAAATCTCAGGATCCACTTCCGGGTCTGTTATTTCTCTTCTCATTGAACCTTCAAGTCTTCTGGATTCATTTACACGACCTAGTGAAAATAGATGATGTGTGGCACATTGCATTTTTCGATGAATGTGTGAAGGTCTTGTGGCTCTGTTTTTCCAGGGTCTCACTTATTCTAATGATACTTCATGCTGTTACAACTCATGAGTACTAACTGTACTGGAACTTACTGAATATTTTCAAGTCTGCTTTCTTTGTTTTATACTTCTTATTCATTCTAAGCAGCAGTGTACATGAAATCACTGGTTTGATAAATTAATTGAAATGTTGATAATACACAGTAAAATAACTTGAGAATTATTTTTTTTTTTTTTTTTTTTTTTTTTTTTTTTTTTTATCCTCACCTGAGGACATTTTTCTATTTTTTGTTCAGGTAGAGTGGGAGGGGGAGAGAGGAAGAGAGAGAGAAACATCGATGTGAAAGGGACACATCGAGTGGCTGCCACCCGCACGACCAACCAGGGCCGGGGACAAACTGCAACCGAGGTACATGCCCTTAGCGGGAACCGAACCCGGGTCTCTCGGGACCGCAGGCCGATGCTCTAACCGCTGAGCCAAACCGGCCAGGGCATAACTTGAGAATTATTAAAATAGAAAGTATTTGTCTTTATACAAATCAAATTTAACTCTTGTACCACCTCAGACAACACTTTGGGGCAACATATTGTAGCCTTTATATTGGGCTAACTTTTTGCTGGAGTTACGTAAGTTTAGCAAATGCAGCAGACTGAGTATTGACCAAAAATGGCTTGTTGAAAGGACTCCAATAATTTTACACCTAAAAAGGATCTTAGCAATTATGTAGTCCATTTGTTGATAAAGATATTTGTCCTAAGACCTAAATTACTTGCTCGGGATTATGGTTAAGTGGTGGACCTAGGAAATTAAATAAAAATGAGATTCTTGAGATAAGAACTACCTCCTCAGCACTATAGCTGCCACATCTTTGTTGTTGTTGATCTTCACCTGAGGATATTTTTTCATTGATTTTTTTTCCGATAGAGTGGAAGGGAGGGAGGAAGAGAGAGAGAGAGAAAGAGAGAAAAACATCAGTTGGTTGTCTCCCAAATGATCCTGACCAGGGATCAAACCTGCAACCTAGGTACGTGCTCTTGACTATGAATTGAACCCGACCCTTTGGTCCACAGGCTAACGCTCTAACCACTGAGAAAAACTGTGTTACCACATCTTAAATGTGGGTTTTAGTATTAATGAAGTGTCATGCTTTCCTTTTTTTCTTTTTCTTTATTGATTTTAGAGAGAAAGGAAGGGAGAGGGAGAGAGAGATAGAAATGTCGATGAGAGAGAACATTGATTGGCTGCCTCCTGCATGCCCCCCACTGGGGATTTGGCCCACAACCTGGGCATTTGCCCTGACTGGGAATCGAACCTGTTACCTCTTGATACATGGGTTGACGCCCAACCACTGAGCCACATCGGCTGGGCATACACCTTCACTGTTAAGTAAAGTGTTAATCTGGTTCTTCACCCTTTACTCCTGCCACACCTGATGTCCCTAAGTCTGGAGAATCTGGTTGAATTTCTCTAGAATAAAACTTCTCCTTTGGTTGTGGAAGAGGAGTGCTTGCCTAAGTGCTGTTTTTTGGGGGAAAGGAACATTGCTTCAGTTCTTCATACAAACATTTATTTTTTGTTTCCTTTATTGATTTTAGAGAGAGAGGAAGGGAGCGGGAGAGAGAGATAGAAACATTGATGAGAGAGTACATTGATTGGCCGCCTCCTGCATGATCCCCACAGGGTATTTGGCCCACCACCTGGGCAATGTCCTGATAGGTAATCGAACCAGCGGCCTCTTGGTGCATGGGTCAATGCTCAACCACTGAGCCATACTGGCTGGACCAAACATTTATTTATCCTCACCCAATGATATTTTTTACTTTTTTTTAAAATTCCTCACCTGAGGATATTTTTCCATTTATCATCAGAGTGGGAGGAAGGGAGAGAGAGAGGGACAGAGAGAAACATCGATGTGATAGAGCCATGTCGACTGGTTGCCTCCCGCATGACCTGACCAGGGCCGGAGACAAACCGCAACAAGGTTATGTGCCCTTGACCGGAATCGAACCCACGCTCATTAGTCCGAGGGCCTACGCTCTAACTGCTGAGCCAAACTGGCCAGGCCTGAGGATATTTTTCCATTGATTTTGTTATGGAGTAGGAGGGAGGAGGGATGGGGGAGTGAGAGAGAGAAAAAACATTGATGTGAAACCGACACATTGATTGGTTGCCTCTCTCAGAATCTCAACCAGGGCCAGTACCAGGGTTCGAACCACAACCAACATACATGCCCTTGACTGGAATCAAACCCACAACTCCTTGGTTTACTGTCACTCTAACTGCTGAACCAAACCAGCCGGGGCTTCATGCAACCTAATCTGGCCACACCAGTGTGGCCCAGTGGTTGAGCATCGACCCATGCACCAAATTGTCGCTGGTTCAATTCTCGGTCAGGGCACTTGCCCCAGTTGTGGGTCCAGTCCCCAGTGCGGGATATGCAGGAGGCAGCCAGTCGATGTTCTCTCTCATCAATATTCCTATCTCTCCCTTTCCCTTCCTCTCTCTTTAAAATCAATAAAAGGAAAAAAATTTTAAACAAACTTTTAATTTGTTTCTCCGTTTTGGGCTGCCTACCGTACTCGTGCTTTCTCCGGTACCTGATGCCTCCACTTCCTGAGCTTTTCCAGGGATTTTTTTTTTTTTTTTATCCTCACCCAGGGATATTTTTCCATTTTTTGTACAGATAGAGTGGGAGGGAGAGAGAGGAAGGGAGAGAGAGTGAGAAACATCGACGTGAAAGGACACATCGAGTGGCTGCCACCCGCACGACCAACCAGGGCCGGGGACAAACTGCAACCGAAGTACATGCCCTTAGCGGGAACCGAACCCGGGTCTCTCCAGACCGCAGGCCGATGCTCTAACCGCTGAGCCAAACTGGCCAGGGCTTTTCCAGGGATTTTTGTTTATATCAGCTTGCTCCTTGTATCTAGGTATCCCTTCACAAGCAGACACTTAGGTTTTAGCTTCCTTGGCTATTCTTTCTATTCTTTTGTTTTGAAGAATTTTTATCTTTTTTACTTATTTATTATTATTTTGGTAAGATTTCTAAAGGAAGTAGAGAAGCATACCTATGTTCAGTAATATGGCCTGTTTTCCAAGTCTGCTTTCATTTTGATCAATGAGGATTTGGTTTTCTTTTGTTTTTTTCTGCTTTTGATAATTACACTAATTTGTTGACTATGTATTCTCTTTAGAGCTCTGTTATGGAGGATGCTGCTGAAAAATTATGCTTTTTAGATAACAAATAAGTATTTAAATGTCTGGAAAAAAGTGTCTCCAGAATCATAGTTGTGTATCTATTTTTAAGTTGTTCACAGGGCTTAGAGCTCCTGCCAGAGGATTGTTACTCTTTGGTCCACCTGGAAACGGGAAAACAATGCTGGTAAGAATTTTTTCTAAATTTGAATGCTCTATTAAGATAGTGGGGATAATAATTTTTTAAAAAAACTACATTGTCCCTGAGTTTATTATTTATGACTTGCTTTTAGTTATAATATATTTTGTTTAAAATTTTAAACCAGTTTTCAGTGACAAAATAGATGGAAAACCATATGTTATCTTCAGTCATATGTTTGGGCTAGTTAAAATTTTTACCTTAGAAGAACTTATCTTACTATATTATTTTCCTAACTCTTGATTTGTTTTATTATCTTAACAGCTTTATTTAAACAATCAGCATAATACAGATTTTTTTCTTTTTCTTAATTGAAGTATAATTGATGTACAACAGATTTTTTTTTTTCAATCGTCACCGGAGGATATTTTTCTCTTTATCTTCAGATAGAGTGGGAGGGAGGGAGAGAGACAGAAAGGAAGAGAGAGAGAAATATTGACATAAGAGGGACACATCAACTGGTTGCCTCCCACACCACCCCAACCAGAGCTGGGGACGAACCACCACTGAGGTATGTGCCCTTGGCCAAAATCGAACTCGTGACTAATTGGTCTGCGGGCCGATGCTCTAACACTGAGCCAAACTGGCCAGGGCAGATTTTTTTTTTATATCCTCATCCGAGGATATTTTTTTCATTGATTTTTAGAGTGAGAGGGAGGAAGGGGAAGTGAGAGAGAGAGAGAAAACATCAAAGTGAGAGATACATTGATTCGTTGCCTCTCATACAACCCAGACTAGGGCCAGGGATGGAACCCGCAAATGAGGTACGTGCCCTTGACCGGGAATCAAACCCACAACTTTTCAGTCTGTGGGCCACTGCTCTAACTGCTGAGCCAAACCAGCCGGGGCCATACAACAGATTTTTTTTTTTTTAATAGAGGAAGTGAGAGGGAGAGAGAGAGAGAGAAACATTGATGAGAGAGAATATTGATTGGTGCCTCCTGCATGCCCCCCCTTCCCAGTGGGGATCAGGCCCATAATCTGGGCATATGTACTGACTGGGCATTGAACCTGCGACTCTTGGTGTATGGATTGACGCTCAACCACTGAGCTACACCAGCTGGACCAGATTTTTTTTTTCTAATATCCTTTTGCCAAAAGCTTTAACTAGAATTTGGATACCTTTCTCCTGCATAGCTCTTAGAGAGGGAAAAAGTTAATAGGGAAGGAATGACTTTTTTTCTTAACTGTTTATCTTTTTATAACTAGGAAGAAAATAACACCTTTTTTTTAAACCTCTCCCTATCTATTCTCCCTTAGAAAAAAGGGGAGTGGAAAGAAGCACAGGTCTTCATTGATCTTCTTATTGCTGGGAAGGAAACTCATTGCCACATGTTGGGGATGGTGTCTTTGCCTTATATTTTCAGATATTCCTTTCTTGTACTTAAGTTGATCAAATGTGTTTATCTTTTCAAAGCAAGATATTGATCTAATACACTATATGTCTTTGTGACTTTTAAAGGCTAAAGCAGTAGCTGCAGAATCAAATGCAACCTTCTTTAATATAAGTGCTGCAAGTTTAACTTCAAAATATGTGAGTATCCTTTCCAGTACTGTCATGTTTTAAGTTACTGCCTAAATGTTAGTGTTAAGTGTAAATGGTAATGTCATTACACAAAAATATTTGTCTGTGAGTTTTATATCTATTATTCAGAGATGATGAATATCACTCTTCATAGTAGAAACTCATGTGTATTTTGTTAGGATATTTTAAAATTAGAATTGTGATGTCAAATATTGTATTAGTTTGCTAAGGCTGTGTAACAAAGTACCATAAACTGGCTGGCTTAAACAACAGAAATTTATTGTCTTATAGTTTTGGAGGCTAGAAGTCCAAGCTCAGATATTGGCACGGTTCTCAGTTTTGTAAAGTAATTAAAAGTAACTATAAACAATACCTCTTTTCTTGGTTACATTTTATTTCCTATGTGAAATTTTATACGTAAAATGGTTAATAATATTTGTTTATCCATATTATACACATAGTATAATGGAAAACACTGTCTTGGAAGTTGGAAGAATGGGATTCCAACTAGCTTTTACATACTGAGCAGGCCGTAAGAAAGGATCAATTCAGGCCTTACTTCATTTATTAAGTGTTGATGTCGTAAGAGGTGATCTCTTTCATTTCCCTCCAGAATTTTTTTTCTTTTTCTTCAATCATACACATACTTTGATGACCTTTATATATAGGTCAAGGTATGTGATGTATATTTATTTATGATTTTTGTCTGGGGCCAATTTTTTTTTTTCTGTTTTTTATTTTTATTTTTATTTATTTTTATTTTTTTATCTTTTAAAAAGCTTTTATTAAAGGTCTTTATAGAGCAACATCCAGACTCCAGATCCAGCTGCCAAGGAGACCCTGTTACGCTGTGGGTACTGGCTGGGGCATGGCAGGCGGCTCTGGCTTCCCACCCTTCTGTTCTGAGATGGGCATGGTGGGCAGTATCTCATCTTTGGGTTCCACAATGCTCACATGGTCAGGCAGCGGCTTCTTAGGGCCTATCTTACCACTTGGGTCCCAAGGAAGCATGATCTTCACTTTGATGCCAAGCACACCTTGCCTGAGCAGCACATGGCACACGGCAGTGTCAACATAGTAGTTAACAGGGTCCCCACTGTGGACCATCAGACCATCAACAAACTTCATGGATTTAGCCCTCTGTCCTCGGAGTTTCCCAGACACCACGACCTCACAGCCTTTGGCCCCACTCTCCATGATGAACCGCAGCACACCATAGCAGGCTCTCCGCACCGCAAGGCCTCCGAGGAGTTTGTAATGCAGAGACTCTGCCTGGGCAATAGCACACAGACCTCTTGTGGCCACCTTTTCGGCATAAAGCTCTACACTGCCCTCAGGGAAGCCAGACCTCTTCTGAACCACAGCAGTCAATTCCCGGATGCGTCGGCCCTTCTCACCAAGAACATTCTATGTCCTGGTGGCTAAAATAATAATTTCTGTCCTGGTTGGTGTAACTCGGACCTCAACTCCAGAGTAGCCATCTTCTGCCAGCTCCCGAGTGAGAAATTCGTTCAGTTCAGCTTTGAAGATGCCATCAGCAACAAACTTCCTCTTCTTGGAAATTTGCACCGCCATCTTGCCGCCCTGCACCGCCGAAGGAAAAGCTTTTCTGTTTTTTAAAATGAAATTTTCAATAAAAGAATAGATGTCAACCAAAGGCAGAAGAGTTTTTATAGTAGATTACCCCAAACCTCATGACCCTTTCATTAGAGACTTTGGCGCATAGAGTGGTTTTATTATAATGTCTCGGGGTGTTCACAAACCTCCTGGTCTACCTAGAAATATTTCTATATTTACTGACTCATATTGTGAGAATAAGTTTTCAAGGTGTTCTTAATAGAACAAGTTTTGTTCAGTAGGGTACTTTCTAACTTACCTGTTTCTGTAAATATACCCTGCAACCTAGTGCTAAAGGAATATGTACAGCATCTCTTACTCTCCCCTTCAATTTTTTCTTCCCACTAGTTTTACCTTTGACTAATGGCTATTTAATTCTCAAGCCATAAGAATACAGTATCAAGCAAGATAGAGATATATTTTATTTTTTATAGTACTTACCAGACTGTATTAAATAATAAATAAATGGTCTGTTTTCTAAAATTATAAGGGATGTTTCAGTAACCTCCTCTACCCTCTTCCCAGTTTCTTAAACCAAACCTTTGGTTATTGCAAAGAAAGGAAATTAAATTCCTATGTTCTAAACTTTCAATCGTGAAAACTAAAAAACTGAATAATGTTACATTTTATAAATGTGATTATGTGTAATGCCTGTTTTAGGTGGGAGAAGGAGAGAAGTTGGTGAGAGCTCTTTTTGCTGTGGCTCGAGAACTTCAACCTTCTATAATTTTTATAGGTAAGAGCATGTGTACCTTCTTAGCTGAACCTTTGTGAAATTTCCTTCTCCAAGTGTAAGCGGTATTATAGGGAAGGTTATTCAAAAGAAAAGTTTTAAAGAAGCACAAAGTTAAAGACTAATGAATTGAGTAGGACCCACTGTATTAATAACTTAAGTAGTAAACTAGATTAATCTCGGATAACTCATATAGCTTGTCTTATCCTTCATCTAGATGAAGTTGATAGCCTTTTGTGTGAAAGAAGAGAAGGAGAACATGACGCTAGTAGACGTCTAAAAACTGAATTTCTAATAGAATTTGATGGTGTAAGTATTGACTATGATATTTTTAATATGGTAACATTTTAATGTATATATTTTCCTGTTAAATGACCCAATTAGAATTATAGATACCTTTATTATGTTTTTCTTTGTTGTTACTTTCTCTAAAAGTACTGAAAAAAATATTTTTGCCTCATAGGTACAATCTGCTGGAGATGACAGAGTACTTGTAATGGGTGCAACTAATAGGCCACAAGAGCTTGATGAGGCTGTTCTCAGGTAGGAAATTTATGTAGAAACACATTTATTACAGATATGTTTAGTCGTATGTTCATCTCACATATTTCTTATTTCCTTTACTCTCAATTTAAAAACTAAATTTATTATTTTACTCCTTATATCCATGTTCTTGCCTCTTGTTACCAACTAAAGATTTTGAAGACAGGGCCAGCAGATTATCAGGAAAACTGCTCTTTATTTTAAGGCTTTAGGCAAACTGCCTATTTTGGGGGGGTTGGATTAAATTATCTTAAAACTTCAAAATTGATTCTTACCCTCTTTTATTGGGCTTCGTGAGAAGCTGATAAAAGCAAGTTTCATGAGAACCATGTCATGTTCTCTCTTTATGTGTTAAAACAAATTTGTCCCCTTCCTACTGGGAGGACCGTTTGACTCAGCGTAAAATTATTGAGACTCCCTTTCTTTTCCTGAGGAGTCTAGAACATTGCCCCATTGTTTCTAGGGTTGGATGTTGCAGTATAAAAGTCTGAAGCCAGCCTACCTTTATTCACATTCATGGGTTAACTTAATTTTCTTCTTACTGGATACAATTTCCAACTAGTGAAATCTAGTTATTTGAAAAATGTGTTTATTTTTCCTGGGATTTGATGTTTGTTTAAATTGATAGTTTGGAAACCTCCTTTGTTTATTACTATCTTTAATTTTTTTTTTCCTAATTTTTCTGTTTTTGTTTTTTTTTCTTCTACACACAATTTATGCGTTATGTTGCATCTTTTTTTCTTCCATGTCTATAATTTCCTTTTCAATCCTTTAAAACTTTTAGGTCTTTTTGTTTTGTTTTTGTCTGTTTTCCCATTTGTTGTCTTTATTTCTTACTGGGTTAGTGTCTAATCTCCTTTCTGCTACTACTTGTCTAACCTTTGTTTCTCTGGTGGTTTTTGTTTTCTTTCTCATTGCTTTCCTGATCTCTGTGGTCCATTTTTTCATCTTCATTGTCTTATACCCTTGAGCCTTTGTATATGTTATTTTCTTGTGCCCTTATATTTCATTGATCTCTTGTTTCATAGAAGATATTTTTTTTCATTAAATTATTATATTTCATGGAAAGATTTGGTTATAATTTTAATTCGCTCTGTGGCAGAATCCCCTTGTACATGTTATTTGTTTTATCTATTGCATTATTTTCCCCTGTGTTGACACTATTTAAAAAATCAGTCTTGTGCTTTTGCCTGTTTTGCTTATTATTATTATTATTTGTTGTTAATTCTCACCCGAGGATATTTTTCCATTGATTTTCTTAGATAGAGTGGAAAGGAGGGAGGGAGGGGAAGAGAGAAAGAAAGAAACATCAGTGTGAGAGAAACACATTGATTTGTTGCCTCCTGCATGACCCCAGCTGGGGTCTAATTGTAGAGCCAAACCAGCCAGGGCTGCTTATTATTTTTATTGGAATAAGAAGAGTTTTCTTAAAAACCTAGTTTTGGAAGGATATTATAGGAGGATAACTAGAAAAGTAAGATACCAAGCAAGTATTTTGAGTTGTCTTATGAATACCTATGAATAACAGGCAGTCTCTCTAATTCAGTAGTAAAGCCCTACCTGGTAAACAAGTGTATGTGTGCAAATAAGACATTGGGTTGATTTAGACTTCTTCAACTAATAAAGATTGGTCATGTAAGACAGTTTGTCATCTTGCCAGACTGATGTCTTCATACAAAGACGATGTGTTTGAGTTTCTTTGTTCAGCCTCTCCATCCTTGTCATTGCCGTTATTGACTAGGGTTCACATGATCTAAGGAGCCAGTCTTCACGTGCTTGTTTAAATGTGGGGAGTTTGGTTTTATTACCCCTTAGAATATGCTCTCTCTGTTTCCTTTGGAAAACTCTATGCTTTGACTTCATGTCCATAATCCGCAGTGCATATCCTCCTTTGTCAGTGTAATTTCCATTGCCCTAAGTAGCCCTTCTTCATACATTTAAATTCTGTAAATGTTACCTAGTTTCTTTATAATGAAATTTACTTTTCTGTTTCTGTTGTCTTTTGGTTTTAGTTGTTTTTAGTTTCAAAAAGACAGCAAAAATGTCTTTATTAAAATTCTTTTTGTTTTGTTTTGTTTTGTTTTTATCCTCACCCGAGGACATTTTCCCATTTTTTTTGTTCAGGTAGAGTGGGAGGGAGAGAGAGGAACAGAGAGAGAGAGAGAAACATCGATGTGAAAGGAACACATCAAGTGGCTGCCACCCGCACGACCGACCAGGGCCGGGGACAAACTGCAACCGAGGTACGTGCCCTTAGCGGGAACCGAACCCGGGTCTCTCAGGACCGCAGGTTGACGCTCTAACCGCTGAGCCAAACCGGCCAGGGCTTTATTAAAATTCTTACATCAGATATATTGTTTTGAAATGTTATTGCTGTAAAAAACATGAACATACCTAAATAGTTAATTCTGATAGTATTGAATTAGGGATTTAAATTTTTATTTTATTTTATTTTATTTAAAATTTTTTTTCTTTATTGTTGAAAGTATTACAGATGTCCCTTCTTTTTCCCCCCATTGACACCCTCCTCCCGCTCCCCCGCCCCACCTTCACTGCACTGTTGTCTGTGTCCACTGGTTATGCATATAAGTTCTTTGGTTTAGCTCTTCCCCTGCTCCCCACCCCCTTTCCCTCTGGGGTTTGTCAGTCTGCTCCCTACTTCCATGTCTCTGGGTCTGTTTTGTTTGTCAGCTTATTTTTATTATATTCCACAAATAAATGAGATCATGATACAGATTTTAAAATATTAACTAGAGAGTTTTAAAAGAGTTAACTCTAAAAATAATTTTTTACATTGATGACTAAAATGCATTCACATGCCTTTAGCATTTTACTTAGTTTTTTTTCTTGTCTTTTGCTACTTAAACTACATTACCTTTAAATTCAAAACTATATTTCTAAATTGTTTGAATCTTTCTTTTAGGCGTTTCATCAAACGGGTATATGTGTCTTTGCCAAATGAGGAGGTATGTATCTATTTGTGATTTTATTTTTTAAGTAGAAACTAGAACTACCACCTTCATAATACTGAGTCTTCCAATCCATGGGATAGCCACTTTGGAAAATAGTTTGACAGTTTCTTAAAAAGATAAATATAAACTTATCATAAGACCCAACAATTCCATTCCTAAGAATCTACCCAAAGGAAATGAAAACACATATCTATACAAAGACATGTGCAAGAATTTTTATAGTAGCATTATAAATAATAAGAACTGCCAAGAATCTAAAATATTCATCAGTGAATGGATGAATAAATGAGGTATATCCATTTAATGGAATATTATTTAGCAGTAAAAAGAATGAGCTACTTTTATACAGGGTATCCCAGAAAAAATGTATATAGGGTATAAGTGAAAATAAAATGTATTTTAATAAACACTGGCTTTATAATTATTCAAAGTTGTGTATACATTTTTTGGGACACCCTATATGCCATAAAGTAAAATAACCTCAATCACATTATACTAAGTGAAAGATGCCAAATGTAAAATATTATACACCATAATTCCATTTATATGAAATGTTCAGAAAAAGCAAATTTCTAGAAACATAAAGCAGATCCGTAATTTGCTAAGGCTAAGGTGAGAGTGAGGATTAACTGAAAACTGGCTTGAGTGAACTTTCTGAGGTGTTAGAAATGTTCTAAACTGGATTATGGTGATGATTTCAAAACTAAATTTTTTATGTCATTGAAATACATTGAATTACAATGGGTGAGATTCGTGTTATATGAATTCATACTTACATAAAACTGTTTGGTTTTTTCACTATTGTTGTCTAGCTCAGACACTCAACACACTTGGTAGTAATAGTAGCTGTGTCCTTAGTGCTTTATTGGGAATATCTTTACCTTTCTCAGGAACTCTCAAAAAATGGGAGTTTTAAAGGACATGAGTGAGGCTCTGAAAGGTAGAGTGATTTGTGTAAGATCATTTAGTTCCTAAATGAGAGTTAGGATTTGTACCTGACTCTTGATATTTTGTTAAGCTAATTCTTAGAACTGATAATTCTTTAATATTTCTTTTCAGACACGATTACTTTTACTTAAAAATCTATTATGTAAACAGGGAAGCCCATTGACCCAAAAAGAACTAGCACAACTTGCTAGGTGAGTAATTTGATTTGGTCGATATTAGAGTTGTGTGTATATGTATTTATTTATTTTTTTAAGAAATCTTTTCCTGTTTTGTTTAAAGTAAGTTCAAGTATAAAATGAGTAATTAGAAAACTTGTCTCATCCTCTGCTTCCTTTACCTTCTTTCTTATCTCTCATTCTTATACATATGGTATTTAAATTTAAATTTCTAGATCCTATACACGACATGACCTTAAGATCTGTGATGGTACTATATTCCTTCTATAAGTTTATTAAAACTTATAAGTGATATCAAAGTAATTTTTTAAATTTAAAATATATCTGCCCCTGCCAACATATATTTTCTTTTTTTTTTTTATCCTCACCCGAGAACATTTTTCCATTTTTTGTTCAGATAGAGTTGGAGGGAGAGAGAGGGAGAGAGAGAGAGAGAAACATCGATGTGAAAGGGACACATGGAGTGGCTGCCTCCCGCACGACCCAACCAGGGCCAGGGACAAACTGCAACCGAGGCACGTGCCCCCAGTGGAACTGAACTCAGGTCTCCCTGGACCGCAGGCTGACGCTCTAACTGCTTAGCCAAACCAGCCAGGGCTCTTTAACGTTTTTTGTTTTTTGTTTTCCTTTATTGATTTTTTAGAGAGAGAGAAAGTGAGAGAAGGAGAGAAATAGAAACATCAATGAGAGAGAACATCGATTGGCCACCTCCCGCATGCTCCGCACTGGAGATCGGGCCCACAACCTGGACATATGTCCCGATCAGGAATCGAACCGGTGACCTCTTGGTGCATGGGTTGATGCTCAACCACTGAGCCACACCGGCCAGACTCTAACTTTTTTTTAATGAGTGGTACACTTTAGTAGAAAATAAATATAGGAGATGCATTCATGAATTTTGATCACTGGAAAAATTCTCATAAAATAATCTAAAATGTTCAGTAAGTATGTGGGTAGCTAGTAATTTTAATAAACACTGAATTCCTTGATAACTATGAAAAAAGAACAAATTCACTATTTTGAAATATTGAGATCCTTCTTTGTCTTCCAATAAAGAATTCTGCTAATAATGTTTGATCTGTGTAGTTATTTAGCATAGTACATGATAACTAAATGCTTTCTTTCCCTCTTTTATTTTCCTCTTCGCCTTTGCCTCCTTAGTTCTTAGTTCCTTTTGATAATCACTTGACTGCCCAGGATTCTCTACTGTGTCATGCCACTTACGTGTGCCTATTTTCGCATTGTTTTTTACAGCAGACCCTTCCTTCACCATGTTTGTCCTACATTAAAAAACAAAATCGCCCTAGCCAGTTTGCTCAGTGGTTAGAGCGTTGGCCTGCAGACTGGAGAGTCCTGGGTTCAGTTCCCGCTAGGGGCATGTACCTCGGTTGCACTTTGTCCCTAGCCCTGGTTGGGGTTGTGTGGGTGGCAACCAGTCGATGTGTCTCTCTCACATTGATGTTTCTCTCTCTCTCTCTCTTCCCCCTCCTCCCTCCTACTCTATCTGAAGCAAAAAAGTCCTCGGGTGAGGATAAAAAAAAAAATTTACTTTGTGATGTATTATAGAATTATACCGCTGAAACTTATATAATTTATACCCCAATAAATTCCATTAAAAAGCTGAAAAAGCCCTTGCTGGCTTGGTTCAGTGGTTAGAGCGTTGGCCCAGGCACAGGAAGGTTGCAAGTTCTATTCCCGGTCAAGGGCATGTACCTGGGTTGCAGGTTTGATTCCCCAGGTGCCAAGCCCATGAATGAGGCAACCAATTGATGTTTCTCTCTCCCACTCACTCTTCCTCTCTCCCTCTCCCCTTTTCACCCTTCCCTTCCACACTCTCTTAAAAAAAAAACCAGTGGAAGAAATATCCTCGAGTGAGGATTAACCAAAAAAAAGCTGAAAAAAATATAAAAGAACCTAAATCTGCCCTGGCCAGTATGCTAAGTGGTTAGAGCATCAGCCCAAGGCCCAAAGGGTTATGGGTTCGATTCCCTGTCAAGGGCATGTACCTGGGTTGGAGGTTCGATCCCTGGCCTCGGTTGGGGCATATGCGGGAAGCAACCAATTGTCTCATGTTGATGTTTCTCTCTCTCTCTCTTTCCCCCATCCTCATTCCCTTCCAGTCTCTCTAAAAATCAATGGAAAAAATATCCTCCAGTGAGGATTAACAACAATAAAAAAGGCAATAAATAAATAAAATTTTAAAAAAATAATAAATCAGCTTTGGTCCTTATTTCATCAAGTCAGTGTTCTTTGTCAAGACAAAGACTCAGTAACTTATAGAGATGTAACTGGTTACATGGCAGTTGGCTGGCAATGGCTTATAGATGTTATCTTTCTAAGGGACATGTTTATAATTTAATGGAACCTCCTGGAGATACAGTATGCCTTAATCTAAAGGAATAGTTGTGCTCTGGACAGTTTGGTTCAGCGGTTAGAGCAACAACCTGTGGACCAAAAAGTTCCAGGTTCGATTCCAGCCGAGGGCATGTACCTCAGTTGCGGTTTGTCCCCGGCCCTGGTCGGGGTCGTGAGGGAGGCAACCATTTGATGTGTCTCTATCACATCGCTGTTTCTCTCTCTCTCTCCCAGGGCCCCCTTTCACTCTATCCAATGATAAATGGAAAAAATATCCTTGGGTGAGGATTAAATAATAAGTAAATAAATAAAATCATCCTAAAAAATGAATAAAAGAATGGTTGTAATGATGAAAATTTGAGGCATTATAAATAAGGAGCCAGCAGTATACTCTTTTATATGTTTTTAGCAAGTGGGCCTTTGTGTGACCTTAAATCATATAGCAGTCTGCTTAATGACAAAGCCAAAGTAGGTTTTACCCTCGTACTACATGGAGATTTTAAATCTGCAAAGATGAAAATTATTTGTTCTTTCTACCCATCCTCAGAATGACTGATGGATACTCAGGAAGTGATCTAACAGCTTTGGCAAAAGATGCAGCTCTGGGTCCTATCCGAGGTAGGTATACAAGAGCCTGAAACAATTATACCTCTTCATTAGACCACTTGAGAAGGTTTGTAGGCCATATATGCTGTCCATTGCATATTCTTTTTTTTTTCTCCTGTTTTTTTTTAAAAATGTGAAATTATTTTCATAGACCATACAAAGACAGTTCATGGGTCAGTTCTAGATAACAGGTTGCACTTGTTGATAGTAGCTAAGCAGTAGAAAACTCAAAAAGAAAACTTTTTCAAGCAAGCAAAAAGGAATGATAAAGAGAAAATGTTCTTAAGCTTTTTTTGGTGCTTTTCATTTCAATATTCTAATATCACTTGAAATTTATGTATCTAGGGGAACTCATATCACTATTTATACTTTTAACATAATATGTTAACTTTTGAGGACGTTAAGCAAAATATTTCATTCATTGCTATGTTTTGATTCAGGGTAATTTGTTGATTCTGAAATACCACAACTGATTTTTTTAGGTTAAATTAGATTAAACTCACTACGGTATCACTTTAGAGCAGATGTTCTCAGCTGCTTTTCCATAGCCAGCATAGGCAGATGCATTCAGATTACTGGCTATGATGATAGAATAGAACATGGAACTTGCAACTTCTGGAATTCACCTCCTACAGTGAAACAAGGTACTGATTAAGAACTGCTGCTTTGGTAACTTTGAGAATATATCTTGAAACACGGAGTAAAGCATTTTAGTCAAATTTTTTTTGCTACAAGCCTTGTTCAAATAGGGACTCAGAAACAATAGCTAATATATAAATCATTTGTAGTTTCAGAATATTTTAGCTATTTTCGGAAGCAGACAGAAGTTAGATCTTTTTTTAAAGCTAATGCCTTTTGTAAAGAACAAGTTGAGCCCTGGCCAGTTTTGCTCAGTGGTTAGAGCGTTGGCCTGTGGACCAGAGAGACCCGGGTTTGGTTTCCGACAAGGGCATGTACCTTGGTTTCTGTTTGTCCCCTGCCCGGGTGTGGGTGGCAACACCAATGTTTCTCTCTTTCTCCTCCTGCTGTATCTGAATATAAATGCAAGAATGTCTCAGGTGAGGATTAGAAAAAAAGAACAAGTTGAATTCTTTTTACTTTGAAATTTGTAAAATCTGTTGTTTTGGGACAATATCCAAAGAAATTGAATACCTTTCAGTTACTCCTAAGAAGGAGTGTAAACATTTATACATTGTATGCGCTCTTATATGTCTTTTTTAATATGATTTATATTGAACATGTGCTTTTAGGTCATTGTACTTGTTTTTTACTCTTCAGCAGTTTAAACTTCAAAAAATTTTCTTAAGTGTCTGCCTTTTATATTTTACAGAACTGAAACCAGAACAAGTGAAGAATATGTCTGCTAGTGAGGTATACTATATTACAATAATCTTTCTTGATTTTGATCCTCCTTATTGAAGGCATATGTTTTGTCTGGATTTTATAGTTTATTTGATTAGAAACTAGAAAAAATTAACTTTGCTTCATTCAAAATATAGAGGCCTATCCAATTACAATATCTTATGTAGTTCCTTGGTAATGGACAAAAACTACACAGTCATTAAGTCATTTTCTAACAATTTGTATTATATAAATACTAAATAATAAAATTATAGGAAATGAAGATTTTATACATTATGAAAATAACTTATAACAGCTTAAGCCTTTGATGTTCTATTTTGTTAGTTTTTCAATGTTTTCCTCCTTATAAAACAATACAATTACCATTGTAATTTATTATTTTCTTAATATGGTAAGCCCTCTTATGAGATGCTAAAGAATTTCTTTAGAAAAATACTACCTGCCTATGAAATATAAAATTGGAAATGCATAATGATCATAACTGGGTGAGCAAACTTTTAAAATCAACTTATGTGCCTGGCCGGTGTGGCTCAGTGGACTGAGTGTTGTCCCATGGAGTGAGAGGTCCCCAGTTGATTCCCAGTCAGGGCACATGCCTGGGTTGCGGACTCGATCCCCAGAGGGGTCATGCAGGAGGCAGCCAATCAATATTTCTCTCTCACATCAATGTTTTTGTCTTTTTCTCCCTCTCTCTAAATATCAATAAAAATATATTTTAAAAATAAATAAAATCAACTTACTTTATATTTGTGACTTACCTGTCAGATATTTTTTTACTGCCCAAGTTTCAACAGCTATTGAGGAGACATTGAACTCTTAACATAGAGAACAAGTACATTTTGACAGTTTTCTTTCCTCAAATCTTTAAATGAACTTGATGTCTGCAGGAATTTGTGTGTGGTGGTTCATCACCTACATTACTAAGAAAGTCCTCACACTTCTTGCAGCCACCCTTCCATTTTTTTTTTTTTTTTAATGGACATGTAGGGCTTTTATTCAAAATTATCACAAGTCTGAACAGTGCTCTAACAAGCATCCTTTCACAAACATGTTCCACACATACATCAGTATTTCTGTGACATAGATGCCATGATGTGGCATTGACGCAAGATAGAAAGAACTTAGGGAAAACTCCCAACAAGTGGAATGAGGAAGGAGGAGTGGACATCACAGGACAGATAAGCTGCTAGGTGCTCACATCAGAGCCCCACCTCCATGAATGACCAAAGGAAAATAGTTCATCACTGGAAACCCCTGTGTTGGTTACAGAAGTCAACAACAATAAGCATTGGCTAAAACCAGATCATTCCAAGGTGGAGGAAAATTTGACCAGAGACTGACCCCAAAGCTCATTATGCTATCATTATACTGAAAACTGACAACACAGGTAGAAGAGCACCCCACTCCCCAGGAGAATAAACATGATGGTATTTTGGGAAGGGACCATGTTAGGAACAAGAGCACCCTCCCTACCAGATGGTAGAGTCAGAATGTAGCACCAGAAAGTTCAGAAACCACTCACACTTAGAAACACAAAAAATCTTAAAAACTGACTGACCACTGACTGACCAATTTACTCCAGAGTTGGCCTGTTTCCATTCGGGCATGTACTTTTGCAGCAACCTCTCTGTCTCTACCTGAATAAAACTTGCTTTTGCTCTCACTAGGCCTCTCACTCAGAGGCGTAGTTGCAATATTTCTTGCACAAGGCAAGAACCTGCTGGTACCAGAACCTGCCCTGGCACCCTTCCATTTTAATGGTCTAGTTCACCTAGTGTTTTTGACATGAATGAAGCTTAAGAATAGAGAATTCCACATACCCACTTTTGTGTTTAACTACTATTACCATAAAACGTCACATTTAGGCCTGGTCAGGTGGCTCAGTTGGTTGGTGCATCATCTGGATAGCAAATGTTGTGGGTTCAACCCCAGGAGGGGCACATACAGGAGGCAACCAATCTATGTTTCTCTCTCATGTCAGTCTTTCTCTCTTTTCCTACCTCTCTCTAAAAATCAATAAAAACATATCCTTGGGTTAGGATTAAAATTTTTTTAAATTCACATTTAAAGTATAAATTTCAAGTCCCTTTTTTCTGATTCATAATTTTAATTCTTTGTTGTTTTTGTTAAGCCTCACCACAGGATATTTTCTCCATTGATTTTATTTATTATTTTATTTTTATATTTGTCAATCCTCACCTGAGGATATTTCTTCATTGATTTTCAGATAGAGTTTGAGGGAGGGAGGGCGGGAGGGAGAGAGAAAGAGAAACATCAGTGTGAGAGAGACACATCTGATGTCTCCCACACATACCTCAGGGATTGAACCTGCAACCCAGGTATGTGTCCTTGACCAGGAATTGAACTGCAACCTTCAGATGCACCAGCCAAGGCAAGAAACTAAACTTATGTAATACAAGAAAAGAAAAAAAGTATATTAGTATAACACGTTTTTTTTTTTTTAATCCTCACCCGAGGATATTTTTTCCATTGATTTTTAGAGAAATTGAAGGGAGAGAGGAAGGAGGAGAGAAAGAAAAGAGAGAGAGAGAGAGAGAATCGATGTGCGAGAGACACATCAACTGATTTCCTGCCACACTCATCCAAAACAGGGCCTGGGATTGAATCTGCAACCCAGGTATGTGCCCTTATTAACTGGGAATCGAACCTATGACCCTTTGGTCCATGGGCCAACACTCTAACCACTGAGCCACACTGGCCAGGGCTAGTATGGCACTTTTAAAAGATTTCTTATATAGCAATCTTCTCTAATATATAGGGTGGGGCAAAAGTAAGTTTGCCATTGTTTGTATAGAAAATAATTCAGTAATTAATAAATAATAATACAAGAAGAAACTCATACAACTGTAAGCCTACTTTTGCCCCACCCTGTATATATAAAATAAGATGATTGACAGGATTTTTAAAGAATTCCTCTATATATGTTTATAACATTAATAAACAGCATTATTTAATCCATTATTGGGTTAACTACTGTATATGTGTTCATCATTTTTATTGTCATATACTCTTTTTAAATCTAGATGAGAAATATTCGATTATCTGACTTCACTGAATCCTTGAAAAAAATAAAACGCAGCGTGAGCCCTCAAACCTTAGAAGCATACATACGTTGGAACAAGGACTTTGGAGATACCACTGTTTAAGCAAATAACTTTGTAAACCTGCAGAACATTTTCTTACCAAGAGAGAAACACACCATCTTCAGTGAATGAATAGTTACCAGCTACAGAAACTCAGCCTAAGTTTACAGGACCTTTCAGAGTCTTATAATTATTTGTGCATCCCCGAAGATAAACCATATAACAAATTTAAATAAAATATACAATGCAAATGTAATATTTTGTTTAAGGCCTGCTTGCCTTGATGGTCATGGTTATCCCAATGGGCAGTGTAAGTTAGAGCACAATAAAAACTGATTCTGGTCTTCTTTACCAATATAATCAGAATGTAAATAATTTGGATTTTGAGTTGCAGATTAAAGTATTCAGAGACAGTAAATGATAAAAGACACAACAAGTTGGTTGTCTTCTGGCGTCTTTTTAAGATAGTCATGTTTCCTTTCCTACTGTTGTCTTTACTATGGGTGATTGGAATGCCAAACATTAAGTTTCGATTTACAAATTGTGTGCCAAATAAAACTTTTTTCTGTGTAACAGTAATAGGAAAAAGGATTTTGAAGGCTTTTTCTCCATAAATCTGCAGACATTAAACAATTGTGTTCTTTTCACTTTTTATTTTTCTAGTACCTTTCTACCAAACAATTTAGAAAGCAGTATGATAGCAACAAAACAAGTCTATTAAAACAGAGGAGAAATTTGGAAGTTTTGAGTCACTTTATCATACAACATGTAGATCAATCCTCATGTGACCGCAGTATTTTTTTTTTAATATATTTGCCAGAAATCTACTGTACACTTAACTTATTCCTAATGGAATTTATTTTCTGCTAGAATTATTCTAATATTTAAGAAAGCCAGTTTTAATAGCTATGAGAGTGGTTCCTGTGCGAGAGAAGGGAAGTACTGGGAGCTGAGACTCCTTGCTTATTACTTTCTTACTATTTATGCGATAACGATAAGCCAGTGGGTCTACCATCTTTTATTAATAATTATGAATCCCTTCCAGGAAACTTTAAAAAATTACTGAATTTTTATAAATTGCCTACATTTTATAGGTTTCTTGTGCTTGCTTTGTTAACAAACAAGTTGTAGTCTGTTAACTGTCTTTTGTTCCCCCAAAAGGTACGGTAATTCTGTTTCTCGTTTGTATTTGTATGCCTGAATTTTTATTATAAAAATGTCATTGTAGAAAGTAGAGATTTGTGTCATGGCCTTTTAAATATTGTAATAAAGGCAAATAGATATTTGCCCTCTTAGTTTACTGGTTAAAAGTTTGTTTACAGAAATTTTCTTTGGTGCTTTTATGTAAAATGTCATGGGTGGAAAGAATAGTTTTATAGTAGGAACAAAGATTTTTTTACATTTAGGAAAAATATCTTTGGGTTTGAGAGAAAACGTTAAAGTTAAAACCTTGCACCTAATAGATAAGAATTTTGTAATGAAGATACACATTCTTCTTCTTTTTTACATTCTTCTTAATTGTATTCTTGCTCTTGTTAAAGCTTTATCTAAATATAGTACAGTTTCTTAACATCATATGGGGTTTGTAGACATGGTTTAAATCAATGTGTCTTCTAATGATGTTTGAACTCCTTGGATAATAAAAATTAGAGTTGAGATAAGTAGAAAAAAAACCTTTAAGCCAGAACCATGCATATTTTAGATCATGAATAGTATCTTTTTAAGGTCTCAAACATTAAAACATAGTTATAAAATCTTGGCAATCAAAGATGATGAAATATGCATGATGACAAGAATTGGAAACATCCCAAATGAAAACATTTTCAATAAAGCTCAAAATTTCATTTGGAAATGGAGTATTAACATTATTGATACTTGGATAACTGGTTAGTCATATTAAAGTTCCATGTGCTTCAAGCTCAACTTTTAAAATACAGTCTTTAAAATTATAATTCTATCTGCAGTAATTTAATGTAACTCACTATCGGGAAAGTTTTTAAATAAAGATTTCAAATGTTAAAATATGTAAAAGTCAAGTTAATATTGTCATAAACATTGAGTCAGATATATGAATATCCATCCGTGTATAGAAGTAATTTTACTTTCCTGACCAAGGCTGAAGTTGAGCTTAGGGCTAGAGACCCATTTTCTAACTTGCTGTGACTAAATTTATTTTAAGCTGTGTTTCTTTCATAGAAGGGCCATGAAAATAGGATAATGATAATAGTACAAGGTATAAAGGGTTGGTTTTGTCTTTTTAACATAGAAGTTGCTAAGGTTTTTTGAATTAATATTAAACTTAGATTGTAACCTTTTAGATTTTGCATTGAGCTTTGTGTCATATTACTTCCTAAAAGGTAATGCTTAAACATTAAATTTTAGTGTGCTCTTCATGTTAATATGACAGAGTTTTGTAAACTGAATTAAAACTTGATGTACTGGGCTCTAAGCCAAGGGAAAGAATCGATACTATCTTTCAAGATATCTTAAGTGTAAAAACTTATTCTAAGACGATTTGCCCATTGAAGTTATCAGATTTCTGGCTTGCAAATATGCTTTGTGTTTGGAAAGAATTGGAGGAAAAGCAGATGCTAGAATTATAATTTAAGTAAATATACAGCAGTCTTTGTTTATAGTGTAAAATTCTTTATATTTTGTATAAGAAAACGAATTCTTTTGGTAGAATGAATTATTTGCAGTTTGTTTTTGGACTCTGAGTCAAAGGCTTTTTCTTTAAATGCTTGTCTCAATTTTAATCTGGTCTTTTGTACTTTTCTTCACAAGAAATGAATTAAAAGGTGCAGTTGCATAAAATGTGGTTTATCCTAATGGACTGGAAATAAATTACAAACTTTATTTTGCCTTTTAATTTGAAACTTTTTTAGATTTCAGAGGTTGCAGTCTAGAAATGAAGGAGTAGCTTGTGTTGGATTAACTTTCGTGCCAACTCTGAATAAAATGTAAACATGATTAGAAGACTGTAGAGAGCCATAAAACAGGCAGCAACTGTACAAACTGACATACTAGAAAAGATCCACATTTACTAGCTTTTACCTGGAGGGAAATTTCCAGTCTGCAGTGTGCTTGGATATAGAATTCAAGCAAAATGTGACAGTCTTGCTTGGCTGAGGAACATTATGATCTTCTAGAACAGCTGTAAAAGGAAGGAAATATTGAAAAGGAGAGACCTTCAAATATGTAACCCCCAAAATCTGCCTACAGATTCCTTTCAAATTGGTAGCTGTGCAATGTGATATTCAGAGGAACCCAGCAGAAAGCAATAGTTGAAGTCTAAGGAACTTAGGAAGTAGCAACTGCTGGGGCAATACAGAATTTTTTTTTTTTTTTGATATTTTGTTCAGATAGAGTGGGAGGGAGAGAAAGAGAAACATCAAACGTGAAAGGGACACATCGAGTGGTTGCCACCCACACGACCCAATCAGGGCCGGGGGCAAACTGCAACTGAGGTACCTGCCCTTAGCGGGAACCGAACCCAGGTCTCTCCAGACCGCAGGCCAACACTCTAACTGCTGAGCCAAACCGGCCAGGGCCAGAATTTTTTTTTTTTTTTTTTTTGCATTCATCTTCAGAAAGGGGGGGCGGGGGGGACAGAAACATCGATGTGAGAGAGACACTCGACTGGTTGCCACCCACATAGCCCCAACCGGGGTGGGGACAAACGGCAACTGAGGTACGTGCCCTTAGCGGGAACCAAACCTGGGACTCTCTGGTCCACAGGTCGACACTCTAACTGCTCAACCAAACCTGCCAGGGCCAGAATTTGAAATTTGAATTTCACTAAGAGGCCATTATACTTCAGGATACTCATTGAAACCAAAAGGGGGCCATACCTTAGGAGGAAAGACAACATCATAGAACTAAGGACTGTACTTTAGGACTATGGGCAAAATGGAAAGAAACTCACCGTAAAAAAAGCTTAAAATCAACCCTTCATAGGATGAAAGTATTTGGTATTTTTTAAAGCAGTACTTCACTTCTTGGTATCAAAATCTTAGTCTACTTGGGCTGCCTTAACAAAAATAGCATAGACTGGATGCTGTGAAAGCTTGATTTTTCTGTCAGAGAAAGTTATTATGAATACAAAAAGGGCAAAAGCTAGAATGAAACCTGTGGGGTGGAGTTGGAATTGGATTTAAGAGTATGAATTTATGATGTAAGATATATAAAAATGGAGGGAAAAGATACATAAAAATAGATGAAATACAGATGTATGTGAGTGTGCATGTATCCATATACATGTATTCCCTAGTTCTCTCCATTATGAGGCCTGGGAGCAGTTACACCTCCCAAAACAATGAGCACATATAACACCCATGTTTTGCCTTCCAAGTTCTTCACTGCCTTAGTTTGCTAAAGCTGCAGGTTTTTTGGTATTTTTTAAAGCAGTACTTCACTTCTTGGTATCAAAATCTTAGTCTACTTGAGCTGCCTTAACAAAAATAGCATAGACTGGGTAGCTTAAATACCAGAAATTTATTTTTACAGTTCAGAAGGGTGGTCATATCCGAGATAAAGGTGCTGGCCTATTTTGTTTTCTGGTGAGAGCTCTCACTTTGCTGTTTCCTCACATGGCAGAGAGGTAACAAGTTATCTGGTGTCTCTTTAAGGGCACTAATCTACCATGATGAAGGTGTCACCCTAATGACCTCATCTAACCCTGATTGTCACCCAAAGATCCCATGTCCAAATACAATCACATAGGGATGTAGGACTTCAACATCAATTTTAGGGGGAACACAGAAATTCAGACCATAACATCCACTAAAAGAACCAGGGTTCCTTGGTGAAATGGCCAATTACAGGGTTGGGGCAGAGAACATACAAGGTTGGCCAAAAGTAGGATTACAGTTTTGTGTACACGAAACAGTTCTTAATTTGATTATTGTGATATATCAACAAATTGAAAGTATTTACATGGTTTCAAAGTATATCCCCACAAAATATTAATTAGAAAGGGGGAGTTATTTTTAGTGGAAAAACCTGGCAGATGTAACCTTAATCTAATGATGACAATTATCATTAATGGGCCAAATTTAACATAACAGATTCAATGAGAAAAAATGCAGTATCACCTCTATGATATTCCTGTCCAAGATGCATAACCTGAATTTACTACACGAGTTTGTACAAAATAACTGGCATGTAATTTTCAAAAGTGGCAAGGTCATCAAGTAAAAATGTTCCATACAGAAGGGAATAAAGAGAATGTCAACTAAATGCAACATCTGGTTTACACCTGGTTGTTTCCAATCTTAACCCCACCCACTCCTTGAAAGGCTCGGAGTCGCTCTAGCCGGCTCCTTCGCCTCTATGGAGCTCAAGGGCCGCCGGGAAGGGGGCCGGGGGTGGGAACAGGAAGCCAGGGTACGCACTTCCGTCCTCACGTCGCTTGCAGCAGCCAATCGGGCTCTGGCGCTCCACCCCTTCCGCTCCTGGGAAAAACCAGCACCCAGAGCGTCTTCCGGCGGGCGCTGTGCCGCTCCTTACCATGGTGAGTTGGCCCGGGGTCACAGAGTTTCTATCTGTAATTCCTCTTACCTTCCCTGGTCTTGAAGCGGCCTTGAAATGCCTCAGCTGCCCATAGGAGGGGTCGTCGGAGTTGTGCTCGGGCGCCACGTGAGAAGCGGCAGGCGCCCGAAAGATTTCCTCCTGAGGGGTGATTCCCCCGTCTCCCTCACATTGTCCCTTTACCCCTGGTGATCCCGGGCCCGCCCAGGCCGAGCTTTCCCTTAGTTGCTAGGAGTTGGTGGCTTCCCCCCGCCGAGCTTTTCCTAAATGTAGACGTAAGCCTTTGCCGGCGTCAGCGACTGCACCACCAACAAAAGGTTGGAAAACAAATGCACAGCGACGACTGTCATGGTGATGTTTACAGCGGCGCCGCTGACGCTGGCGTAGTAAAGGGGGTTATGAGGTGGACACCCCACTCTGCACCTGGCCGTTTGCGTGCCGGAGAGCCTGAGTAGGCAGCAGCTTTCAGAAGGCCGGGCGCTGGAGAAAGTTAAGGTGCTAGAGCATCTGATGGCAGGCAGCCTTTTTTGTCATTGTAGATCCCAGTATACCTTATGCCTTGGGCGCTGTGTTAAATTAAATTTTGTTAGATTCGTCAGTTTATGTTTGTAGAAATCAAGTATGTAGTTCTCTTGAGTTTTATCTAAAGATAAGCAGTTGAGCCGGGCGGTGGCTCAGCCATAGAGAGTCAACTGATGGACCAGGGGGTCGCTGGTTCGAGTCCGGTCAGGGCACATGCCCAGGTGTGGGCCAGATCCCCAGTGTGGGGCGTGCGGGAGGCGGCCAGTGGACATTCTCTCCCATCGATGTTTCTCTCTCCCTCTCCCTTCCTCTCTTTGTAAATCAATAAAGAAAAAAAATCTAAAAGAAAAAATAAGCAGCTGATTGTGATTTCATGGTCAAAAGAAGTACAAATTATTTTTAAAAATTAGTAGATCTCTTAAGGGTAGCCTACATGTGAGAAAAGGACTACATTTCTGTACCTCAGCTATTGTCACTCTATTAAATATTTTCCTTGAACGGATATGGTTGAAAAAAATGTTCACATACTTTATCTTTTGTAAATTTTCTGTAATCCCTCCTTATAGAAAGTGGGTAAAAGTTTACCGTTTTTGGGCTGACCAGACAGCCTCCAGTTGCATTCTTCTTCAAAACATTCACCACCTTGCAGCCAGAGTTAAATTTATAAACTTTGACTGCTGTTCCTTTGTTTAAAGTTCTTCGATTTTTTTTCTATAGCCCTCAAGATAAAGTCCTGTTTAGTATAGCCTACAAAGCCATCTGTACTGAAGCTTCTTACCTTTGTAGCCTCTTGTTACTCATTCATACATCTATATTCCAGCCGTAGTGAGCCGCTTGCAGGTCTGCTCTAAGAAGAGTTAAGCCTTTGCACCTAATTTATACATGATATTTGAGCTGCCAGAATTGTTCTCCATCTCCTACCCACCATCCTTATCAGTATAACCCTTACATGTTCTTTAATCTCTGTAATGAGCCTTTCTGCCATGTGTCAAAATCCTGTTAGGTGCCTCCTTTATGCTTCCATAACTTGGGACATTATATTGATAACATCTATAGCCCTTACCAGACTATGTTAAAATTGGATATTTACTTGCTTGTCTTTCTTACTTTCTAGGCTGTAAATAAGCTCTTTGAGAGCAGGATCTATGTATTCACTCTTTTTTTTTTTTTTATCTTCACCCGAGGACATTTTTCCATTTTTTGTTCAGATAGAGAGGGAGGGAGAGAGAGAAACATCGACGTGAAAGGGACACATTGAGTGGCTGCAGGCTGACGCTCTAACCACTGAGAAAAACCGGCCAGGGCTGTGTTCACTCTTACTCTTTTTTTTTTAATCCTCACCCAAGGACATTTTTTCATGGCTGCCACTCGCTCAACCGAAGCAGGGCCGGGGACAAACTGCAACCAAGGTAATGCCCTTAGCGGGAACCGAACCCAGGTCTCTCCGGATCGCAGGCCAACGCTCTAACCGCTGAGCCAAACCGGCCAGGGCTTCACTCTTATTCTCAAGAGCTTTAAAAAGTGTGTGGTCTGTCCTGGCCGGTTTGGCTCAGCGGTAAGAGCGTTGGCCTGTGGTCTGGAGAGACCTGGGTTTGGTTCCCACTAAGGGCACGTACCTCAGTTGCAGTTTGTCCCCTGCCCTGGTTGAGTCATGAGGGTGGCAACCACTCGATGTGTCCCTTTCACGTCGATGTTTCTCTCTCTCCCACCTACTCTATCTGAACAAAATATCGAAAATGTCCTCGGGCAAGGATAAAACATTTTAAAAAAGTGTGTGGTCCAGAGGAAGTTTTCAGTACATTTTTTTTTTTAATGAAACACTGAATAAATAACTGGCACTAACTTTTTATGCTTGGAATAGTAATATAGGGAAATAGGAGCATTTAAGATTTATTTTTAAAGTTTTTGGGTAGAAAGAACTTAAGAGTCCCCCATTATATATTTAAGAACATCCTATGTATGTGCTAAGCACAGTGTCATCTTAGACAATGTAAGGGAAATATAACCCTTGTTATTAGCGAAGTTACTACAAAGTTAACTTACAATGCAAGATGATGAAATGAAGACTATCCCATGGTCAAGTACAAAGTAAGCATTAAAAAAAACAACACTGTAGTTTGGAATAATCTAGGAAGGCTTCATGTTGGAAGTGAAACATGCAATTGAGTACTTCCTGCCTTACTTTAATACTCTTAGTATTAAGAACCGAACCCGGGTCGGTCTGTACCGCAGGCCGACGCTCCAACCGCTGAGCCAAACCGGCCAGGGCTACTTTAATACTCTTTTTTTTTTGATATTTTGTCCAGGTAGAGTGGGAGGGGGGAGAGAGAGAGAGAGAGAGAGAGAAACATCGATGTGAAGGGGACACATCGAGTGGCTGCCACCCACACAACCAACCAGGGCCGGGGACAAACTGCAACCGAGCTACGTGCCCTTAGCGGGAACCGAACCCGGGTCTCTCCGGACCGCAGGCTGACACTCTAACCGCTGAGCCAAACCGGCCAGGGCTACTTTAATACTCTTAATGTACTTACTGTTTATTACTCTCATTTGATCAGGAAACAAAGGTCAAGTGACTTGGTAAGTGTTACAGGGCTATTAGAGCTTTGGTTAGATAAGTCTTGCCTTTTCACTCTAGAGTGGTCTGATCAGACATGGGTTCACTAGTGTAGTTGGATTTGAGGATTTCTGTCTGGAGTAAAATAAAACTGAAAAGAAACTCAGGCTAAGTTATTGAAACCTATGATTTCCAGATTGTAAAACTGAGTTTATCCTGATAGCAAATAAACTTTGGGAAAGAATGACATGAATTTTGTTTTATTTTCAATAACAGGTTGATGCCCTGGCCGGTTTGGCTTAGCATTTAGAGGGTCAGGCCATGGACCAATAAGTCGTGAGTTCCATAGGGTACATACCTTGGTTGCGATTCATCCTTAGCCCTGGTTGGGGTCATGTGGGAGGCAGCCACTCGATGTGTCCCTTTCACGTCGATATCTCTCTCTCTCTCTATCTCTCATCCTCTCTTTCCCTCCCACTCTATCTAAACAAAAAAATGTCCTCGGGTGAGGATAAAAAAAATAAAATAACAGGTTGACATTAGAAATGACTTCCTGCCTTTTAAAATGTTTTGTGTTTTGTTTTGTTTTTTAATTGATTTTTTTTAGGGAGAGAGATTAAAAAACATTGATGTGAGAGAAACATCAGTCTGCTGCCTCCTGCACACCCCCTACTGGGGATGGAGCCCGAAGTCTGGGCATGTGCCCTGACCAGGAATCGAACCTGGACCTCAGTCCATGGAAGGATGCTCAGTCCACTGAGCCATACCGGCTGGGTGGTGCCCTGCCTTTTATTTTATTTTTTTTTATTTATTATTTTTAATCCTCACCCGAGGACATTTTTCCATTTTTTGCACAGATAGAGTGGGAGGGAGAGAGAGGAAGAGAGAGAGAGAGAGGGAAACATCGATGTGAAAGGGACACATCGAGTGGCTGCCACCCGCACGACCAACCAGGGCCGGGGACAAACTGCAACCGAGGTACATGCCCTTAGCGGGAACCGAACCCGGGTCTCTCCGGACCGCAGGCGGATGCTCTAACCGCTGAACCAAACCGGCCAGGGCGGTGCCCTGCCTTTTAGAAACCCCTTATTGATTATCTTAAAACTTAAAGTAAATAATTGAAGGTGGGCTGAATTTAGAAGATACCCAATGATAACAATAATAAGCAGAATTATCTTTGGGACCAAAATATCCCACATGTAGTTCTTTAAGAATAGAGTAATTTGATTAACATTAGCATTTATTACCATTATGAAGGAAAATAGTATATTGTTTCTTTTCAACTGAATTGACTTAGGGCCTTAGGGTTATACATGTACACTGGTCTTTATTTGGATACCAAAATGAGTAACACTTTTCCTGATGCTTTATTTTTACATTTTAAAGTATTTTTACTGTATTATTTTTTTATTATGGAAAATATCAAGTGTACATAAAAGTAGAGAAAATCCAATGAATGTCCATGTAGCCATTACTTAGACTCAACAATGATCACCTTCTGCTGTTTTTCTTATGTCACATTTATAGTGCTCATCCTTATTTTCTGTCTTTCTGAATCTTAACGTATTGTAACCAGTGGTATGTCTAAGCTTTGAAGAAATAAGCTGTAACTTTCTGTACTGAGATGTTCCTAGATGATAACTAGGAAAATTATGTCTTGAATTGAATTGGATCTGAAAGTTTTTCTTTTCTTTTTTCTTTATTGATTTTAGAGCGTAAAGGAGAGGGAGAGAGCGATTGAAACATTGATGAGAGAGAATATCGATAGGCCGCCTCCTGCATGCCCTTCACCGGGGTTTTGGCCCACAACCTGGGCATGTGCCCTGATAGGGTATCGAATCGGTGACCTCTTGGTGCATGGGTCGACCCTCAACCACTGAGCCACACCGGCTGGGCGTTTTTCACGTTTTAAATCTGACACCCAGTTCCACTGCTTTCGGTGGAGCTTCAGTGTTTGAGACAAATTGGACAGCTTTAGTGAGGTAGAAATGTAGTATGATTGTTACGGTGATTATGACCTTTACCATCTATAAAAGTATTTTGTTAAACTTAAAATCCAAATATGTCATGTAGCAATAAAATTATGTCTAAGCATTGAAAATTGTGAAGGATTTTTTCCCCCCTAGAGACAATACTTTTGATTTTTTTTCACAGTTTATCTTACCATGGTTTTTGTTTGTTTAATTTTAGGGTATTATCTTCCCAGTGTGAAAGTATATAGTAAAATTGATCAATTTTTTTCTTCCTAGCTTCTTCATTTTATATCCTGTTAAGAAAAGTCTTCTCCAACTCCAAGATTATAAAATTATACATTTATAGTTTTTTCCACGTACTTTGTAGTTTTGTATTTTAATTTTAAAATAAAAAATTAGAGTAAAGAGTATAGTAAGGATCCAATTTTACCTTTTTCCAAACACCACTTATTAACTCATATTTTCTCCCACTGATGTCGGATACTGCCATAATCATAAGCTGATTTTCCATATGTGCTTGAACTCTCTTTTATGCTAAGGCTTTCCCACATGGTTTTCTGATCTTGAGTAGTAAATCCCAGTCTAGTCACCACTTAGTCTCTTCTCTCCATGGTAACCCTATGGCCAGGCCCTTTCTCTGCTAGTCCCATATCATGTACTAGCAAGAGCCACAGATATCAGGTACTCAGCCTAAGAGAGAACCTCAGAGACTTTACTATAGTAACAGTTACCAAACTTTTCATATATAAAGCTTTGATTAGATAAATTGTTATATTTTCTTTTCAGTAGCATGAGCTATTTAATAAACATCTTGCTTTTCTGGTTTAAAATTGCCTTATCCATTTAAAAATAAATTGTGGTCTGGAGCTAAAATGGCTGGGTTTGAATCATTGTGCCCTTGGAAAACTTACTAAAATTTTTTTCCACCTCTTAGAATTATGAGAATTAAATAAATAAATACATGTGAAGTGTCTAGTTTAGTGGAATGTATTAAACATTCAATAAATGTTAATTGTTATTAATATATTACATCATAGGAGCTATGAAGAATAGATACTTAAATGTTAATTTGTATATTTTTGTTTGTTTTAAAGGGGACAATTCATCTCTTTCGAAAACCACAAAGATCTTTTTTTGGCAAGTTATTACAGGAATTTGGACTTGTAGCAGCTGACCGAAGGGTAAGTTATTTTTATCCCTTAAAGTAATTTTAATTATTGCACAAACATGACATTGCAAAAAAAAGGTAATTTTTATACTTACCTGGCAGGGGAGATACATGATTACGAAAGTGGTTTTCCCAGGGCGAGGCTTATCCATTGCACTCCGGATGTGCTGACCCCTGTGATTTCCCCAAATGTAGGAAACTCAACTGCATAATTTGTGGTAATAGGGGACTGCGTTAATTCTTTCCCCAGTATAGATATTTTTAAAGGTAATTTTTAAGGCAAATAGAAATCACTTTCAGTTCCGCCACTCTATTTTCATTTTTTTATGTTGGAAAAGTAATTTTAAAAATTTGTTTTGGCCCTGGCCGGTTTGGCTCAGCGGTTAGAGCGTCGGCCTGCGGTCCTGAGAGACCCGGGTTTGGTTCCCGCTAAGGGCGCATACCTCAGTTGCAGTTTGTCCCCGGCCCTGGTTGGGTTGTGTGGGTGGCAGCCACTCGATGTGTCCCTTTCACATCGATGTTTCTCTCTCTGTCTCTGTTCCTCTCTCTCCCTCCCACTCTACCTGAACAAAAAATGGAAAAATGTCCTTGGGTGAGGATTAAAAAAAAAAAAAAATTTAAAAAAAAAAAAAATTTGTTTTGGTCCAGCCAGTCTGGCTCAGTGGTTGAGCGTTGACCAATGCACCAAGAAGTCACCAGTTCGATTCCTGTGGCCCATGCCCAAGTTGTGGGTCCAATCACCAGTAGTGGGTATGCAGGAGGCGGCCAATCAATGTTCTCTCCCTTTCCCTTTCTCTGTCACTTAGAGATGGGTGCTTCCTACACACACCCGACTCGGGATTAGACCCACAACCTGGGCATGTGCTCTGACCGGGAATCAAACTGAGACCTCTCAGTGCATGGGACAATGCTCAATCCTTTGAGCCATAATGGCCAGGCTACTGTCATTTCTTTCTCCCTCATAATTTCTTTGTCTCTTCAGTCACTTTCTTATACTTCTCACCTTTTTCATAGGTATTGTTCTCCAAATAACTGCCTTCTCATTTATTTCTTTCATCTCTACTTTCAAACAATCATAGGTCTCCCTTTCTTTCTTTATTGATTTTTTTTTTTCCAGAGAGAGATAGAAACATTGATGAGAGAGAACATTGATTGGTTGCCTCCTGCATGCCTCCCACTGGGGATCAGGCCCACAACCTGGGCATGTGCCCTGACTGGGAATCAAACCGGCGCCTCTTGGTGCATGGGTGGATGCTCAACCACTGAGCCACACGGGCCGGGTGGTCTCCCTTTCTTATAGGGAGTGAAGTGGACCAAAAATAAAAAGCACTTTATTTGATCTCTTTCTTTATTTTTAGAATGCCATCCTTCTTCCTCTTAATTCCTAGCTATTTTTAAGGTATATCTTAGGTTTTCTCTCTTCTATGAACTTCCAAACCATGGTAGTCGGTCCTTCTTATGTGGTCCTGTTGCATGTAACTTATTTGGTTAAATAACCAAGTACTTTGGCAGGGGAAGGGGGGGTATAACTTTATTTTGATGTAATTTTAAAGTTATAAAATTAGTATAAGGAACACCCTCATGCCTTATACTCAGATTCACCAATTGCTTGGATTTTTGCCCTATTTGCTTTAGCATGGTCTCTATGTACACTTTTTGTGGAAACAAAATTATATTTGAGTTTATGTATCAGAGTTTATTTATTCTCTTGAATAATTCCGCTTTTGGAATTATTTTACATTTATATATTATAATAATTTTGGTTGATGATTATTTTTTTTATTTTAATCTTCACTCGAAGACATTTTTGCATTTATCTTCAGATAGAGCAGGAGGGAGGGAGAGAGGAAGAGAGAGAGAGAGGAAGAAACATTGATGTGAGAGAGACACATTGAGTGGTTGCAACCCACATGACCCCAGCTAGGGCTGGGGACAAACTGCAACCAAGGTACTTGCCCTTATCGGGAATTGAACCCAGGATTCTGGTCCTGGGGCTGACACTCTAACCACTGAAGCAAACCGGCCAGAGCTGGTTGGTGATAATTTTGATAAATTTAAAAAATGTGACATTTTGACTTTTGAAGGAAGTTGTGCTTATTCCTTTGAATATTGAAAGTATGGATTATAGCAACTTGAACAGATTCAGTGAAGTTTACCAGCACTATGCAAATAAGAATGATTTTCTTTTTCACAGTCTTGGAAGATATTGCTCTTTGGTGCAATAAACTTAACATGTACTGGCTTCCTGCTTATGTGGTGCAGTTCCACTAACAGTATCGGTATGTTACCATTCTTATTTATGTTGTGTTAATTACTAGTTTCACTTTTATTATTCTGATTTTATTTAATTGATTAAAGAGAGAGAGAGATCACTTTATTATTCCACTTACATGTCCCTGACCAGGAATCGAACCTGCAACCTTGGCATATTAGGATGATGCTCTAATCGATTGAGCTACCCCATTAGGGCTTCTTATTCTGATTTTTAGTAAAAGCACAGCTTCCTTTACCTAGAATATATTATTCTGAAATATAACTCAAAAGATTTAAACGAGAAAATCTATTTGAAAAGTGCCTTGAAAACTATAAAGTTTTGCTCAGTTATAAGGCATTATCTTTTTGAATGAACAGTTTTTCTTTTTTAACTTCAAATCTGTTTGTAAAACTGAGATTCCTTTTATTTCTTTTCTTCATTGATTTTTGGAGCAAGGAAGGAAGAAGGAGAGAGAGAGAGAAACATCGATAAGTCCGACCAGTGTGGCTCAATGGTTTTGCGTCGACCCATGCACCAAGAGGTCGCCGGTTCTATTCCCAGTCAGGGCACATGCCCAGGTTGTGGGCCCAGTCCTTAGTGGGGGGCATGCAGGAGGCGGCCAATCAATGTTCTCATTGATGTTTCTTTAAATTATTTTTTTCCTTTATTAATTTTTAGAGGGAGAGGAAGGGTAAGGAGAGACAGAAACATCTTTTTCTTTATTGATTTGAGAGAGAGAGAGGAAGGGAGAGGGAGAGAGATATAGAAACACTGATGAGAGAGAACATCAATTGGCTGCCTTCTGCATGCCCCACACTGGGGATCTGGCCCACAGCCTGAGCATGTGCCCTGACCAGGAATCGAACTGGTGACCTCTTGGTGCATGGGTCAACACTCAACCACTGAGCCATACCTGTCGGGCGGAGAAATCAGGTTCTAAAGGAACTTTTGTACTAATCAACCTTGACTACATATATTAATCAGATTTATAGAATAATTGCCAACATTTGAGGTTAATCGATTATTCAATTTTGGGCGGGGATGGGGTAGTGGATACCCCTGTATGAACAGTTTTTGTGATTTCTATATTTCCTAACAATGGATTCAGCAACATTTTAATTAATCTCTTTTGCAGCTTTAACTGCCTATACTTACCTGACCATTTTTGATCTATTTAGGTAAGTTTTTCAAACTCTCCTAATATTTTGAAGCTAATAAAGAATTTGTTGCATTGTTTTTATGAAGCTTTTTTTTTCTTAAAGGAAAATAATCTGTGAAATAAGTAAAATTATCAATATAGAACATATATACAAACAACAAATTAACATATATTCTGCAAGAAAATATTCCATTTGCATAGCAACAGAAAAGAATAGCCTGGCATTAGGTCAGGTGCTTCAGGTGCCTACCTGTGGGTGAGTCACCTGTGGCCAGGGAGCAGGGTCCCATAAGAACACACAGTTCCACCCTGGCCGGTTTGGCTCAGTGGTTGGAGTGTCGGCCTGTGGACCAGAGAGTCCCAGGTTCGGTTCCCACTAGGGGCACGTACCAAAAAAAAAAGAACACATAGTTCCCACTGTAACTATATGAAATGAGTAATTGTGAACTAGGGAGACAACCTATTGGCTTCCTGTTTCATGAGGCCTTTTATATTTTCATATAAGTGCTGCAAAATACTTTGATATCTTCAAGAACCATACTGTATGAAGTATGTCATAAGGGCGTCTTTACATTGATGACATAATTAAATCCACTTGATTGGTCTAAAATTATCTGAATTGAATTACCTAAAATTCACATGTAGTAAGTTGTTTTAGAAATAATCTCCACAAAAAAAAAAAGAAAAAAGAATCTCCACTATATTTAGCGGGAACCAAACCCGGGTCTCTCTGTACCGCAGGCCGATGCTCTAACCGCTGAGCCAAACCGGCCAGGGCTCTCCACTATATTTAGAAAATGAACATCATTTTGTCCCATCCAAAATGTTATTAAGGTTAATATCTGGCTGACCTTTTATCAAAATTAAATAAAGTTTATGAAAGTTAAAATGTATTTTATGTGCCTAGAATGAAATATATTTTCATTTTTTGTGTCATTTTTTGCATTCTCAGTTATGGAAACCATTTAGGGTGGATAACTTATTAAGCAGAGAAAGTATGGGTTTAGGTTCTGTGTAACCAGTTTGATGAGGTATCAACCTCTTCAGTTTCTCCACATGTTAAGACTGCCACGTATTAGGATGTTCATTGTAAATAGATTATAAATTATAAATAAGTTATTATTAATTTAGTCTGTATAAATACTGATAACTTGCCTTGGCCAGTTGGCTCAATTGTTTGGGGATCATCCCATGCACCTAGAAGATGTCGCTTAGATTCGCGGTCGGGACATGTACCTGGGTTGTGGGTTCCATCCCTGGTAGGGGGCATGCAGGTGGTAGCCAATCAGTGATGTTTCTCTCTCACATTGATGTTCCTCTCCCTCTCCCTCTCCCTTTCTCAATCCCTAAAACTCAATAAAAATATTTTTAGAACATACTGATAATTGTCAGCAACTTAGGAATTCTGAAAACTTAATTTCTTCCAGCATATTGTAGCTGTATATCTAATGCTAAGTTTATTTTCCTTTTTAATTAGTTTAATGACATGTTTAATAAGTTACTGGGTAATGATGAGGAAACCGAGCCCTGTCTATTCATTTGGGTAAGTTCAAAGTATTTTATTTTCTGCTAACTTAGTGCTGTTAAAACAATAATTATATTAGGCAATAAAGAGCTAGCTAGAGTACTTCTAGAAAACAAATGCTACCTGCTTAGTGGAATAATCAAATAGCAAAAGTAGATAGAAAAGGATCGTCCAAGTAGATTCTAGATAAGAAACATGAATATTTAAACTTGTCATATTAAAATAAAATGTTCACATTATGTTATTTTCTGTCTTTTAAAACACATTAACAAACTTTTCAAATTAAGTTCTTTAATTTTGGGAGAATCTCATTTTAGTTATAGAAAGTACAGAGGATTTTCATGTATCTTCTAGATGTTAAAGTAAATGTGATATATTTTAACATAAATGCAGTGGTAGAGTTGGATTTTTATTTTAAGACTGGATTTTTGATAGCTATGGACTAAAAACATATTTGAGATTTCTGTTCCTATAGTTTTAGAAAATACTGAAAGTTGAATGTTAGAAGATAGTCTGTTATATTAGAGGTTTTAAAAAATATATATTAGAAAAATATTGGTTCCTTTCAATTTAGGGAAACAATTTGAGAGAAGAATTTTACTTTGGTAAAGAAACTCTTGACCAAACTTACCCTTCTTCTTCACCATACCATTCATTGGGATTATGCTCTTTTGAACAAAATTAGGGTTTTGTTTTATTTTTTTGCTTAAATAGCAAAGCAGAGTAAACATAAAATGTTAATGCAAAATGAACATATAAGTGTCATTGAAATTTGATAAGGGTGGACTATTTATTGTGATAATCAGTTGTCAGGTATAGATATCTGTATATGGATATCTGTGACTCTGAGCCAAGGCTTTTGGTTGTTAAGTGACAGAAATCCAACTCAAAACTAATTTGGAGGTGGGGGTTTATAATTAGCAACCAAAATGTGGGAAGATTGAGGTAACTGGAATAGGGATTAGAACCCTCAGGTCTTTCCCTTACTTCTCAGGCCTGCTTTTCTTTGCATTTCATGTTCAGTTTCTCAGATCACTTTCTTCCACCATCCTGGAATGATAACTCCTAGCAAGGCCTTAACTTATGCCTTTTTACCTTCATCCTAGAAAGGAAAGGACTCTTTCCCAGCTCTACTTAGGAAAAGCCTGAGAAAGAACTGTTGATGGGTCCAGGTTGGAACAGATGTTAGTCTTTAAATCAGTTACTGTGGCAAGGAAACAAGGTCAAGTAAGGACATGGCAGCTCCCATTTTGGCCTCTTGCTTAGAGGGAATGGGAAAGGAGGGAGTAATTGAACAGCAAGATTAAGCATTCAAATATAATTGTAATCAGTCCCGTAGCTTGAAATATCTATATTTAGTATTTTTAAAATCTAATTCTCCAGCTCTGAGATCTCTTTCATTTCAGACTACTTTCTTGACAGCTTCACAGGAATATCTAATTGGTGTCTTAAGCTTAGGCTAGAATTCTTGCTTTTCACCCCCAAAACCTGCTTCTCTGCAGTTTTTTCCATCTCAGTGAATACACCACTACTCAGTTGCTCAAGCAGAAAATTCAGTGCATTATCCTTGATGATTCTCTCATTACCCACTTCTGTCAATCATCAGGTTATGTCAGGGTAACCTAAAAACATCCAAAATCTGCCCCGCCTCCCATTTCTATCTCCACTACTACCATCCTAGCCAGGTTATCTTCATTTCTTGCCTTAACCAATGACCATCATCCTAACTGGACTCTATGCTTCTGTTCTTGCCCCTCTGTAGTCCATTTCTCCATAAATCAGACAGAATGTTTCCTTTTTTAACCTAAATCATGTTATCACTCTCTTCCTTAAAACCATCCACTACTTAGAATAAAATCCTGACTCCTTTCCCAAATTTACAAAGCCCTTATATAAACTGGACCCTGCCTACTTATCACTCTCATACCCTCAATACCACACTGTCTTTCTTTCTGTAATTTAAACACAACTAATTCATTCCTGCGTTAAGGCCTTTGTACAAGCTCTTCTCTCTGCTTCAAATGCTCTTCACCTGATCTTTGCACGATGAGCTTTATCTTGTTATCCCTTTCTTAAGATCACTAAATGCGCCCTGGCCGGTTTGGCTCAGCGGTTGGAGCCTCGGCCTGCGGTACAGAGAGACCCGGGTTCGGTTCCCGCTAAGGGCACATACCTTGGTTGCGGTTTGTCCCCGGCCCTGGTTGGTCGTGTGGGTGGCAGCCACTCGATGTGTCCCTTTCACATTGATGTTTCTCTCTCTCTCTCTCTCTTCCTCTCTCTCCCTCCCGCTCTATCTGAACAAAAAATGGAAAAATGTCCTCGGGTGAGGATAAAAAAACAAACAAAAAAGATCACTAAATGCTAATATCATTAAGTGAGTAGGCCCCATCTAAAATAGCCCTGGCCAGTGTTCTCAGTGGTTAGAGCATTGGCTCATGGACCAATGAGTCTCAGGTTCAATTCCAGTCAAGGGCATGTACCTTGGTTGCAGTTCGTCCCCAGCCCTAGTTGGGTCATGCGGGAAGCAACTAATCAGTGTGTCTCTCTCACATCGATGTTTCTGTCTCTCCCTCTCTCTCTCCATCCCATTCTCTCTGATAATAAATAGAAAAAGATCTTTGTGTGAGGATTAAAAAATAATAGCCCTGGCCAGTTTGGCTCAGTGGTTATAGCATCATCCTGTGGACCAGGGAGTACTGGGTTCAATTCCGGCCAAGGGCATATACCTCAGTTGCAGTTTGTCCCTGTTGGGGTCATGCGGGTGGCAACCAGTTGATGTCACATCTTTGTCTCTCTCTCCCCCTCCCTCCCTCCCTCCCTCCCTCTCTCCCTCCACTCTGTCTGAAGATAAATGTAAAAATATCCCCAGGTGAGAATTTAAAAAAAATAATAATAGAATAAAATAGATCACCTAGTTAGTGTCTTGTCACATCAGACTACTGTAATTCTCTTTATAGAACTTACCAAAAATTAAAATTCTATCTCTCCCTTTAAAATATACATTTGTGGTATTAGGGACCACACCTTGTAATGTATTATGTGTTTGTGCAATTTGATGAATTTTAACAAATGAATATACCTGTATAACTATCTAGATCATGATAGAAAACATTACAAGTCCAGCCCAGGCCTGGTGACTCAGTTGCTTGTAGTTTCATCCTATACACCAAAAAGTTGCAGGTTCAATTCCCGGTCAGGGCACATAACTAGGTTGCTGATTCAGTTCCTGTTGGGGTGTATAGAGGAAGCAACCTATCGATATTTCTCTCTCACATTGATGTTTCTCTCTCTCTCTCTCTTCCCCCCTTTCTCCCTCTCTCCCTCTCTCCCTCTCTCCTCTTCCCGCCTCCTCTAAAAATCAGTAAACATATCCTCAGGTGAGGATTGGGGAAAAAACAACAACACATTACTTACAAGTCTTCCAAAAGCATCCTTTCATACCAAGTCTGTGTCAGACCCTGACAAAAGTAACTAGTATTCTGACTTATGTTATTGCAGATTAGTGTTGCCTACTTTTGAAGTCGTATAAATGGGATTATAGTATATAATGTCATGTAGCAGTTCGTTCTTTTTTTTATTCCTCACCCGAAGACATTTTTGCATTTATCTTCAGATACAGCAGGAGGGAGAGAGGGAGGAAGAGAGAGAGAAACATGGACATGAGAGAGAAAAATCGAGTGGTTGCCAGCACATGACCCCAACCGGGGCCGGGGACAAACTGCAACCGAGGTACGTGCCCTTGGCAGGAACCGGTACTCTCTGGTCCTCAGGCCTATGCTCTAACCACTGAGCCAAACCGGCCAGGGCGCAGTTGGTTCTTCTTCATTGCTCTAGTATTCCATTATAGGAATATACTTCAATTTGTTCATATGTTCAGCTATTAGTAGGTGATTTTCAGTCATTAGCCATCACAAATAAAACTACTTATGAACATTCTTGTACGTCTTCTAGGTTCCTCATTTATGTTGAGTATATATCTTTGAGATAAATTACTTAGTCATAGAACTTGCCATATGTTTATCATTAGAAATAATACCAGTTTTGCAGAGTGATTTTACCAATTTACATTCCCAGTGTCAGTGTATGAGGCTTCTAGTTGCTTCCTATCTTTACCAATGATTGGTATTGTCTTATTTATTGTTTTTACTTTGTCATGTGTTTATTAGCCATTCAGATAACGTTTTTGTGAAATGTTTGTTAAAGTGTTTTACCCATTTTTAAGTTGGGTTAACTGTTTTTTTCTTATTGATCTATAGGAGTTCTTTATATATACTGCATATATCTTCACCTCCTTCCTTTTGCCTTTTATTCTCTTAATGGTATCTTCTGGTGAATGAAAATTTTTCACTTCAGTGATAAATTCAGTTTACCAGTCTTTTCCTTTATGGTTAGTACTTTTTTGTGCACTTGTCAAGAAATTTTGGCCAGCTCTAAAGTCATAAAGATACTGTGCTCTGTTATTAGCTAGTAGTTTTATTGTTTGACCTTTCACATTTAGGCCTTCAGTCAGGTTAGAATGGGTTTTTGTATGTTGGCTGAGGTAGATGTGAAGGTACACTTGTTTCTTTATAGCTGTTCAGTTGATACATCATTTATTGGAAAAAAAATCATCCTTTTTCTACTGCTTTTGTATAACCTCTTTCATAAGTCAGGTGAGTATAAATGCATAATCTGGATTCTTCTTTCTGTTTAGTTTGGTATATTTGTCTATCTTGATTAGTATAAACATGTCTCATTTTATTGCACTTCACTTTATTGAGTTCCACAGATGTTGGGGGGGTGTTTTGGGTTTTGATTTTGTTTTTTTGTTGTGGTTTTTTTGTTTTTTAATCCTCACCCAAGGGCATTTTTTTCATTAATTTTCAGATAGAGTGGAAGGGAGAGTGAGAGCGGAAGAGAAACATTGATGTGAGAGAGACACATCAATTAGTTGCTTCCTGCTCTACCCTGACAGGGCTGGGGATCAAACCAAAATCGAGGTACCTGCCTGTGACTAGAATTGAACCCGAGACTCTGGTCCAAGGGCTGACGCTCTAATAGCTGAGCCAAATAGGCCAGGGCATGTTTTGTTTTGTTTCGTTTTGTTTTTTTAACAAATTGAAGGCAAGACTTTCCACCAGCAAAAATATTATGACCTCTTTATTGTGATACTCACTTTATTGCAGTGGTCTGGAACTGAATCCTCAGTATTTCTGAGATATGCCTGTACTATATGAATTACCATAGTTTAGAAATGAATCTTAATATCTGGTAGATTCAAAGCTGGAATTGAACCTGCAACTATTTGGTCCATGGGCCGATGCTCTAACTGCTGAGCCAAACCGGCCAGGGCTTTTCATACTTTTTTATAACCTACTTTTTTGCTTTCATTTATCCATGTTAAATACATTCTATTATATTTTTGATAATGCATAATAGTCCATTGTTGATTTTAACATTCTTCTTTATAAACAGTAATGTGATGAGTATGTTTAATTATGTTATCTTTTCTGAAGATAATTATTTCCTTGAGAAATTTCAAGCATTTATTTATCTCAAGTGTTGAATGCCATTAAACTATGTGTTGTGGGGAAAACCAAAATGAATAGACAAAAGCCCCTGGCCTCTAGTTGATAGTTTCGGGATTATTAAGACATGCTCATAATTAACTGCAATCATGTGTGTAAGTATAAGTGGATAAAATCATGAACTCTGAAGCCAGAGTTTAAAAACCTGACTCCTCCCCTTGCTAGTTATCTGACTCTAAACACTTTTTCTCTTTGTGTTTCAAGTTTCTTATCTCTCTTTTTTCTTAAAGTGGATTAAGTGTTGGGAGGTTTAGATGTTAAGTACTTTGACCAGTATCTAACACAAGATGAGTCAATTAAGTATTAGCTATTAATTAGATGATCATTATTTCTAGAAAAATAAGAGCCATAAGTGGGTCCTGGGAATATATATTATAAAAGTAGGTACTCTTTAATCTGTGATGTTCGTTCTAGAACCTCTGTTCTAGTCTGTTCTAACAGTGTTTGGCTTATGGTAAGCACATAATGTATATTGAATGAGGGAATAAATAAATGTAAATGTGTTCTAGAGGTACTGGTTTATGAATTGAAAGAATTATCCTGAAAAAGAAATACTTCATAAAATTTTTTAAAAAGTATGCTGATCTAATGAACTTTCTGATTTCAGATTTGAAAGATTAGAAGTCCTGGCTGTATTTGCCTCCACGGTCTTGGCACAGTTGGGAGCTCTCTTTATATTAAAAGAAAGGTACATTTGCATATGATGTTACTGTCGTTCTGAATTCCACCTGTGCCATCTTTGGGAATATAAAGAATCCAGTGAGAGACTGGTCTGGTTTGTAAGGTATGCAAACTAAGATGAGCAGTGCTGGAGTTCTTCACATTTCAGACTTTTCTCCCTTCTTTGCACTTTCTTTTATTACTTTATTTGAGGCTACTAAATCCAATCATAGGTAGGTGTGAATGAAAGATAGGGATTCAGTGAGTTATATTATAATGCTTAGTACTACAAGCCCATTGAAACAGGCTTGGTAGAGAAAGATTGACATCACATATCGAGGATAATTTGTGAGTTTCCTTGCCTTATCACTGTTAATAATCAACAGTTGGTTATCATATTAAAGATTTTGTGAATTTATTGGATTAACTGTATATTTAATAAAGCTTTTTAATTTTATAATTTATAGGACTTATTTAATATATTTTTTTCTTTTAGTGTAGAACGCTTTTTGGAGCAGCCCGAAATACACACGTAAGATTTTGCTTTAGATATAACATAATTTACTATTAAGTTTAATTCTCAAACTTAATTGATATATTATTAGATAACTATTACTTTGGCCAATATTAGAGTTCAGAATGTGGCAATATTCATTTCATTGATATTTCACAAACAAAATCTTCAAATCCTAGATTCTCTCTTTACCCTTAACTGTTCCCAAGCCCTTGTACTGCAGAGGAAGGCCTCTCTAGCCTGGGTTCAGGTCCCTCATTGTTTCTAGGCCCAGGTCAGCACACTAAGCCAGCCCAGTCTGGTCTTCTATAATTTAAAATTTGAGTCTCAAAATCTTTTAGTAGCACCTGTAGAAAAGATAGAATTGTTATTATCTTCCACATAGTTGCTGTCTATATGTACTTCACCTGTTTTGGTCAGTTTAATTCAGAACAGTATGACTTTTCAATCTACTATAAACCAAATACCATTAGCATTTATACAAATTTGTAATAGCAATTACCTGTAAGAAGCTAGTGTTAATGTAGAGTCTTTTTTTGTGCTGTGTACGGTGGAGCAACAGTAGACAGCACATGGATTGTAGGGCTAGAAAACCAGTTCAGATTCTGGCTCTGCTAATACATAGAAGCAGACCACTCTGCCTTCCCATCTCTTTCTTAGTCTCTCTACATGCTGAAATTACATATTGATATTACCAAGATAAAAAAATGGTGAATGTTATTGTTGTTCTTTTTTAGGGGAAGATTATTAGTTGGTACTTTTGTGGCTCTTTCTTTCAACCTATTCACGATGCTTTCTATTCGGAATAAACCTTTTGCTTATGTTTCTGAAGGTATGTTTTTATCCGAACATAAAAATTTTAATTAATCTCATTAAAACAAGTCTTGTTTTTTTGACGTATAAATCAATTAGAAAGTATATTTTGAAGAGAAGAAGGAGAGAACTACCCAAAAGGTTTTCAAGTCATCTTTAAGCAGAGAATTATAAAACAAAATCTAATAACTAGTTCAAGCTGTATTACTTAAAAACAGGTAGGACTGGCATATATTAAATTAAATGTGATGAAAAATCACATTTACCAAATAACATGAATGAGGTTTTATATGTATAACCTTCCTACATAAAGTCTGTTGCAAGTATTTTAGATGCTTCAGGATACTTAGCATAGTTGATGTGCTCACAGAAAATAATTTAATTCTGTTAATTAAATAAGTTCCCAGGTACTTCTCTTTGGCAGTGGTGGGTGGGCATATATATGAAAGTAACAAAATGTTTTTCCTTTATATATATATATATATATTTACATACACACACATACACTTTTTTTTTTCTTTATTGATTTTAAAGAGAGAGGTAGAGAGAAATAGAAACATCGATGAGAGAGAATATTAATTCGCTGCCTCCTGCATGTCCCCCACTAGAGACTTGGCCCACAACCTGGGCATATGCCCTGATTGGGAATCAAATTGGCAACCTCTTGGTGCATGGGTTGATGCTCAGCCACTGAGCCACACCAGCCGGGCCAAAACATTTTTCTTTTATTTTCAAGTCTTTTGATTCAGACTGGTTTTTTTACTTCAGAGGTGTAACCCACAAAGGGTTAACCAGTGATTGATGAAGAAGTGAGGTAGAAACAAAAGTGGCCTTTGGGCACAGACCTACATTTGAAGCAGAGATAATTGAGGGTCTTTGACTTGAACACCAGGACAATAAAGAAAAGAAAACTTCCTGAAATGCCAATTAAAGTTTAAATGATTTTGTGTGTGTCATGAAGTATGAGTTATATTTGTATGAGTGAGAGTTTAAGAATTTACTGCATGGTCCTGGCCGGTTTGGCTCAGCGGTTAGAGCGTCGGCCTGTGATCCAGAGAGACCTGGGTTCGGTTCCTGCTAAGGGCATGTACCTCGGTTGCAGTTTGTCCCCGGCCCTGGTTGGTCTGCGGGTGGCAGCCACTCGATGTGTCCCTTTCACGTCGATGTTTCTCTCTTTCCCTCTCTTCCTCTCTCCCTCCCACTCTATCTGAACAAAAAATGGAAAAATGTCCTCGGGTGAGGATAAAAAAAAAAAAGAATTTACTGCATGGACTGGAACATTTACTAATGATACTTGTGATGACCAAAATTATTTTGAAAAAATTTTCAATTTACTAAAATAATAAAATGCTCACTCCAGAAATTTTGAAAAGATACAGAGATTTAGAAACAATATCTCTCCATAAAGGTCAGAAACATACAAGAAAAAGAATAGTGAATATCATGACCCTCAATTAACAACTGTTAACCTCTTTTTTTTTTTTATCCTCACCCGAGGACATTTTTCGATATTTTTTTCAGATAGAGTGGGAGGGAGAGGGAGAGAGAGAAACATCGACGTGAAAGCGACACATCGAGTGGTTGCCACCCACACAACCCAACCAGTGCCGGGGACAAACTGCAACCGAGGTACGTGCCCTTAGCGGGAACCGAACCCAGGTTTCTCTGGACCGACGCTCTAACCGCTGAGCCAAACCGGCCAGGGCTGTTAACCTCTTTTTTTTTTTTTTATCCTCACCCGTGAATATTTTTCCATTTTTTGTACAGATAGAGTGGGAGGGAGAGAGAGGAAGGGAGAGAGAGACAGAAACATCGACGTGAAGGGACACATCGAGTGGCTGCCACCTGCACGACCAACCAGGGCCGGGGACAAACCACAACTGAAGTACGTGCCCTTAGCGGGAACCAAACCCGGGTCTCTCGGGACCGCAGGCCGACGCTCTAACCGCTGAGCCAAACCGGCCAGGGCGCTGTTAACTTCTTTATATTACCCTTTCATTTTTCATGCACATATACATATCTTTGCATACTTGTAATTGTATGGATTTAAAATTTTATGTCTGTTTTTTTCAATTAACAGTGTCTGGAGTATTGCCTCATTAAATAATTTTTGGAAAAAAAAAATGCTCCCCTGCTTTTTGGGATATTGATTCAAGCTGTTTATTAAGAAACAAAAGACTCAGAAAGAACCTATGACCCTTCCTCCTTTCCTGCCTTAAAGATTCAGACAGAGAAAACAGCTTCAGGAAGGAGAATTTAGGATGTCACTTTATCCTAATTTGAATTAAGTATGGTAAATAGGAGGGCTTCAGGCAGGGGCTTGGTAGGTAGATACCCCCTGTGACCCATTTAAAGAGCCTTTAAAATGAGCAGATATCCTCTCTTCCTCAACTACCTGTAAATCGCCCATTCTCACTTCTGAAATGTAGTATCCCTTTATTTCCCTTTGTCCAAAAATATCTTTTTTACCCAGTGTTGTCTCTCTGTGTTTAGAATTTTCAGGGATTTATCATGTCTGTAAATTCCCCATGCATTTGTTGTAGACCAATGAGACAGACCAGACTCAGACTCCGAACTGGGTTCAAATTAAGAGAGCCTTATTAGCTGCGTGGCAACTGTCCCATCCTACGCAGAAGAGAAAGCAGCTCCGAGCTCAGGGGGAGGGTTGCTTATATAGTTGTCTTAGCCCCTGTTAAGGAATTTGGGCTAAGGGTTTGCGAGCAAGCAAGCAAGTACAGAAGCAGATATTTGTGGTTAGCTGTTATGCCTGAGGGAGCAAGCAGTTTCGGTGTACACAAAGCAATGGTTATCTATACAATGCAGTGGTTATCGACTAACTGTAACAGCTAGTTCTTGCTATTCTCAAGTCCAGGGGGTAAGGTCTGCCTAATGGGGAAAATTTTACTGTACGTTCACATAGCAAATGTTTGTCCTTTACACACTTCTGTTAAACGTTGATGTTCTCCTGTTAAAAAGAAACAAAAACAAATGCTTTCATAACATTTTGTCATATGAATTTTTTTTTAAATACTTTTTCTTTAGAGACAGAGGAAGGGAAAGGAAAAGAAAGATAGAAACATCAATGAGAGAGCCCTGGCCAGTTTGGTTCAGCGGTTAGAGCGTCAGCCTGCGGTCCGGAGAGACCCTTGCAGTTTGTCCCCGGCCCTGGTTGGTCGTGCGGGTGGCAGCCACTCGATGTGTCTCTTCACGTCGATGTTTCTCTCTCTCTCTCCCTTCCTCTCTCTCCCTCCCACTCTATCTGTACAAAAAATGGAAAAATATCCTCGGGTGAGGATAAAAAAAAAAGAAACATCAATGAGAGAGAACATTGACTGGCTGCCTCCTGTACGTCCCACACTGGGGATCAGCCCACCACCTGGGCATGTGCCCTGACCGGGAATTGAACCAGCGACCTCTTGGTACATGGGTCCATGCGCAACCTGTGAGCCACACCTTCTGGGGCATATGAATTTTTTTTTTTTTTTTTGGTACGTGCCCCTAGCGGGAACCGAACCCGGGACTCTCTGGTACACAGGCCAACGCTCCAACCTCTGAGCCAAACCGGCCAGGGCATTTGAATATTTTTAAAGTCTATTCTTATACAGTCCCAACATTTCCTTTTACAAATAATGTTCTAATCAGCTTCTTTATATTAAATTTCTTGTATGCATTTACGATTCTTCTTTCGGATAAATTTCTAGAGAAGAAATTATAAATGAATTAAAAATGCAGTATTTTTAAAGGCTTGATATATATATTGCCAAATTTATTTCCAGAAAGGTTATCTAGATTGTATTTTCTTTTTTTTTTTTTTTTTTATCCTCACTCGAGGATATTTTTCCATTTTTGTACAGATAGAGTGGGAGGGAGAGAGAGGAAGGGAGAGAGAGACAGAAACATCGACGTGAAGGGACACATCGAGTGGCTGCCACCCGCATGACCAACCAGGGCCGGGGACAAACTGCAACCGAAGTACGTGCCCTTAGCGGGAACCGAACCCGGGTCTCTCCGGACCGCAGGCCGACGCTCTAACCGCTGAGCCAAACTGGCCAGGGCTGTATTTTCTTTTTTTTGAAATAAAAGTTTCCAGAAGCATCAAGATTTGTGACATTAGCTGACATTTGAGTAGAAAATAGTATTTGCTAGGCATTGTCTAAATGCTTTACATAGAATAACTCATTTAATTTTTCCTATAACGATATGAGGTAAATGATTTTATTAGTCTCGTTTACACTGAAGCACTGAGATACACATCTAATTAAGGGCCAAGATGGAATTTGAAGTCAGGTATTCTGACATCTGAGGCTGCTCTTAACTGTTCTGCTACACTCACTTTTGTGTAAGGCTTGTCAATCTTTTTGATCAGAGTTTCTCAGTGGTTAGAGCATTGGCCTACCAACCAAAGAGTTGCGGGTTTGGTTCCAGTCAAGGGCACATACCTTGGTTGTGGCTTGGTCCCCGGCCCTGCAAATGGCAACTAATCAATGTATTTCTCTCACATTGATGTTTCTGGGTCTCTTTCTCTTTCCCTCCACTCCCTTCCCCCCTTCCACTCTATCTGGAGATAGAAAAATACCCTCAGGTGAGGATTAAAAAATATATATATTCCCAGCATCTGGGATAAATGTAGGAGGACACCAGAACCTGGAGGCTACTTGTCCTGGGACACTAACTAGTAGGTGTCTTTGGATGTATGGCCTAGCCTTTCTGAGAGCTGAGAGAATTAATTGGTATACCTATGACCCATTCTCAGCACACTGGTTAGGAAACTCTGCTTTACAGTATAAAGAGCCCTTAAAAGTTCAAATTAATAATAATAATGATATATGTAAGTTCACTACTTCAGGTCAACTATATATTATAGTTGAAACTGCTTTTGATTTAGTATCTTAAAGGCATAAAAGAGGGAAAAGTTCTATATTTGAGGAGTAACATGTCCTCTTATAATGTTACATAGATTGTTGCCAAACTTATTTTGAACATTAAAGAAATCAAGTATTTTTGGTAGTGATTCATTCTTCTATATAGATAATTTAAGTATTTTCTTCTTAAAGCTGCTAGTACGAGTTGGCTTCAAGAGCATGTTGCGGATCTTAGTCGAAGGTAAGATGTTTTGAGGTTTCATGATATACATGATTTTAAAGGGATACAGGTGTAATGGGAATTTACAAGATTCATTGCTGAGTGAGGTTAATACATGAATCTCACAGATTAGATTCTTATTCTTCCTTTACTTTTTCTTACTTTTTAATTGATGATACAAGAGAGACCTTTATGAGTGAACTTTGTTGCCAAATCCTCTTTGCTTTCTTTAAAAGATGTTTGATACTAACATGCAAGTCATTTTTATAAGATTTTCATCAGTATCACATGAGTTCTGCTAATGAATACTCTTTTTGTTTGTTTTACTTATAGCGTGTGTGGAATTATTCCAGGACTTAGCAGTATCTTTCTTCCCCGAATGAATCCATTTGTTTTGATTGATCTTGCTGGAGCATTTGCTCTTTGTATTACATATATGCTAATTGAAATTAAGTAAGTATTTTTTATTTCTGTCAAGTGTGTTTCCATCGATGGGATGGATGGGGGTTAAGCTTATAGAACACATTTACTTATGACCTATGTAACTTTGGTTATGTCTTGTCCTCACGTGTCTTCAGAAAAAGTAATTATCGGAAAGTTAATGTTTACAGGAAAATTGATAGAATCACTGATGAAATCCATTTGTGTCTCTGTATCAGAAATTACTGTTTGAATGCTTTTATTTGTAGCAACAAGTGAACATAAATAAAATGTTTCTAGTTGACAAGTAGTTTGACAGAAAATAGATAGTGGGGAAGTGCTCATTGGTTTTCTTCATCTCTCTCGTCACAGTAATTAACATAATAATTATTAGTTTTTTTTCCTCCACTAAACTTTGTCAAGAAGTGATTCAGAAAACATTGTTTTTCTTTGTGATGCTCCCATTGCCAGTGGTGATCACTTATGATAAAATAGTCTTTTTGCTTTAGGTAATTCATGTTTGGTAGATTGGATTGTAAGAAGCCAAGTGTGGCATACATTTAAGATTTAGAATTGTTTTTTTCCTTTTAGTAATTATTTTGCTGTAGACACTGCCTCTGCCATAGCAATTGCTCTGATGACGTTTGGCACTATGTATCCCATGAGCGTGTACAGTGGGAAAGTATTACTCCAGGTAAGGGTCTTATTTCAATGTGCATGCTTAATATTAGCCATGTCCTTCTACTAGATTGTAAAATTGTATGTGTTCTACCAGATTGTGAAACTTGTAGCTATTGGAGGGCCCTATGAGAAATGAAGCCAAACAATAATCTCTAAAATTTTTATACTAAGAACTAGATGAAATTACATGGGGCTATAAAATAGGCACAGGTCTTCCTATATTTGTACTATAAAACAAAATCATAACTTTAAAAAAATTTTGCCTCTAATAATGTTTCAACTGAAAACAGTGTTGCTTTTAAAAAGTTTTTAGAGCCCTGGCCAGTTTGGCTCAGCGGTTAGAGTGTTGGCCCACGGACTGGAGAATCCCAGGTTCGGTTCCTGCTAAGGACATGTACCTCAGTTACAGTGCAGGTGGCAACCAGTTGATGGGTCTCTCTCACATCGATGTTTCTCTCCCTCTCTTCCTCCTTCTCTCCCACTGGCTCTATCTGAAGATAAATGCAAAAATGTCCTCGGGTGAGGATTTAACAAAAAGAAGTTTTTAGAGCCCAGCTGGTGTGGCTCACTGGTTGAGCATTGACCCATGCACCAGGAGGTCACCAGTTTGATTCCCAGTCAGGGCATATGCCCAAGTTGTGGGCCAAATCCCCAGTGGGGAGCATGCAGGAAGCGGCCAGTCGATGTTCTCTCTCATTGATGTTTCTGTCTGTCTCCCTCTCCCTTTCTCTCTCTAAAATCAATAAAGAAAAAAAAAATCAAAAAGTTTTTAGAGCCTGGCAGGTGTGGCTCAGTGGGTGAGCGTCAACCCATGCACCAAGAGGTCACCAGTTTGATTCCCAGTCAGGGCACATGCCCAAGTTGTGGGCCAAATCCCCAGTGTGGGGCATGCAGGAGGAGGCCAGTTGATAATCTCTCCCATTGATGATTCTATCTGTCTCCCTCTCCCTTCCTCTCTCTAAAATCAATAAAGAAAAAAATCCTCAGGTGAGGATTTTCCACACACAAAAAAGGACAAATTATTACTTAATAAAACAATGGGAACACTATAGACAAGTACCTGAATGGAGAGATAGTTTCCCAGGACTATATGTGTATGTAAGCACTGCTTTTCCTTCTGTCTTTACTTTATGCCTTTACTTTATTTTTATACACACACACACACACACACATAGATAGACATAGATATAGATATATAGATATATGTTTGTTGTTGTTGTTGATTTTTTGGAGAGAGATAGAAACATGGATCAGCTGCCTTCTGCATGCCCCCCACTGGGGATCAAGCCCACAACCTGAGCATGTGCCCTGACCAGGAATCGAACCGGGACCTCTCAGTCCATGGGATGATGCTCAATCCACTGAGCCACACTGGCCAGGTTTTTTTTTTGTTTTTTTATCTTCACCCAAGGATACTCTTCCATTTATCTTCAAATAGAGTGGAACAAAGGGAGGGAGAGAGAGAGAGAGAAACATTGGTGTGAGAAAGACACATCGATTGGCTGCCTCCCACACAACCCCGACCAGGGCCAGGAACTGAACTGCATCTGAGGCATTCTCCCTTGACCAGAATCAAACCCATGACTCTTTGGTCTGTGGGCCCACACTCCAACCTCTGAGCCAAACAGACCAGAACCTCATGTCTTTTCTTAAACTTACAGTATCTTCATCTCCAGGACCAGTAATAACAGTAAGATAGTTGTTTAGTCCTGTGCCTTATACAGAATGTTACTTTCTTAAAGATTTTTTGTTGAGTGGTTGGTTCTTTAAGGCTTATTTGGTTTTAGAGATAGCAGCTTATTTGTAAGGTAAAAAAATGAGCATGATCTGATTTTTTATGTTGTCCGACTACGGGGACCAGTTGAAATTTCTCTTCCCTAAATCATGATAGGGTATATGTCAAACAAAGCAAAGGTTGGTTTAAGACCCAGTATTGTTAGTTTCTGAACCATTGTTGCAAAAATTTTTTATCTCTCCTGATGTGTTTTACTTTTTCCCCAGACAACACCACCTCATGTTATTGGTCAGTTGGACAAACTTATCAGAGAGGTAAGATGGAAAGATAATTAAAATCACTTAAATTAATAATTAGAGGATAGACAATAAAGATAAGTTAAAAAAATAGAAAATAAAAAAAAGATAGCCAAAAAAATAATAATAATTAGAGAATGGAAAGAGTAGGTACACATAATACTTTATTCAACCCAATCCTATCTAGAATTTTAGGAGAGTTTCTATTCTTTCCTCACTAGAAGATATAACATAGTGACAAAAGTAGGGAAATTGAGGAATTGCCCCATCTGGGAGCCAAATTCACTTGAAATAAATGTGGAAGGTAATGGTCTAAAGACCACACTACTACTTCTATAAATGCTGTGATTTTTGTGATTCTATATTCAAACCTTTGATTAGGTCAAAGCTAACTTTTGTTGATTGCTTCATCATCTAATATCTTGATTTATAAGTTTAGATTTTGTATTGTTATAAATTTCCACCTGTCAACTAAGGAAGGAGCAAGATAACTGAATTATTTGAATGTAGAGAGTATTTTAAACTATTGGTTGTCAATATCACAAAGGCCACCTTTACCAATATAGCTGGCTACTTGTCTCAAATAGTGAGCCTGTGCCACTGCGCCAGTGGTCCACACACTATACATCTGGCCTTGGGATTTCCTTTTGGCACACATCCAAATAGCATTCTTTGTTGTTCAGAAATTTGTTAAAAGGGAAAGAAATAGTGGAGAAGGGAAAAAAAAACCTGATAACACAAGTGGATATAAATATATGCCATATTGATAAAATGAAAAGAACTACACGCTGTTGTGTAAGGATTGAGGGTCTGTAAAGACCTGATTCTAAAGGATTGTTGCAGACGAGAAACTGGGGAAGTAAGGCCTTGCCTCTACTGAACAAGCAGAAATGGTATCTTTAGTGAGTGGTCTGACCTTCTCTTGGCTAGTGAGTGTCCTCATGCAGGGTTTGGCCATGTCATTTCTAGGCTAAGAGCAAGTCCATAGTGTAACTGAACTGTGTTGGATATGTCAAATACAAACAACCCTATTTCTGTGTTTTTGATCAGGTATCTACCTTGGATGGAGTTTTGGAAGTACGAAATGAGCATTTTTGGACCCTAGGTTTTGGCTCATTGGTATGTTTTCTACATATTACTTTAGTTATAATTTAAAGCGTACTTTGTAATTTTTGAAAAAAGTATTTCTTTAAAATTTTCATAGAGCCTTTGATTTCCATTTTTGTTCGGTAGAGTCTCAAATGTAGATGGATTCAGACATCTAACTGAGATTAATGGAAGGATTTTTTTTTCTTTCAAGCCAAATCATCGTAATACTGAACTATCCAGAGAAGACAATTCATAGTCACATGTTCCTGAGTATGCAAATGTTGTAAGAGTAAAAGGGGCAGTTATTTTATTTTTAATTGCAGTTCTAATTTTGGAGATTTTGCTGAATGTGGTAAAGCATTATAATAATATAACTTGCTGCAGCATAAAATTCCACCTTTTCTAATCCAATGTGGACCTTGCTACCAAAGAGACTTTATTATGGCATAGTTGCATTTTGTATTAGGAATGATGAGGAAAATGAAGAAAAGTATCCAGAAAAAAATTAAATCTCCATAATCCTCTCATGTAGAGAAAATTGCTGTTGATATTTTCATATTTATACTTACATATTTATTCTCCTTAGAAATGAGATGCTGTTTTAATTTGCTGTTTTCTTTTAACATACCATGAACAGGTTTTTTGTTGTTTTTTTTTTCATCTTTATTGTTGAATGTATTACAGATGTTCCTCATTTTTACCCCATTGACCCCCTTCTCTCCCCCTCCTGCCTTTTCCCACACTGTTGTCTGTGTCCATTGGTTATGCATATATGCATATAAGTTCTTTGGTTTATTTCTTCCCACCCACCAAACCCCCCTTCCCTTTGAGGTTTGTCAGTCTAGCAACCAATTTATACTTCTTCTTTTTTTTTTTTAATTTTTTTTTTTTCGTCCTCACCCGAGGACATTTTTCCATTTTTTTGTTCAGATAGAGTGGGAGGGAGAGAGAGGAAGAGGGAGAGAGAGAAACATCGACGTGAAAGGGACATATCAAGTGGTTGCCACCCACACGACCACCCGGGGCCGGGGACAAACCTCAACCAAGGTACGTGCCCTTAGCGGGAACCAAACCCGAATCTCTCTGGACTGCAGGCTGACACTCTAACCGCTGAGCCAAACTGGCCAGGGCCAATTTGTACTTCTTAATCCTTCACTTTTCACCCATTCCTCCAACCCCCTTTCCATATGGCAACCAACAAAACGTTCTCTGTATCTATGAGAATGTTTCTGTTCTGCCTGTTCATTTTGTTTGTAGATTCCATTGTCGGTAGATAAGTATTCATTGCCATTTTGTTTGTTCATATATTTTATCTTTTTCTTCAAAAAGACTCTTCAACATTTCATATAATGGTTTGTTGGTGATGAACTCCTTTAACTTTTTCTTGTCTGGGAAAGTCTTTATATGGCCATCGATTCTAAATGACAGCTTTGCAGGATAGAGTAATCTTGGTTGTAGGTTCTTGCTTTTCATCACTCTGAATATTTCTTGCCACTCCCTTCTGGCCTGCAAAATTTCTTTTGAGAAATCAGCTGACAGTCTTATGGGATCTCCCTTGTAGGTAACTAACTGCTTTTCTCTTGCTGCTTTTAAGATTCTCTCTTTGTCTTGAACCTTTTGCATTTTGATAATGATGTGTCTTGGTGTGGGCCTCTTGGGGTTCATTTTGTTTGGGACTCTCTGTGCTTCCTGAAATTGTATGTCTGTTTCCTTCACCACGTTAAGGAAGTTTTCTGTCATTATTGTTTCAAATAGGTATTCAATTTTTTGTTCTCTCTCTTCTCCTTCTGGCACCCCCAAGATGCGAATGTTGGCACGCTTGAAGTTGTCCCAGAGGCTCCTTACACTCTCCTCATTTTTTTGGATTCTTTTTTCTTTTTGCTGTTCTGATTGGGTGTTTTTTGCTTCCTTATATTCCAAATCGATGGTTTGCTTCTTGGCTTTACCTACTCTACTATTGAATCTGTGTAAATTATTCTTTATTTCAGTTAGTGCCTCCTTCATTTCTGACTGTTCCTTTTTTATGCTCTTCAGGCCTTCACTAAGTTCGCTGAGGTTCTCATTAAGTTCATTGAGCATTTTTATAAGCAGTATTTTGAACTCAGCATCTGTTAGGTTGCTTATCTCCATTTCACTTAGTTCTTTTCCTGGAGATTTTTTCTGTTCTTTCATTTGGGACCTGTTTCTTTGTCTCCTCATTTTGGCTTCCTTCCTGTGTTTGTTTCTATGTATTACAAAACGGGAGGTATGGGGCTAGCTGAGACCAGATGCTGCTTGTTTGAAAGAATTTAGGAAAACCTGAAGCAGGATCCAAGACAGGCCAATCCTACAGTAAAACAACGGGCAACAGCTTGGGTGGGCCTGAAAGTTGGGTGGGGCGGGGCCTCAGGGAATCACCAGGGCAGGGTCAACAGTGTGAGCCAGGTTGCTGGAGTCCCAGATCTGGCGGCTGTCTGCCGCCCCAGGGAAGGGCTCACCAAAGGAACAAAGGCCTCTGACAGCATGTTTGTCCCAGAGAAAGGCCCCTCTCCAGCCCTTGCTCCAATGCCAAACAGTTCAGTTCTTCCCTGTATGTCTCTGGAGCCCTTGAGCTGCCTCCCCTCAAAGCTTAGAGGGACTGAGTCCGATAAGTCCGTGCGCGGGCCCTTTAAGAGGAGCTGCCTGGGGCTCCAGCCACCTAAGCCTCCCTGAGCCTCAGTTCCTGCTGGTTTTTTCAGCCAGAAGTTATGGGGACTTCTCTTCTTGGCACTGGAACCCTGAGCAGGGTGCCTGGTGTGGGATGGGGACCCTTCTGTCCTCAGGGAGGACCTTCACAGCCAAGGTGTCCTCCTGATTTTTATCCGCCACACGTGGGTGTGGGACCAGCCCGTCTACCTCCGCCCCTCCTACCAGTCTGGATGTGGCTGCTGCTTTAATTCCGTAGTTGTAGGACTTCCATTCAGCTTGATTTCAGGCGGTTCTGACTGATGGTTGTTCTGCAGTTTAGTTGTAACTTTGATGTGGTTGTGGGGAGGATGCGATACCGCATTTACCTACTCTGCCGTCTTGACCAGAAGTCTTCCCATGAACAGGTTTTCATAGAACTAAGTATTACTCTTCTAATTAAAAAACAAAAAAAACACCCCTGGCCAATTTGGCTCAGCAGTTAGAGCGTCGGCCTGCAGTCCTGAGAGACCCAGGTTTGGTTCCCACTGGAGGCATGTGCCTCGGTTGCAGTTTGTCCCCGGCTCTGGTCAGTTGTGTGGGTGGCAGCCGCTCGATGTGTTTCTTTCACATCGATGTTTCTCTCTGTCTCTCTGTTCCTCTCTCTCCCTCCCACTCTACATGAACAAAAAATGGAAAAATGTCCTCGGGTGAGGATAAAAAAACCAACAACACAAATAGGATTTGGTTTTTCTAACATAACACAAATTCCAGAGGTAGGCATATTAGGGCTGGTCCATCAGGTTACGGATGTCATCCACATTGCAGTCTTTAGTTTCAGATTTAGGCTCTTGTAGTAGAAAAATGGCTGCTTGTCTTCTACCTTCCCCTACTCTTGCCCTCTAGACGTTTTGAGTATCTAAAACTCATTCTCTAGTAAATTCTTCAGGAAGAACCCTGGGGATCAGCATTCCCTAAATTCCTGAATCTTGAAAACAGTTGTGGACATTATACTTGGAAATCATTTTGGCTGGATATAAAATCCTGAGCACATATTTTATTTCCTTGAGTGTCTTAAATATACCTCCCCATTTGCCTCTGGCATAAAGCATTGCTGTAATAAAAGCATGGTGATTCATTCTGGTTTTGGGATTTTCCCCCTTTATATGTGATTTGATCTTTTTGCCTGATTGCCCAAAATATATATTTTTTACCATCTAGTAATTTTACTAAATTGTGTTATATTAGTCATTCTGTTTATTATTTCAGGTGTACTATACACCCTTTCAATAATGTTATTTTTAAAGTAATTTTTTTTAACTTTCAGGAAAGTTTTCTTTATAGTTCTTAAAATTTATTCTGGTCTCTTTGATATTCTTCTTTGGGAACTTCGTTTATAACCATGTTGGTTTTTTGCCTTTTTTTTTCATATTTTATCTGCATTTTCTTTTGACTTTTAAAACTTCTTTTCAAAACCTTTTATTTTTCTTACAGTATACTTATATTTTTATTTGCTTTTGTATTCCTTCTAGTTTAGTCTTTATTTTTGCAGTGACTACTTCTAATTATTATCTCATTTCTAAGGCTTTCTAATTTTGATCTATATTGTTCTTGGCTCTTTTTTATGCTTGTTCTGATACATTTTTCAACAGTTTTAGAGGTAAATCTTTCTGGTGATCTTTTAATCTGTTCTGTATTTCCTTTTTTTTGTTATTATAACTTTGTGTGGGATATGGATTCAGTCCTTTTCTGTGGGTCCTTTTTATGTGAAATTAGTTTTCCTGAACTTAAAAAAGTAAGGAGTGGTTAGGGTAGTATATGTCTAAATTCATAGCTCTACAGTTCCCTCTTCTGATGAGTCTACGAAGTGCAATTTCTTCTTTCCCTTGGCTCTGTTCCTCTTCCATTTTTATCTGAACCTTCTTTATCCTTTGTCTCTACTCTGACGCTCAACTGGGATTCTGTTCCCAGTTGTTTCTTCTTAATGTGGGGCTTTGCTTTGGTTACTTTTGAGAGTTCTAGGGTTCAGACTACTCCAGCTCTTCATATCTTATTGCAGACCCAGCTGCCTTTCTCAAATTCGCTGTCCTAGATTTCTATTAAGTACTGGTTTACTGCTTTGGGGTTTTTAGGTCAGTCAGATGCCCTATGCTTCCTCCTCCACAGAAACTGATACCTTGCAGGTCTAGAGCTTATATTTGGGGTTTCTTCGGAGCAATGTGTTAGCTAGTTTTTTGTAGTCATTGGACATAGGTTTTTGGATTTGCTGTCTTAGTTTCTCTGTTCTTATGGAGATATTTGGGGAATTTCAGAAAAAGTGCCACCACTGTTGCTATCTTCCAAGAACCCAACATAATTTTTAATGGCTGCAGAGTTTTACTTTATATGATTATGCCATATTGTATTTAATCATTCTTCTATTTCCACTGTTAGCATATAAACTGGCTGAGATGAATATTTTTCTGGTGTAATCTTTGCAAAAGAGACCTCATCCAACCAGGCTGATTTTCAACTACTCTGATCTTGGGCTTCCCAGCCTCCAGAACTAAATTTCCTTTGAAAAGAGATTAGAGGGTTGTGGTCCCTATACCATCTCAAGTCCTGAAGTGGGCCTGAAAAGATGCAGCCACACTGCCTCATTGGATCTGCACCACACAGTCCACCTGGAATGGCTGGAGACCCAAAGACCCCTTCTTGTCTGAGATTGTCCTGAGTTGCATGTATTGTTCTTAGGTAGCCTCAATGCCAAGAGGCTCTGAAGACCATTTCTTATGGATAGGAGTCATTGGAGGCCTCATTAGTAGTAGTTTGTCCCACTGTTCAGTGGGCTAGGGCACTCAGCATCCCCGTTTGAGTGGTAGCTGTCCTCTCCCCTACTAAACCTGTGTCTGTCCTGAAAGTAGACGGTGCATTAGGTTCAGGTGGAACTTAAGTAGGTGTATGTGTGTTGGGGAGCGTGGGTGCTCAAGTCATTTGCCCACTACAACCCTGGCCACACAGAAACTTCAGGTAACCCAATCATCTAAAAGTTTTGGTCATATCTTCAGTAAAAGAAAGATCAGTTTGTTTTGTTGTTTAAAGATTAATTTTTAGCACTGGCCAGTTTGGCTCAGCAGTTAGAGCATCCGCCTGCAGACCACAGAGTCCTGGGTTCGGTTCCCACTAAGGGCACGTACCTCGGTTGCAGTTTGTCCCTGGCCCAGTTGGGGTTGTGTGGGTGGCAGCTACTTGATGTTTCTCTCTCTCTTCCCCCCTTTCTCCCTCCAACTCTATCTGAAGATAAATGCAAAAATGTCCTCGGGTGAGGGTTAAAAAAAAAGATTAATTTTTAGAAGGGGTTTTTGTGAGTAAAGAATGTTATACTCACCCTGGCCAGTTTGGTTCAGCGGTTAGAGCATCGGCCTGCAGTCCAGAGAGACCCGGGTTCGGTTCCCGCTAAGGGCATGTGCCTCGGTTGCAGTTTGTCCCCGGCCCTGGTTGGTCGTGTGGGTGGCAGCCACTCGATGTATCCCTTTCACGTCGATGTTTCTCTCTCTCTTTCTTCCTCTTTCTCCCTCCCATTCTATCTGAACAAAAAATGGAAAAAAATGTCCTCGCGTGAGGATGAAAAAAAAAAAAGAATGTTATACTCTTTGTGGCTTTTGATACCAATTGCCAAATTGCTTTCCAAAAATGACAGTACCAACTTAATATTCCTTCAGTAATGTAGTTAATTTTTAATTATTCTTTTAATTGTACTTATATCAATAAATGAGTAGGCAAGTGGTTTTTTTTATTTCTTATTTTTTTAGGGAGAGAGAGAAACATCAATTGGCTGCCCTCCTGCACAGCCCCTACTAGGGTTTAAGCCCACAACCCAGGCCTCAACAACATGCCCTGACTGGGAATTGAACCCAGACCTCTCAGTCCAGGGACAATGCTCAGTCTACTGAGCCACACCAGCCGGATAGTAGGCAAGTGTTTTTTAAGCTTGGTGGCTTCTAAAGAAAAATAATACAATCATCTCAGCTATTCAGAACGTGGCCATCTGACAACCCCAGTTATGTAGTATCTAATTAAGACCAAAGGGATTACTAAAACAAGCTTTTGAGCTTCCAAGAATAGTTGTCACAAAAGCCGTAGATTAATGCAAACACCATATAATAGGAGATTGTTCAAGCTCATACTGGGAAATGGTTTCCACTAATTTTACTTTAAGATACAGTATCTTTTATAGTTTTGCATAGTACAGCAATGAGATGGCATTGGCAAAGAACAGGGAGAAATCGAAGCTGCCTTGATTTCTAGACATGGCTTGTCTTACCTAATATTAATCAACTAGAAGTCAAATTCAAGCAACATAGATATTTTCTCTGTCTTATGATTGATAATAATTCTTATTACTGCTCAAGTCATAGATTCAGACACATTTTAACTAAACCAACTGGTCAATTTGGGTGCATTTTATGCTTTGCTATAAGTTTTTGTTTTGAAAATCTGAGTTTATTTAGAAATCATGGAGTAATTATTGGATATTTTATTCAATTATATTTATTATATATTTTTATTTAAATTTTTATTATACAAATAGTACCCAATTATTAGAAAAATTATAACTTATAACTAAGTCTAAAAGAAGAGAATAAAATCCTTAACAATTCTACCATCTAGAGATAAGTGCTGTCATACTTGATATTTTTCTGTATGTATGTGTTTTGATCAAAACAGGATCAGTTATACCTACTATTATCTACTTTAAAAATATAATGTATGGGCTCAGTGGTTGAGCATCAACCAATGCACCAAGAGGTCACCGGTTCGATTCCCAGTCAGGGTACATGCACAAGTTGTGGGCCCAGTCCCCAGTGGGGGGCATGCAGGAGACAGCCAGTCGATGTTCTTTCTCATCGATGTTTTTATCTCTCTCTCCCTCTCCCTCCCTCTCTCTCTAAAATCAATAAAGAAAAAAAAAATATATATATATACACATATATACATATATAATGTATGCTAAACGTCTTTTCAAGTTTATAAACAAACTTTTTTTTTTTACTTTATTTTTATTGTTGACACTATTATAGATGTCCCTATTTTCCCTGCCTTTGCCCACCTTTACCCAGACCCCAGACCCCCTTCTCTTTGGCCCTCACCACACTGTTTTCTGTGTCTGTGGGTTATGCATACATGTTATTTGGCTAATTGTAATACCTGGTGCTCTCTATCCTCCTAGTAACCTGGGCTAGAAACCTTTAGATTATCTTTGATGAGTCTGTCTTCTTAGTCCATTACATCCAGTTGGGTATCAAATTCTCCCACTACTAACCCATGAAATACCATGAATCTATCTGTCCCTCCCTGATCCCACTGTGTTTGTCCTATCTCATACCTCTTCATTTTTAACCTTGACTTTTGCAGTCTTTTCCTACTTAATTGGCAATCATCCATACCTGTCATTTTTCTGAACTCGTATTATTTTATTGCTGCTATTAAAACTTACTGTCGTGATATTTAGATGCCTCTTCTAGCCTTTCTTTTCACCCCATTACCTGCCTTTCTTCTTTCCATTCTTTCTTTGTTTCCTCTTTTCCTCCTGTCTTTCTTTTCTCTCTTTTATTCTTTTTCTGCCCCTGAAATATTTGTACTGTTTTTCTTTTTTAATTTTTTTCTTTATTGATTTTAAAGAGAGAAGAAGGGAGAGGGAGAGAGAGATGGAAACATCAATGAGAGATAACATCGATAGGCCATCTCCTGCACACCTCTCACTGGGGATTGGGTCCACAACCTGGGCATGTGCCCTGACCAGGAATCGAACCAGCGACCTCTTGTTGCATGGGTCGACGTGCAGTCAGTGAGCCACATCAGCCAGGCATTGCTTTTTTATATATCAGTGATACTGCTTATTCTTGCCCAGACATGCCATGCATTTTCATTGCTATGTCCCAAACCTGTATCTACCTTTTGAAATTTCATATAACCATCAACCCTTGATTGTCAGATGTAATTTTTTCTTGAAGTTTTCCTCAATTTGAATTAATATCTCTCTTGTCTGCCTTTCTATTGCATTTTTTTTATGTACTTCATTTATATTCTGCTTTGTTATACCATGCCTGTCTTCATCCTACATGAATTTCTCTTCATATATATACCATGTTTTATTTAAAGAGTTACAAATTATTTCATTAACTCTTTACCTTGATAATCACTACCAAGTCATCTTTAAGGACTATCAAGACATTAAGCTTTCTCTTATATTAAAGAAAATATCAAGTACTGTTATAAAATACTCATGTGTAAAGTGTTCGTTTCCAATGGAATTTTCAGTAGTGTAATTCTAAGCAGTCTCTTTTTTATGGTTTTGCCCCTTTTAGGCTGGATCAGTGCATGTAAGAATTCGACGAGATGCAAATGAACAAATGGTTCTTGCTCATGTGACCAACAGGCTGTACACTCTAGTGTCTACTCTGACTGTTCAGATTTTCAAAGATGACTGGACAAGGCCTGCCTTATCGTGTGGGCCTGTTGCAGCTAATGTCCTAAATTTCTCAGATCATCACATAATCCCAATGCCTCCTTTAAAGGGCACTGATGAGTCAAACCCTGCCACATCAACTCCAACTAAACCCAGTAGTCCACCTCCAGAATTTTTGTTTAACACCCCTGGAAAAAATGTGAACCCAGTCATTCTTCTAAACACACAAACAAGACCTTATGGTTTGGGTCTTAATCATGGACACATACATTATAGCAGCATGGTTAATCAAGGACTTGGAGTTCCAGGAATTGGAGCAACCCAAGAATTCAGGACTGGTTTTACAAATATACCAAGTAGATATGGAACTAACAATAGAATTGGACAACCAAGACCCTGACATACTGTGACTTAATTTATTTTATGAGGAATATTGACTCCTTGACTTCCATTTTATTTAGTAATCCAACTTTGCATTGACTGTTCAGTCATTTATTGGAAATGTTAGAGAATAGTAGGCTAGTTCACATATGAAACCAATGAAACTATATATTTTTTAAATGTATTTAGAACTGAGAACCTTCTAAATGTTGTAGGCTTTAAATAGACTTCCTTTAAAACGTGTATTTCTCTAAATTTGAATTTTGCTATCTTTGGTTTTGTAGTCGACTACAGTGTAATATGAGATTACCTTTACAAGAGAACCATTTGATGGAGTGGATCTGTCACATAATATTTTCTTCAGTGAAATTTATAAACCTGCTTCTTGAATAATGATACACATTTTAGGAAAGGATAAAAATGTCCATCTTTAAATGCCCATCTTTTATAGCTTTTCCAAACTTAATTGCTGCATTTTTCTTTGAGGTCCTCCTGAATTATGTCTTGCAAAGTAAAAGAAAATTTTTTTATCAGAAATTTTAAAACATACTCTACCACCTAGTTTTTGTCATTTAAACATTTTGTAAATAGTCCATGGTTCTCAAAGTATTTCATTCTGGTTAATGAATCCTAGTTTTCTGTCTTACACATAAAACTGTCAGTAGACAGTTTTTTCTGTCTATTGACATAATGATGGAATTTATCTTTTTTGTCACTTTTTCATTGGTTGACTTAATTTCTCATTTTATTAACAAAACATCAAATATGTTACCAAAATATATGGAATTCAATGTACAGTATAATATGGGATTTATGGTATAATATGAGATTTCTTATCTTTTCAAAGTTACATAATCAATTTGAGATTATATTACATAATTCTACCAAAAGATGACCTTAAATTATAGAATACAGGATTTTCAGATCTGCTACAGGCAGTTTCTAACTTACTTCGTTTTGCTTTGTCAAACAGTGAATTGTTAATGTGATGAAATGTGAGAATTATATAGATTACTTTATTTTTTTTTATTATTTTCCAAGTGCAAATGTTGACTTTCCAGTGTGGCCAGTATTACTTATAAAGACTATAACAAGCAGCAGGTACAAAACACCTATGAGGTGTTTTTCATTATATTATAAGTTTTATGATTAGAGTTTTAAAAAGGGATTTTAGGAGTGGATTCAGCTTTTCTGGAATACAGTGACTCCTGGAGATTTGTGACTTTTCCAGCCATCACCCAGCTATCTAGAGAAGATTTGTGTTTTTGTAGAATATGCGACAGTTTCTTCATTCAACTTGTCCTCTTTTAAATATGAGCAACACTTCCAAACCTTATTTCTTCACTGTGGAATAACGAACATCTAAGAAGCCATCTCTATCAAGCAGAACCGTAGTTATCCTGTGATGATAAATGATCATATCCCAAATACCTTTTGCTTGGTGAGAAGTTGGTCACTGTCTATCTGCGACCCTGTTCAGGCATTTGACCTATTGATGAAATAGAGTCCACACTACCTTGACTGCTGGGGAAAATGAAACTGTAAAATGTAATAAGGCAACCTGTTTCTTGTCCTTTGTGTTATGTCCTCAAACTATTACTATGCCTATTACTGCTCTACCATTGCAGAGTGATTTTTCCTTCATTGACCTCATCTAAATGTGAATTCGGGTCATGCATGAAATCTGAACTGTCATGGACTGAGTGATGATTCAGAGGTATGTGCTGCCACCCTAAGCACATCTTCCTATCCCTGTGGGATTTTTCTTTTCAAGGTGCTGAACGCAGTTCTGCGTGAGGTTAAATGCCTACTTCCGCAACACCCACCAGAAGCAGCACCTGTGCAGTTGTCCCACCAAGGTGCCTTCATGCCCACCTACACTATTTGAGAAGTTGCCTGTGGGTTCTGAAGGAATTGGCTCTACTTGCTGAAATTCAGTAATGCCGACTGCTGCATGAATTATTATATAAAGAAGTTTCATTTGCTAAGCTCTGGCCAGCTTCTGGATATGAAAACAAGAAACTTGGCCAGCATAGGCCTTTAGGCAGTAGCCTTACTAGTAAATCTTGCCATGGAGTTACTTGAAGCTAGACAAACAAAGGAAGTTCAAATTGTATACTTGGCCCATGCTTTGTGATTAAGAGCAAGCTTCATGGAGTGTGATTAACCCTGTTTGAGAAAGCGCTGTTTGTAATGGAAAAAACACCGGACTGAAAGACAAAAATGGGGTTCCAATCCGCATACTGCCACTGGGTAAGTAGTTTTGTAGCTGTGGGCAGGTCATTTAACTTCTCTGAGTGAAAAGTTAGGGTAGGGAATGAATTAGTTGATCTGTGAACTATCAGCTCTAAAATTTTATGACTAAATCTATAGAATATATGCCCAGTTGCTAAATAGAATATTGTGCCCAGAATTTCCTTCCAGTGACTACCTCAGCATACAGGCCAAGTGTTACCTACACCAACACCTACGCCATTAATTTGAGGTGCCATGAGAATAGAAGGTGAACTGCAGGGTGACACCATTTAGGATTTTGTTTATTTCAGACTTGCCTCGAATAAATCTTTAAATCTGTTTAAGCAGATTTTTCAAGTCTTCTTTCTTTGTGGGAAAGGATTATTTTTGTGGGTGTTGGGGAAAAGATTAGGACAAAGTACCCTTAGCTTCCATAGAGTATGAAAGAATGGGGTGCGTTTTCATTTCTTCCTTAATCTCTGAAGTCACAGTTGAAATTATATACATGTATCAGCAACTGGGGAGGACCTGAATTTCAAGCCTCTGATGTAGCTGCTTTTAAACTGCCAATTTTTTTTTTTCCTTGATTAAAGAATGCCAGTCTTTTTGGGGAGACTGATCTGCTTACATAAGAAAATGTGTTTCACATTCCAAATTGTTTGAATTAAACTTTTTGAATAAAGAACAGACATGGGATTTTCTGTGATTTTGAGTAATTCTGGCTTGTTTCTTTATTCAGTAGCTATTTATTGGTAATTTAATTATCTCATATTTATCAAATACTTGTTGAGAGTCTAGTACATTCCAGGTACTGTACTGAGTAAATGTGCATACAGTATATTCGTTCTTGTGCCGTGCTATTGAGGCCAGAGGAACCCAGGATAAGTAAGAGTCCCCTTCAAGTAGCTGATAATCGTAATAGGAGTGATGAGACACAGAACTGTTGCACATGTCATCAGTAAACTCCTTCCCACTTCCTCCTCTTCTTTGGCTTCGTTTTCCTGACATCCTCTTTTTTTCCTGAATGATGAAACTAAGAGGAGATTACAATGCTAGAGGCCAGTAAGGAGGTGATGCTGCCACACATCATTCTGATGTCAGGAAAGGAAGAGAAAGTTTAGAAGGGGCGAGTTGAGCAGACACCGTTGACATAGATCATTTTTAGGTGGATAATAGATTGCCATACACTTTCAGACCCTTGGACTATATGAGCAAAGATTCTCAAATCACCAGGCTGAGATTGAGTCCCCAGAGCCTTCATGGGCTCAGGGTGCCCTTTATTTAAGCAGTTACTAGTTTAAAAGTACCTTTAATAATACTAACATCATCATCATCAAATTGCCACCCAACAAGTCTAGCTTCTTGCAAAAATGTTAACTTAGATAACACATGGCCAAGTTTTCTGACTAATGCTGCATCAGGTAAAAATCTTTTAGTGCTGAAGTCAAAAAACACTAATTGCTTAAGATTTTCAAATATACCCATGAAGGTAAGCCATCCATCACTGCTCACACAATTTCCTGCCAGATCCAGCTGCTGGAGGTTTTTCAGAGGGTTCTTTTCAAAAAATGCACCTGGTAAAAAAATAGAAATTAGTATTTTAGTTGGAAGCAAAACAATTTCTTGAAGAAATGGCCATGTTTGGACCAGTGCTTTGCTTTAGAAATTCCCTATAGATAGAGCAGTCAGTAATTATAAATTTGGTCCATTGTATTTACAAATTATATTATTCCTAAAGTGTAAGGGAGTCTAATAAAAGGTAATTAGTATTTAGTGAATTAGTATAATTAAATAACATAATTATACTTTATAACATGTTTAAAATAAAATATTAATGATAACCAATATCTATAAGTATAATTGATTTAATTAGTGTAATTCATTTATATTGGCAAACCAATGGAAATAAATTATATTTTTTCAATTCTAGGAAATGGAAGATTACTTAAAAATTGAGGCACGAGAGATGCTATTAAAGAAATACTCATGGGGTAAAAAAGGAGAAACATCTGTAACAAAAATAAAATAATAACAATAAAAATAAAATAAAATGAAAAAAGAAATATTCAGTACTTGTTTTAAAACGAGGTCAAGCTCCTGGCAGTCTTAGGTCAAGCTTAGGTCTTCTGAGAGGCAAACAATGCCTTTTGTTTCTTGGGTATGAAAATGTCCCTAAACTGTAAACTTGAGTAAGTAAGCTTCCCTCAGTATCTCATGATTTGGGTTTGAGTGCTGGTTTTTGTTTTTTAACTTTTATTATTTTGTTGTTAATTCTCACCCAAGGATATCTTTCCATTGATTATTTTTAGAGAGAGTGGAAAGGAGGGAGGGAGGGAAAGAGAAACATCGATGTGAGAGAGACACATCAATTGGCTGCATCCTGCACCACCCCGATGGGAGCTGGGGAGAGAACACTGCCCTTGACAGGAAATCAAACCTGAGACCCTTTGGTGTGTGGGCCAATGCTCTAACCACTGAGCAAAACCAGCCCCGGGGGGGGGGGGGTGAGGGGGGGTTAACCCTTCCTAAACTCTTCAGGAACTTCCTCCATTCCTAAGAGAATAGGGCACTCTAAAGTACCTCCTACAAAGGGAAGGGGGATGTTCTAATCATGACCATGAAGATAACTCACTAAGGAATAGAGGAATAAAAACAGTAGGTTTCTGGGTCTGAAAGACTGCACAGAACAGAGCACCCCACCTACCTGGACTGCTCACTTCTGCAGAGTTAGAAGACAAAGAAGTAAGGTCCATTTGCTGTAAGCCATGGTGTAGTTGGGTCTCATTATACCAGCTGGGCCTGTGCCCATCCTAACTCATACACAGGGCCTCACTTTCTCCTCCATTCCTTCTCATAAGGAGCCTGTATTATTTCTTATAGGTGGCTTTCTCCCTGCTCTTTTCTGCCTCTGCCTTTTGCATGTGCTTCCCAGCATGGCATGCACTCAGTCAAAATGCTGGTTGTCAGTCAGCTGTCTGTAAGGCTCCTGCCCCAAAGAGCAACTTCTTTTCTCCTCAACTAGCAGACCAGATTTCACCACCTTAAAGGAACTTAAAAAAGAATGGAAAGCCCATTTGTGAGCTGTTTATGCAGGCTATCTAAGGTTTAAGAATGGTATCAATAAGAGAACTTCTTGGATAATCATTAGAATGTGTGCAAACACAGAAACCAAGAACAAGAAACATAATCCATAATCCAAGGCCATGCATTTTGTTCATTTACTCTGCAGTGGTTTTGTCATCATGATGAGCAGACTGGTCTTGAGAGAAAAGGAATCCGACAATTAGAGCTGAGGGCTGTATGTGGACTGCGGAGAATGGAAGTGGCTTGATCCACATTTCAGGCAGACTCTCAAATGCTCTGGGTAGGAGGATTCTGATCCTTGAAAGATTCCTGCTTCCTAAACAACATTCTGGTATTGCCAGAGCTCTTGCCAGATTTTCATTCAGCAAACATTTTTCATTGCCTACGGATTGTCCTGGATGCTGGAGGTATGTGAAAAAGACAGACATGGTCACTGTCTTATTGGGCTTACAATATAAGGTGAAAACATACATTATAAATTGAATGGGTGCTAGATACTGTTGTAGGCCAGAGTGCCCTGGGAGCACACATAGGCAATAAACCTTCCGTCCCCACTTTGTTCCCAGAACACTGGCAGTTGGGCTTATCTGCTCCAGGAGAAAAACTGAAGGATCCACCTCTGGAGAAATTGAACTGCTTCCAAGAAAAGGTTCTCCTTTTCTTTTCTTTTTTTTATCCTCACCCGAGGACATTTTTCCATTTTTTGTTCAGGTAGAGTAGGAGGGAGAGAGAGGAACAGAGAGAGAGAGAGAAACATCGACGTGAAAGGAACACATCGAGTGGCTGCCACCCGCACAACCGACCAGGGCCGGGGACAAACTGCAACCGAGGTATGTGCCCTTAGTGGGAACCGAACCCGGGTCTCTCAGGACCGCAGGCCGATGCTCTAACCGCTGAACCAAACCGGCCAGGGCGGTTCTCCTTTTCTTAAAGAAGCATTTTTCTTTCCTGATCACCCACAGGGAAGCTAACCAGCTGAAGAGTCACCCCTTCCCTCAGGCACGGAGCTTATCAACTTTGCCTCACTCTAAAATGTCAAGAGAACAGCACGGAAATATCAGATATTTGAGAACAGCCTCCAACCAGGAAGACAGACTAAAAGCAAACAGACTAAAACCCCCAAGAAATGAGGTAACATAGGGAATAGGAAAAACAAACTTCAAAAACATTTTTCAGGGACCTTAAAAAGGTACTGCATCTACCCAACAAAACTAAGATGCTATTATTTTATTTTATTTTTTTAGTACAATTGGAGAAAAGAAGACTGGAAAATAAAAATGTGATATCAGGATCCATGTGGCAGAATGATTGGGTTTAGGATTTACCAAATTCTAGAACATGAGTAGGATCTTGTGATGGCTCTCTTTCTGAGAACAGACTGGATATTAAAGTTCAGCCTCAAACAGTTAAATTGAAAGATGCCATTTAAGAAAGGGTTTTGTTAGAACAGGTGGAATAGATCCCATAGCTACTAACAATTTCTTTCTGGTAGTCCCAGATTGCTGATGGGCTAGAAACAAAATTTTGTGAGTCATAATTTTTTGTAATGGCTATTGAAGCCCTAAGATCAAATGCAGTCTCTGAGGAAGAGAAGCTGAGAGCCTGGGGTCAAGCTCTAATTGGGAGCATTTAATATCTGGGTAGAGGTACTGCCATTGCAAAGGAGACCGAAAAGTAGCTAAGGTGCTGTGGAAGGCAAGAGAACATTTTGAAAAGGAGGGAGTGCTCAGTGTCAACTTCGACAGAGGGATCAAGTAAATTAAACACTTTTGAAAAGTGTACATTTTAATCAGCCCCAAAAAGAAACTCAGTCACTCCAACCTCCATCCCAAAACCCCTCCCCAGACCCTGGCAACCAGGAATCTACATTCTGTCACTATAAATTTGCCTATTTGGCAAGTGAAAAGAATTATACAACATGTGGTCTTGTGTAACCAATTTCTTTCATTTAGTATATTTTCAAGGTTCATCCATGTTGTAGCACCTTCCAATACTTTGTTTCTTTTTATGGATGAATACAATAATATTCTATTGTGTGAATATACTACATTTCATTTTGTTTATCCATTCATTAGTGAGAGGGTTCTACTATATAAGTGTGTATGTGTAGGGTATATATATATATTCCTATATATAATCATCTATATCTATATTGAGCTAAACATGAGGTGAATTCATATCACTGTCTCCAATTCTAATGTATTACCATGAATCATTCTAGTCTCCTCCTGCTGTAAATTCCCACCCCAACATTGAGAAACCTGGCTTCCACCATCTGCCATCTACTTACTCAACTGTTCAGTTCCAGCGCAAATGTATAGCAGCATCAGAATTGTCAACCTGTAACCCCAAGTGGACATAACTATCAAATAAAGTACAGTGCTTATGTACAGTTTCTTTTGCCTTTAATAATCAGCGGTTCTTGCCCTGGCCAGTTTGGCTCAGCGGTTGAGTGTCAGCCTGCGGACCAGAGTCCCGGGTTCCCACTAGGGGCACATACCACACAAAAAAATAATACATCGGCGGTTCTCAACCTGTGGGTCACGACCCCTTTGGGGGTCAAACAACCCTTTCACAGGGGTCGCCTAAGACATAACAGTAGCAAAATTATAGTTATGAAGTAGCAACAAAAATAATTTTATGATTGGGGTCACCACAACATGAACTGTATTAAAGGGTCGTGGCATTAGGAAGGTTGAGAACCACTGCCTAGTTTAACAGATCATTTTCAAAATTCTTTAGGTCGATTTCATTTCCCCTCCTCCCCTGCAGCAAGCTTGTAATTCCTAGTTTGTAATATAGTGAGATTGTTTTGCATTCTGCATTATGTCCTTGGGTTCCCCAGACCTCCTAAATGACTTTTTTCAGTTTGAACTTTACTTTGTGCTGTAAAGTTCTGAGTTTCAACAAACAAATAATAGTGTCAGAGTGCACAATCATAGAATCATACAGAATAGTTCCACTGCCCTAAAAAATCCCCTGAGCTGCATCTGTTTAACCCTCCCTCCTCTCCTCCCAAGCCCCTGACAACTGCTAAGCTTTTCACTCTCTCAGTTGTTTTGCCTTTTCCAGAACGTCATATAAATGGAAGCCTACATTTTGTAGCCTTTTAAGATTTGCTTTTCTCACCTAGTAATATGTATTGAAGTTTCCTGATGTCTCTTCGTGGCTTGATAGCTCATTTCTTTCTAGCACCGAATGATACACTGCTGTACGGCTGTGCCACAGTTTGTTCATCCATCACCTGTTGAAGGACATCTCAGTTGCTTCCAGTTTGGGGCAACATTCAGTAAACGCTTGTGTTTCCGTTTTGACTAATGAAAGAAATTATGTCACTCTCTCTTTCTTGAACAATCTTGCTCGATTTTTATCTATTTTATTACCCTTTTTAAGGAACCAATTTTAAGCTTTATTAGTCCTTACTCTTGTTTTCTGTTTCTTTGATTTATAGGCACACCTTGGATATATTTTGGGTGTGGTTCCAGACCCC